GGGGGGGGGGGGGGGGGGGGGGGGGGGGGGGGGGGGGGCGGCGGGGGTCGGGCCAGGGGGCGTCGAAGGGCGTCCGGGGGTGAGGGTGCGCGGGCGGCGGGTCGTCAACCGTCGTGGCCTCCGCAGCCATCATGCGCTTGTCACGACGCAGCACACCACCACCACCACCACTGGCCGGGCGGTCAGGCTCCGCATCGGCATCGGCGTCGTCGGCCTTGCGCTTGCGGCGCGTGGCCGAGAACTCGCAGCGCTTGCTCTCGCGGCGGCAGCGCACGCATGGCGGCGGACGCGGGTTGTCGACGCTGCCCAGATCGCACTTGACCTTGCGCTTGCGGCACGGGTCGCACGCCTGGTAGCCGCGGCGGTGCTGCGGCGGCGGCGACGACGCGGCGCGGTCCTGGAGGGTATTAGTATTAGTATTAGTAGGGGGAGAGGGAGAGGGAGAGCGTACGGTCGGGCGGGCCATGGGCGGGCGAGGGCGCGGTGCAGGCGGCGGCGGGGCGTGGGGACGGCGGCATCCGCGCCGACGCCAGCCGGGTCGGGACGGGGGGGCGGGCCGGATTGGAATGGAGAGGAGAAGATGGAGAGTGAGTGAGTGAGTGTGAGTGAGTGTGAGTGTGTGAGTGAGAGTGGAGTGGCTTCGGCCTGAGGCGGAGAGAGCGAGAGAGAGGGAGAGGACAGCGTGGGCGCCAAACAAAACTTCAGTTAGTTAGTTAGTTAGTTAGTTAACTGGCTAGTTAGTCAGTCTGCTACTCGGGTTAACCGCCAGTGAGCTAACTACCAACTAACTAACATTACTTCCTTGCGGGATAAGCGAGCGGTGAGGCCGCTGACAAACGCGCTGGTCCAGACGCGGGAGCAGGGGAGAAACAATGATAATTAATTAACGAACTGAGAATGATAATTAACTAACTACTCCGTAACTACCTGATGAATCAAAAGCTGCACGTTCGCCAGCGTCGCCCGCACGTCCACCGCCCGCACGCCCGCCCGCCGCACCAGCAGCTGCTCGACGTCCTTGTTCAGCAGAAACACCGCGTACTCGAACCGGAACCCGCCGCGCGCGCCGCCGCCCGGCGCCAGCGGGAATGTGCGCGCCGCCAGCCCCGCGGAGATCGGGTCGCCCACGCGCGAGTGCGACCCGCACGCCGTGATCGGGTACGGCAGCGCCACCGCCAGGTACTGCGCCAGCAGCTGCACCAGCTGCGCCGTGTAGCCCAGCGCCGCCGCCAGCCGCGCGCCGTCGGCGATGTGCGCGTACGGCGCGCGGGGCAGCCGCAGCCCGACGATGCTGAACCCCAGCGGCTCGCCCGCCACCGGCGTGAGCTGGAACACCGCCGCCAGCGTCCGGCAGAGGCGCCGCCGCTGCGCCTGCGTGTCGTCCGCCGTGCGCTGCAGCTGCGCCTTGCTGCGCGCCGTCGTGCCGTGCGCCGCCGCCAGGTGCTCGCGCGCCGCCGCCTCGTCCGCGCGCGCCTGGAGCAGCGCCGCCCGCCGCGCCGCCACGCTCGCCCGCAGAGCGTCCCGTCGCCGCGTCGCCGTCTGCACGCGCTGCCGCGTCGCCGCCACGTAGCCGCGCACCGCCGCCAGCCGCTCGTGCGCCGCCGCCGTGCGGTTGACCACCTCGTCGTGCGCCCGCTGCGCCGCCAGCACCGCCGTGATCTGGGCCTCCACGCGCGCCCGCGTCGCCCGCGCGTCCTGCACGCACCGCTCCAGGTTCGCCAGCCGCAGCAGCGCGTCGAACGACGAGCTCCTCGCCGCCGCGCCCGGCCGGGGAGGTGCAGCCACGGATCCGGCGTCGGCCATATTGTTCGCCAGCCCCGCGTACACCCCGTCCGCCAGGTGGAACACCACGCAGTTCGTCGGCAGCCGCTGGTGGAAGCTGGCCAGCCGCGGACCCAGGTACTGCAGCCCGCTCAGGTGCGCCCGCACCTCCAGCAGCAGCAGCGTCTCGTCTTCTCGCGCCATGCTCGCCCGCCGCGCCCACACCCGCACCGTCACGCGGTCGCTGCGCGACACCTGCGGCCCGCACCCGCGCAGGTCGAACGGCCGGAAGCTGGGGTTCATCGCCCGCGCCACCACCTCGCTCGTGTACACCGTCTCGCCCGCCTCCGTGTGCAGCGAGAACCAGGTGTCCGCCATGCGCGCCGCCGCCACGTCCTCCAGCCGCGTCTGCCGCACTCCCGCGCTGGCCCCCGACCACGGCAGCGTGCTGCGCCGTCGCCGGCCCGTCCGGTGCTGCTGCTGCTGCTGCTGCTGGTTGTGACCCCCGTCGTTATCCGTGGCCGTCGAGGAGCTGCCCGCCAGGTCTGTCGCCGACCGCGTGTGCTTGACCGCCCGCTGCTCCTGGCTCGCGAGCCGTTTCGCCGGCGATTGTAGTGTGTGTGGGAGGGCCTCGTCGTCCGTCGCCTTGCCGCGCGATCGTGCGTTGCCCGGTGGTGGCGTGACTAGCAGGTTGCGGATCGAGATGCCTTGTAGATGCCGTAGTCGCCGGTTCTATCGTAGCGTCAGCATGCGAGGTCAATGTGGGAGCGGGCGGGCTGGAGTGCTCGCACCGATGCTAGCAGCCAGTGCTGCTGCTTTCTGCCCGGCACCACCTCGGGCGCGTCCGCCGCGTCGGACATCGTGGTAGGTATGTAGTCAGCTGTTGTTCTGGACAACTAGTTAAGCGATAGCTGGCGTGGATCGTTGCAAGCATCACACACGGACAAACAGTGAAAAGAGTCTCAGTCTCAGCGTAGAATTGGCGTAGCGCAACGCAATGTTCGGATCTCCATCGCGTGGTTGTCGCCGTCGTCGTTGTTGTCGCTGTGCTGGTCGTGGCTCCGTTGTTGTTCTTCGATGCTCGAGCTTCGCCGTCTCCGCCGAAAAGTCTAAACTCAACGTCAACCCATCTCCCACAACCACCCGCCCAGCACCACCGCCGCCCTCACGCCCGCAGCCACCGCGAGACCATGAATACAGCCAGTTTATTAGGATAAAACACCTCTGCAGACTGATCTCCCCCCCCTCCGCCCTCACAATGGCCGCCGCCGCCGCCGCCAGCGCCGCCAGCGCTGCCACCAAGGCACCCAGGCAAAAGACCCTGCGGCTGCTCGACCCGACCATGCTCGCGACCTCACGCGCCGTACGCTTCCCGGAGACCTCAGGCAAGCCCATCCAGGGCAAAGCGCGCTTCGCCAACTCGCGAGCCGCCCAGAACTACCGCGAGCACGAGCGCGAGCGCCTGAAGAAGGCCCTGCTGCACCTCACCCACGGCCGCAATATCTTTGTCTACAACCACCTCCGCACAAACCAGGTCGTGTACTCGCTCTCGCGGACGCTGGAGGTAAGCCCGCACTGCAAACACCCATCCTAAAGACGTTCAACACCCCTCTGACTGATCCCAGCGCAACAACGTCCTCTCGCAGATGATCTACCACGGCAAGAAGACCGTGCCCGCCTCGCTGCGCAAGGACATGTGGGTGCCCTTCTTCTCCGTGCACTTCCCCTCGCCCGCCGCCGGCATCGCCGCCTTCAAGATGCTGCGCGAATTCGCCGTGCAGCGCCAACTCGCCCCGCCCGCCGCCGCCATCACCAACACCACCGAGTCGCTCGCCCGCCGCCGCCCGCGCGACCCGCTCGCCGCCCGCAAGTGGGACGCCACCTGGACCCCGCGCCTCGGCCAGTTCATGCCCAAGAAGCTGCGCGCCCGCGCCCTCATGGACCAGAAGTCCACCAGCGTCGCCGACCTCGCCGCCGTCCTCGCCCTGCACGCACCCACCCTCGCCCAGACCCACGCCCTCCCGGACCCCGACCTCCAGCGCCAGCTCGCCGACCGCCAGAAGAAGAAGTCCCTCAGCCACACGGCGCGCAAGCGGCTGGTGGCCGCGCGCGCGCGCGAGGCCGCCGTCGAGGCCCGCGTGCGCCAGCGCATCGCCACGCTGGAGCGCGCGCTCTCGCGCCAGGCCAATGGCAAGGCGGCGGCGCGCGTCGACGACCGCGGGGTGCTGGGCGCGCATGCCGTGGAGCCGGGCCAGGTCAAGGTGCTGTGGACGGACCTGCACGACGCCGTGCACGCTGCCGACTGGCCGCCGTTCGTCATGCATGGCGAGCTGGCGCCCGTGCGCGACCATGTTATGGGCGACACGCTGAAGAGCGAGGTGCCGGAGCTGGGGCTGCAGGAGCGGCAGCCGGAGAAGAAGGAGGAGGAGGAGGAGGAGAAGGAGGAGAAGCAGGAGGAGGCGAAGGGGTTGGATCGGTTGAAGTTTTGGAAGAGCTGAATGGTAGGCGTCTCTCCTGGTCGTTGATGGATGGGGGATGCTCGGCCCTCCGGCATGTCTCGTTCCTCACATGTATTTTATATGTTCTGTGTATGGATGTATGTGTGCCTAGCATTTAGAATACGTTCGATATTTGGATTTACTGCATCGTCTCAGCGGGTGTCCACGGGATACTAGTTACTGAAAACACCAACACTAATATTCTGACTCTGAAATACTATAACTTCAGACCTCTATCCATAGAACACGACGTGGAAATCCATCATCACCGGAGAAGCAAAAATAAAAACCGTGCTTTATTCTTTCGCTCCAGTACTAGCAGCCCCGCCCCTCCCCCCCATCTCTAACCCAAAGGCCGAGCAAATGGCAACAAATCCAAAGACATAAGACTCCCATCAAATATGAACCCCAAGCTCCTCCCCGCTCTTTGCAGTGTGCGAGAATCGAATCGCACCGAGGACATGATGGCAAAAAAAAAAAAAAAAAAAAAAAAAAAAACAGGACCGCAAGGCGTATGTGAAAGAACATCGGAGAAACAAAGGGACATTCATACGGCATTCAAAAGTGTAAACGGATGCTAAATTTCGATCAAAAAAACAAAAACATATTGACAATCTGACAGCAAAAATCATGGCAGCATAACGGGCAGTAAGTAGGTCGGTCGTGAAGGGGGACGAGTCCTCGGCGTGTGGGAGAATACATAGTCTCAGTCGGTTGCTATCCCATGCACACCCGCCTCAGTATATTGCTCATCCAAGAACACCACTGGCGCTATTTTATCCCCACGGGGCCGCTTTTACTGGGCGTTGAGCCGATGCTGCTTGGGGAGGCGGAGGGGGTCGGATCCCTCGCGTCGCCCTTCGTATCGCGCGGCGGAGTTGCGTTCGGGGCCGGTTCTGGCGGCTCTCGTTTGCCCGCGGCGGCGGTGTCGGCGGGCGCATTGCTGCTGCTGCCGCCTCCGGCTTTGGAATTCTGGCTGGAGGAGATGAATTCTTGCCGGGCGTGGGGTGGGTTCTTGTCCGCGTCGCTGGCGCCGCCGCCGCCGCCGCCAGTGCTGCTGCTGTCGCGGGTGGGGGAGTTGGGTTTGAGTCCCTGTGAGTGGGTGCTGGAGTCGAACCGGACGACCATGCAGGAGAGGTTGTCGGTGCTGAAGCGGGATAAAGCGTGGTCGACTAGGATCTTGGAGGCGGCTTGGGGGTCGTGGGTGTTGCGAATCAGATCGACTGCTTCCTGGTCCGAGCAAACATCCCAAAGCTAGACAAGTCAGTATACGTGATTAATATGTTGGATATACGGAGTACACTCACTCCATCACAGGCCAATATTAGAAACTCATCGGAGTCGGGCTGGATGATCGTCTCGGTTGTGAATGGGTGGCCAGTAACAAAATCCTTCATGTACGAATCACCCAGAGCACGGGTGACTGCAAGAACACCGTTTACACGATTATTCAAAATCATACCACCCGCATTTGTGATTCGCATTCCTTCATTCTCATCGCTACCTTTATGGTCGTAGGACAACCGCAGAGCCTTCCCGTTACGACACAAGATGATCCTGGCATCGCCGACATTGGCTGTGTACAGTACCCGCTGACGAGCACCATCAGAGCTTGTTTTTGCATCCCTACCCGACAACCCTTCATTCGAAGTGCTGTTCTGCACCCGTAATGCTTCCCCTTTCTCCGCCTCCGCCCCTGCACTATTTAACTTGTTATTTCCAACATCTGGAGCCCCCGCCGTAGAATTCATCGCCCGATCTTCCCATCTAAGGACGGCAATAACCGCGGTGCAACCGCTGTTCTTCAAAGGCAGCTGCTCTAATTGCTGGTCAACAATCGTGAACGTCTGGTCGAGTAGCATTGGGACCGGCGCATTCGGGTTATTTTTAATGGTATCCTCCAAAATCAAATGTAGTTTCTTCCCACACCACTCCGCGGCAAATGTTCCGGCATGACCGTCGAAGATCGCAAAATAGCCATTATCCGTTTCGACAGGCGGCTTTCGCTCGGGCTCCGATCCGCCGGGTTCGTTGGGGTGGTGACTTCGCAACGAGAGTTCGGCCTGGCTGGCCGGGGTGGGACTTCCTAGGAAATTGTAGAGATAAGCGTGCGTATCCTCCATCGTCCTTCTGCACTTCTTATTCTTGTCTTCCGTCACGCCGACTCGGAAAGAAGAGCGGGCGGTAGGCAATGACTCCCCCGCGGAGTTATTCAACGAGCCCTGCGGCACGACCAACGCCGAATCCATCTTGCCCAAGATCTGCAGCGAGGTCAGGGTGTTTTGAGGTTCCTGTGTCTTGGGGATATGCAACGAGTTCTTTGCACCCGTAAGGAAAGCTGCTGCTCTGCTCACAGAGCTCGTACGGCGTCTCTGGTGGCCGTTCTGGGTCGTCCGCTTGTCGTTTGGCCGCTCTAGAGGATCGTCGGGTTGGCCGGATCTCCTGAAACGCGAAAAAAAGCTTCTCATTCAACCGTAGCGGAAGACAAGTTCCGTAACTGCAATGGGAAGAAGCCTAATATTAGTAAACCTTGAACTGAGGAACGGGCTGTTGCACGTTTATGGATGTACTCTGTGGGTATCGATGCGGTTTGAGCACAGACGTGTGGTGAGTTACATAAGCGCCTTGGTTCCTGGCCTGGGCGGCTTGGATACAGCCACGACTCGACGACCATGTGGATTGAGCACACGCTTAGGATTTGGGTTGGATTACGGGATAGTAACTAAGTAAGTGGTGAAACGCCAACAAAGATCCTTTAACTATAGCCCCATTGCTTGTCAAAAGAGAACGAATAGTACTCCTCAAACAGAAGTCATCTGGTGCCTTTTGAACTTTGTGTTATCCACAGCCCCCCAAGCCTTCAAGAAAACTGTTTTTGATATATAAGGCTACGGAGGAGTCTTCCGCTGTTTCTCGACTGCCAGCTATTTTTATCTTGAGGCTGTCTTCATCCTTCGCGTAATTGATGTTGGGTACTGAGGGGTTTGGCAAGCTGGTACTCCGTATATCTCACCCAGCCTTATCTTTCATAACTATACAAAACTAAAAGTAGATATTGCTGCTGTTTATGCTCGCACAGCGCACTAGATATTTCTTGCGCTAACAAGTGGTCAAAAACTACATAAAAAAACATACAACAGCCGGGATTCGCTGGTGGTCACCCACCCAACTACTAGCCGGCCGGCAAGTGGCTTAAGTACGGCTGAGCGGACGGGAAGCCCTGTATTCCACTTCCTGTGGTCGTATGTGACAGACATGGGAGGAACCAAATCATTTATCATCACTATCAGCGCCGTGTAAGCTGCGCCGTGTGCTCGTGTGCAGCCAACACTCAAATGTTGCAGGAGCGAAATAACGACGTCATTGCTGGAAGCACCGGCGGTTTAATTGTTTGCTTTGTTTGCACTCCTCGATAAATTTGTCCCACGGGTACTGCCAGAACAAAAGCACCGCCGTTGTCGGCGTTTGCTTCGTTCATTCCGAAATATGGTTTTAGTGAGATTCAAGGAGTGCCTACAAGTGACAAGAGTAAAAAGGTGAATCTACCAAAAGGCATGATTTCCATAAATGACCCTATGCACACAAGTATGCAACAAGGGGGGCAACAAATATGAGAGGAATCCCATGGAATGCCAATATACTAGCTATTGCGAAGCCTTTACCAGTGCGATTAATATACTAGTAGCCTAGCGCAAGTGCCGGTTGCGTGTCAGAAATTATATTCTTGCAATGTCGCATAAGACTCCCAATGAATCGAAAGGAAAAACGCCTTCTAAAAAATCCCAAACGCCATGGCTGCATCGAGAAGTATAAGTCTAGTAAACTGAGTGTTTAGCTCGTGGCACCAGGAACTTATCTTCGTAGGCTGTCGAGCCTCGCTTGTAAGTCATCATCTTCCGCACTTCCGCCACCACCGCCGCTGCCGACGGCCTGAGCAACGCGGCCCTCACGAGCAGCCGCGGTTTGCAAACCAGTAGGCGTTTCGCCCAACTACACCAACATATTAGAGGTCTTCTGCCAGTGAAATGCAAGTGTGAAACAGGGATCAAAGGAAGGGCGTACAGCTTGACCAAGATCGACACCGATTTCATCCAATACTTCTTTCACAATTTCTTCGCCTTCTTCCTCATCCTCAAGTCCAGTCGCTTCGTCAATGGCGTCGTCCATCATCTCTTGCCGCTGATCCATGATCTCGTTCTCTCTCTCAAAGTCCATGACAATTCGTTGAAGAGCAGGCAGATTCATTTGGCGGTTCATACTTCCTAGCAGTACTGTTGCGCCTCTCATGGATTGCATCATTTGCTCATTGCTCCTGACTGTCTGTGCAACAAAGAGTCAATTGTCGTAACAATGTAATGTTGGCCAGCCATTCTCACCTGTATTCGGAGAGAAATTGCCTGTAACTGCGTCCTCATCGAATAAAATTTCTGTATATACCTATAAAGCCGGATCATGTTGGTGGTGCACTTAATAGTTCATGGTCTATTCTCACCTTCTGGTCCGAACGAGGTCCTTGGCTTGGATCTTGCAAGCCCCAATTTGTCCATTTTTGGCATTCTTCTTAATATCCTGGACCAGCTTCTTTTCCTGGTTTTCAAGTTTTACCCTCTCTCTGTCCAGCTCTCTTTGCGTTTTTTCCAGCGCTCTCTGGTGTTTCCGTAAACGCTCGGCGGGTGTTAGGCGTTTGCCAAAGGCCCATTCGACAATCTACTTAGACAGGTTAGCAGTGGCAGCATGTCCGAGCCCATAGTCACCTCCGCGTACATTCATTTTGAAAACCCGTCCCTAGATATTCAGTATCGACGGATTACCAGCTTCCCGCCTCCCAGGCGGCGGCGTATGACGCCTGCTGCTTATCTAACAAAAGAACATGCCAAGCCGGCGTTTATGATATTCCGCTTTACGTAAGCATGGTGGTGCAACCCCGGAAAAGGAATTCATTGTTTGGGCGAACTGAAATATCATCGACATGTGCAGACAGGCGATTGCATTTGGCCATGCACGCTCTATTTTCTAGCTTCGCACAATTCTTGACGCTATTTATACAATAATGAGCCAGCAGTATTTCCCCAGCGATGGATGTCCGTCCGCCGGGGAAGGATCATCAAAACAATCTCTGGAGTCCTCCACGCCACCCTTCCCTCGCCATGCGCCAGATTACATGGTTGTCGGGTCCGGATCTGCTTCGGAGAATGCGACATCGCTGATAACATCGCTGAATCAAGACTCGGGTTATGGAAGCGTTATTGGAGATGCATACCGCGATTCTGCGGAAGCATGGCATGCAGGGCTCATGGAAGATAGACCAACGCCGGCACATACTCCCATTTTGCCTGGACACTCGTACCTCAGTGGTCAGTACTCTGAATACGGTCTTTTGTCTGTGCCTGTTCCTAATACTGCTACAGCACAAAACGAAAAGCTAGTCTTTGCGAACCACATCCATCAGCTCCAATAGTAAGCCGGTTCTACGCCATCTTCGTGTTAATTTGCTAACCATATCCAGCAACGCAAACCGGACACAACTCGGTCGTTATATAACCAGAGCTATTGATCTCTTGAAAGAACTTCAGGAAATGAACCGCCAGTGGCCTGCGCATTACCCGTCAATCTCTCCGAGCCAGGTACCCCCGAACAGGCCCAGCTTGACTCCCGTTAGATCTTATACCGGAACAGATTTCACTTTTCCTGATTCGTCACCCAGACCGGGTCAGCTACGACGAGCAGCTACGTCGATTACGGGCACCACGGAGACCGAATCCGGCGCCGCAACAGAGAAGCGGGTTTCCCAGGAACCCAGACTCATTACGCCGCAGATTGCCCGGGAGTTCTCTATTTTGAAGCTGGACCTAAAGTTAGGAACCATGTCGCAAGCCGAACTTGTGCATTCCCTGGAAAAGGGCTCAATCGCCTCCTTGTTGGACGGAAAAGTCAGCTCAAGCATCAAACACTTACTTTCACTTCGAGACAGGATAGACGATACTTCGAGCAAAGTCCTGGTTACTGGTGACCTTAACGCAGGGAAGTCCACTTTCTGCAATGCGTTGTTGCGCCGCAAGGTTCTGCCCGAAGACCAGCAACCATGTACAAGCATTTTTTGCGAAGTGATTGATGCAAGAGAAAACGGAGGTGTGGAGGAAGTCCATGCAATCCACAAAGATTCAGTGTACAACAGGAACGATGAGAGCACCTATGACGCGTACTCGTTGGACGATCTCGAATGCCTCGTTGTCGATAACACTAAATACATGCAATGCAAAGTATATATCAAAGATACTAGGGCCATTGATGAATCTTTACTAAATAACGGAGTCGTTGATATTGCACTTATTGATGCTCCTGGCTTAAATTCAGACTCAGTGAAGACTACGGCAGTGTTTGCGCGGCAAGAGGAAATTGACGTCGTGGTCTTCGTTGTTTCTGCTGCGAATCATTTCACCCTTTCGGCAAAAGAGTTCATTGCAAATGCCGCCCATGAGAAAGCCTATATCTTCATCGTCGTCAATGGCTTTGACAATATCCGAGATACAAACCGTTGCCAGCGCATGATTCTTGATCAAGTAGCAAAATTAAGTCCTCGTACTTACAAAGAGTCTGCCGAGCTGGTTCATTTTGTTTCGAGTAATGCTATTCCTGTTATGGCAGCCCCCGGTGGCTCTGGAGGAGATGGCGATGATCATGGTAACGACAAGGATGACGAAGATGACGGTTCCGCCGACGATGGGAAAGTAGCGGACATAAATGAGGATAAAGGCAAGGGCAAGGAAAAGGAAAAGATACAAGATTTTGAAAATTTAGAGGGCGCATTGCGCCGTTTTGTTCTTGAAAAGAGGTCCCGATCCAAACTGGCTCCAGCCAGAACCTATCTTCTCAATATTTTCAACGATTTGCATACTCTTGCTTCCGTCAACCGTGATGTTGCGGCATCAGAACTTGATCGAATGTCGAAAGAGTTTGATGAGCTCGTACCCGCCTACAGCAAGGCTAGCAAACAGAGGATAGAAGTAGGTGAGAAGGTGGACAAGTCTATCGATGACACTTGCGATGATGTATACAATCACACTCGATCATCGCTTTCAAAAACGATATCAAACGTTGCGGATAGTGATCTGGGTGTTGAGTATCCCGGTCTTTTTGCTGTTTTCCAGTATGCGGAAGATCTCAAGACGGCAATGCTAGATCAAGTATCTGCCTGCGCAACTCGGTGCGAAGATTATGCAAGGTCAAAATCCGTCCAGGGTGTCAATATGATTCACCGCCTCGGTTTACTGCACGTTGGAGACGACAAGTTTCCTAGCCTCACGTTCCGTGCTGAAGTGATGTTCCGCCAGCCAAAACACTCTCTCGCCCGACAGATAGATACTGATATTGAATTATGGGATTTCATCGATCTTCCCGGTCTCTGGGAACGCCAAGAAAAGGTTGCCGGGACCGGTATGGCTGTCACCGTAATTGGCGTGGTTGGAGGAAGAGCGCTTGGTGGTGTTGGCTGGATCGATGGTGTATTCGGTGCAGCGCGAATCCTCGGCCCAAATAATCTCCGAAGAATGATAATTCCTGGTATTCTTGGAGCTGGTATGTCCCCAATCTCCCTGAATTTGTTGCTTTTGTGAATGCTAACGCTCTCGTAGCCATCCTTACCGCAGCGTACATCATTTCTCAAATCCCCAATTCTCTCCCGTCCCGCCTCTCACGCAAGATATCCACCACACTTGCGGAAATCGATTATGTTCATTCCAACGCCGGGCGCATATCATCTGAAGTTGGTCGTGTTTTGCGAATGCCCGCAAATAGGCTGCACACTGCCCTCCAGGTTGCCGTAGAGGATCTTGCTAAACGCAAGGATGAAGTGGGAAAAGTGAAACATGAAAGTGAGGTTGCCCGAAAGTACTTTTCTAACCTCTTCCGCGAGAGTGGTGATACAAAAAGGGCTGTTGAGTTACTTGACCTTGAGGCTGCTATTCCAGGAGTATGATATTCCTCTTCCCGGATTTCCGTTTCCTGTTCCGTTTTCCCTTCTTTGTGAATAAGATGAGTATTCATTCATGCTTCCCCTTTTCTACCTAGCACTTAAAGCCTTTTGTAATATATTCTTGTGTGAACCTTACTTGCTCCTTCACGACCCCACTACTATATCAATACCCAGACATATGATTTTCCTTAACGACCTTTGCATAGCCTCTATTCTTAACTGGGGGCAGCCTTGATTTTAATTTAGAATACTATTTATTGTCTTTGATATAACATAGGTAGATGCAGCCCTAATTGCCTGTAAGGCATGGCTGTATCATAACCCCTTATCACCCAACGTAGTCTGAGAAGTAGTCAGTTGACTGCCAGGAAAACGTCATTAGCCCCCTTCCAACTGTATCAGTCATGAATAACCTAGCCTTAATAACAGCCACATAATCATTATGTTCTCATCGAAAGGGAAAAGGGGTTAAATGTGTTATTTTTTAATATTTACGCGCAATGCGGAGGTTTAGTTCTAGTCTAGATTATATGTTCACACTTTGGGGTTCTCAAGTAACCCAGGGGTATCAAAAAGAGGAATCGTGAAGGGCCGCTACGAGGATAGCGTTCAAGGGTTCAACTCATAAAAAATCATGCGCCTTCGACCTTGTGCGCCTCCCGCCTGGTATAGTATTGCTGTCCTGCAAAGTCCCAATGACAAGATTCCCACCACTGCGTCGTTTATTATGCCCCTTTTTCGTGTCTTGGCCAGATTCTTCTACAGCATTCATCTCCTGTGCTTTCCGGGTGAATTTTTCTCTCATGGCCAGAGCATCGGGGTCCTCGTATCCCAGCTGCGTCATCGGTGGTGTTTCTGCATCTTGAAACTGGAACTTCTCCGCTACAAATTCATGTGTATGTCCTTTTCGAAAGAGGTTGAGTCTGTCTTTTAGTTTTTGCTCGGCCTCATCAAGACTACCCTCTGAAACAAAACTCTGAGCTTCTCTGCTTTGGCCTTTTCCAGATGGGCTGGATAACAAATCTACGACACTACCATATCCATCTTCGTTCAATGTGTCAATGGACGAGGCCCGAGACATTTTTACCTGCCCCGGTTCCTTAACACCAAGTGTTGACGAGTTTGAATTTGCCCGGCCAAACAATCGTCTACGTCGTGGAGGAAGAGTCGTGCTTTTCTCTTGATCCGTGGTAGGTTTCACACGATTTCGTTTTTGTTTGAGAAGCTCGCTAATGGCCACATCTAATGGGTTTGCTGGTGCGGACTTAGCCTGCTCGTCGCTGATTTTAGGGGCAGCAAGGGTGGGAGAGGGCGTCTTGGTTTTCCCTGGCAAGTCAGTGATCTCAGGAGTATCATTCGATGGGGTAATGCGGGGTTGATAAGAGTCTTGGTTGCCGGCTTGATCTGCTGAGAGATCTTGAGCAAGTAGTTCATCGGATTCATTATGAGTAGTCTGGTTCCCAGCAGTCTGTGATTTTGAACTTGAGCGCCGCCAATCTGGTAATAAATATGGCTCGAAGGGCTTTTTGTCCCCAGTTTGAACAGATATCCAGAGCCAGTCGGAAAGAACAGCAGGGACGTTCCACTGGCTGGCGTGTCTCAGTTTGTCTTTATTCGGGTGGGGCGTATTGCATATTAGGACTGATGCTTTGGATGTGAAATATTCGTCGTATACAGCCCCTAACTCCCATTAGCAATCCAGAAATCCTGTTGTGTTGACTGACAGTACCTAGAAGCCGAACAAGTTTGCATAAATGTAAAAGGTCAATGCCAGTGAACCCAGTAGAGCATATTGTTAAATTTTCGAATGCTGCCTAGGTAAGCATGGCTATTGGCAGGATGCTGGGCCAGTACAAATACGAACCTGGTATTGGGAATCGAGGGATCGGTGTGCTAGTTGTATGGGCCTCGGGAGGTAGAAACGCGTTGCTGTGAAGGCATTTTTCAACCCACATGTCAGTGACAATTTGAACATCATCATTCGAACTCGTGGCCGATGGAATCTCCGAGGGGGGTGTGTTGTAGGGGATAAGAATATATCTATATTCCCTCTCATCTTTATCGGAAAGCTCGTTTCTTGACCGAACAAGCACGGCATCACGAGATATAAGGTGATTTTCCAGTATCGAAATCTAAAACGGAAACTGGTTAGCCTCTGAATATTTATAGTGATTGGCTATCAATTTCACCTGTTTCGCATTAAAACCGGATATAAAAATTTTCGAGTTATACCAAATTCCTCGAGATTTCTGAGGAACAGGAACAATTTTGGCAACGGTATCACGGGTACCATCTCTTCGTCCAGAGAGGGTCGTCTCGCTCGCGAATGATTTCTCTTCCTGAATTACCGACCGGAAGCTGAGGTGTGATGTCGAACCATGCCGGTCATCTAAAAATTCATTTTCACTGGCACCACTAGTAATGTTTCCCACAATGTCCGTCCAGATACCTTCGTTCTGGTCAGTTAATTTTACACTTGCTACTCGCCGGAGCTTTCGAGGACGCCGGGATCCATTCTCTGCCGGTTTAGATCGTTTCTGCACCTGCAAGGAAGGTGCAGAGTTCCATGCACCAATGCCGTGTTTTTCCGCCGGCAGTAATGGGTCATAGAGAGTTTCTTCAAGTATCATTCCTCTGCTCAAGCTATCCTCTAGCCACTTTAAGCTTACAGCCTTGATACCCCACAGCACTGCAAATTTGTACTTCTGTCCTTCGACAGCACGCGCAATCAGATGGGTTGCGGTTTTGGTAAGATCTCGGCAAAATTTGCCGCCATTGGAGGTGATAGTTTTCTGTAAATGATTTCTGAAATCCACTATTGAGATTATCAGCCATAGCACAGGGCAGATATCAGGGCGCCATACAGTCTTCGAAGCCGGTGATGCATATAGACAGTCCTGCAAATGTTGGCACCCGATACTCTTCTTCAAGAGCATGCAAATCGGTGTCCCCGCCTAAGAGCCAGGAGGAGCGAACGGCGGCGACCCAGTCCGCTGTAACAACTTTGATATCGCTTCGTTCTCTAGCCACATATTTGTACTTAGGAGTACTCGTCTCGCCGACGATCAAGTGGGTAACATCGGAGGTCAAGTCAAATTTGTGTGTGGCGCCCATCTCCGCTGAGATCGCAACTAACTGGGTCTGTAAGCGTAGAAAAAACGTCAGAAAAAATGCGTATCAAATTTTAAGTAAGATTATTCTCGTACCCGTTCCTCCGGAAGAATGGATGTGAAGCAGAGAATTACCCCTTCGAGGGGTTGTTCTCTGTCTGCGGTCAATTAATTAGCTTGTGATTCAATCGAGACTGTAAATCCATACTTGATGATACGTCTTCTGCCATGCTTCATAGCTGGAAACATTCGAGTCATTATTGGCGACGCATTGGTACAAAGGACGCGCTGTGAACGAAGAATGAATGCAGGACCGCATTTCAGACGCGTCGTTGCGCATGACGAAATTCCTAGTTAAGGCGGCACTACGATTATCCGATAGTTACGCTACTCCGTACTCCGTACAGCTCTCTCTTAGGCTACGGATCTTTGTTTTAGGTTTATTCTGGAGCAGATAATTCGGCAATCCTTAGTTTTTGTCAAGAATGTAATGGCTAAGTCTCTAGGGCATCACAAAGGGGAAGCGTGAGAAAGGTTTTATGAACCATCCTATGGGCAGGGAGCGGGATTTCATCCAACTAGTTCTTTCTACAAATAAAATATATACAGCGTTCTATCAGACCACCTTAAATTATTTTTTCCATTGGCTTCTCCATTCGTTTTAAAGTAACGATATCTTGTGCTGTAGATAAATTCCCATAAAACTCCTTCACTCTTGGATGGACCATCACTTTTCTTGGTTCGAATCGCGTGACCTGGAGTCCAGCCGTAGATGTTGCGCGACTTAAAGCGACATAGGCCTGACCTTTTTCGAACACACGTCCTAAATCCACTTTGACGCGCTGTAGTGTCTGGCCTTGAGCTTTATGGATTGATAAAGCCCATGCAAGGATCAGGGGAACCTGTGCACGCTGGGCTTGAACTTCGCCATTGGGAAGTTCAATCTTCCATGTTTCAGGCTTGCATAGAAGCTGTCTTTCGGTTCCATCAGGGAGAACAAACGATACGAGAGGCCACAACCGAGTAGTGGTCGTACCAGATGTGGGCTGAGGGTCGTATGCCATAGATTTGAGCTTCTTTCGAGCTCGACTCTCCTTGTCGTTAACATCCATTGGATCTTCATGGTATGAGTCTTCGTTTCGGATATAATGGTCATATGTAACATCATCCATGAAAGCGACGACTTTCCCCAGGGACCCGTTTACTAAAGAATCGTCCATATTTTTTATGAGCATCACCTGGGCACCTTTCTTTAGATATATAGAAGGGGGCGCCATGCAGTTTGACAACAATTTATCTCTGAAAGAAATATCCTTAATCGACCCGGAATCGATTGCATGAAATGGCACACCCTCGCCCTCTAGTCGCACCATTCTCATAGAGTTCGCATTCTCTACTTCTTGCCTGGTGGGAAAACTGGATGTTTATAAGCGTACATCTTGGATGATATCGATTAGTTGACTTACAGCTCAGTTGCATCCAGGTCGTCTTCGAAGTTCAGTGGCCGTGATAACTGCCTAAATGTTTCGATGGTTCTTGAGCTAACATGACCAAGTCGCATTTCATTTAGCATTGATGCAAACTCCGGGTCTTTTTGTCTAAAAATATGAGTTAAAAGAATAGTGTGCTGGATCGAAGTGTTCCAAGTATTAGCAGAAAAAGCAAATTTTGCTTCTCTATTGGAGTCTGGAACTGGTGGGAGTTGAAAGAAGTCGCCCGTTACAACAAGTTGAATGCCACCAAAAGGTCGTCCATTGTTCCTGATTTTCCGAGCCACTTCTTCTAGTTTGTCAAAGAAGTCCCCGTCTACCATTGATATTTCATCCACGATCAATACTTTTGTCCGAAGCCAGCGATTTCGAACTTTCTGGTTCCGTCTTACCTAAGGTAATCTTAGTAGCTTATCACACCAGATAAGTCAAATTTGAGTCATACCTTTTTCAGCAGCCCGGCAGCATCCTCTTTACCTAAACCAACTCCAGCATAACTATGCAAAGTGACACCCTCGATATTACAAGCGGCCAACCCAGTGGATGCAGTGACGGCCACTCGGTCAGGTTCTTTTCTATATTTATCTCGCAATTGGCGGATTGCTTCTCTCATTAGAACCGATTTGCCGGTTCCAGCAGATCCTGTGAAGAACACGCTTTGGCCTTTTTGCACAATCATATCAAGCACATGCTTTTGCTCTTCGCTAAGAAACATTTTAGCAACTTTGGGATGGGGTTTGTGATGCTGTAGTACGGGCTTTTCATTTGTCGCTCGAAGTTTTTGTTGTCTACGAAATTCTTTTTGTTCATCTTTGAAAGCACTAAGTGTTTTGTTCCATGGGTATGAGGGGGGTTGAGCGGCAGGAGTTTGCGGGGCATTCTTTACACGTGCTGTGGAAGAAAACCCTCTTTCGAGCCAAGGTAGTGTTTGCCGTTTAGGGGCCTGAAAATGAGTTGGCGGGGAAGACGACCACGGAAGCGGTGCACTACTTGCAGGGGCGTTGTCCTGAGCAGGATGGTCATTAGGCAATGTCGAGCTATCGGGTTTAATTTCTGGCGCCGTCGTCGATCGCGTTAATGGGGGCGTATTGATAGGCTGAGGAGCAATTGGAGTGCTGAAATCAAACTCATCGTCGTCAGCGAAATCACCTTCTTCATAGTAGACGTCGGTGTGGAGGAACGATAGAGTATCTCTGAAACTCTGAGGCCCCTCGAATTTGCGCTTTTCCCCTGTAACCGGATTCTCTGGTGCGGTGGGTTTAGCATTTAATCGCGACTGGCTCGATGGAAGCGGTCTCAAGGGCTCTTTATGCTCGCGAAGCGCTTTCGTGAACATATTTAACCGTTGCGGTTTTCGAGGTGGGGGGCTTCGCGTCTCCCGTGACCAAAGGTAAATGAGCGATAGGCGTTTGACGGGTGAGAAATATGTCGGCCTCAGTCGCGAGCATGAAGGAAACATAAACAAGTGGCTGGCGTTGCTGGCACGTCGTTATGTGTGGATGCGCCTCGACACAACTCTAACGCGACAGGCAGGAAGCTCAGACGCGCTCTGCACGTGATCGCGTTTCGTATTATCTAAACGGGGCTTGGCGCGGTCACATGCACCATGCCCACTAAGCGCCGAGCTGTCCCAATCGGGCAAGAGGGAGCATATCAGTCGCGATCTCCAACATCAAACCAGCCGCGCCCCGCGCCGGCCAGTCTTTTCCTCTCTTGCCATCTGACTCCAAGCGGACATCTCTCCCCAGTAAATGCCCACTGACACAACATGGCAGAGCAGTTCGTGGGCTATAGCGTTGTGGTCACACTCAAGTCTCCTCCAAATTGTCGGGTTCAAGGCGTTGTAGCAGATGTTGTCGGACATCGGCTGAGTCTACAGAATGGTGAATATCCTAATCTTTGATCAAATATTTATGGTATTTATTAATTGCCTCTTTGATAGTAACGTTACTGTGGAACAACCAGAATGTCCCAGTATATCACATTGAAGCGTCTGGTATTGCAGATTTGTACCTGTTACCTCAGGAAAGATCTATTCGCACGGATATCTCAGCACCAAATGCCCAGCAAGACACTAGCTTACGTAGTGAACCGCCTCTTCAGCAGCATCAACAACAACAACAACACTCCAACAACTTGCATGAAGCCCAGCCCCAGGAAAACAAGCAGTCTTTCATAGACCCGGCCATCCTCAGCTACCAAAAGCCACCCAGCCAGCGCAATGGTTTAGTTGATATTACACAAGCGCCACAGAAAGCGCTCCCTGTCCAATCTCCTGTGATGATTGGAGGCCACGAACTTCCTGCGCCCTCTGGCTCACTGCAGCCCCTTCCCATTACGACTGCGCCAGAGAGCATCGCTGCCGCTACCCTTACCGCTCCTTTTAATGCGCTTGGTTTAAAGAGTCCCGACGAAAACTTGGGAGATAAATCTTCCTTGCACCGGGTGATAGGTGAGGGTGATGTACACCTGGGTCCACAGGCTCCCTCTGAAACGACTATTAAGTACACGGCGAAGCGGAGTCGGAGGGGCGTGCGAGGAAAATTACAAAATGAGGCAGAAGCGGAAACTATCGAGCCTCAAAACAACAAGCTGTCTACGGGAGCCACAGAAAGCAGCCCGACTTCGAACGGTTGGCGGCAAACCGCCTTTGTGGAACCCGCTCTCGGTCCTACTTCTCAATCCACACGGCGTCTCTCCGTAAGACATAAAAGACGATATAAGCGTCATCCCGAAGAACAAAACGGCTGGGCAACGGAAGATGCAACGGATATCCAGGAGATGGGTGACTTCGATTTTCAAAGCAATCTCTCCAAATTTGATAAACGTCGGATTTTTGATCAGATTAGAAACGACGACACAACTGCCGATGAAGATCGACTTGTCAGTTTTAATAGACGAGCGAGGCCTGGCACAAACGGCGGTCGAAATCTGCACTACACAGAAAATGTATTGGACCCCTTGCCGGAATTCAAGACACAATGGGACGGCACAATACTAGAAACCGATTATGAATATCCCGATGAAAGTAGATTTGAAAATGAGCGAAATCCTAGTAGAGCTCGGTCTAGAGCCTCTATTCCACGTTCCCGGAATGGCAGCGGAGCATTGAGTGCCTCTATTTCCTCTCCCCCAGTCGGTCTTTTCACTAGGGGGCAGTTTATCTCGGCACGAACAGCAAGCCCACGCCCATCACAAAGGCAAGCAGCATCACCCAGAGCAACACCATCTGGATCAGTTGCCGGATTCTTACAGATAGTGCCAACTAGCAGACGCTGTCCGAGTGTCAGCCCTCTTCAAATGTTGGAAGTTGAACAGTTGTCGATCTCAGAACTTGGTCTAACGGAGGACATTATTACGGAGAATGCTGGAAGAGGCATTGCAGAAGCAGTTATATCGCTTACAGGCCTCCAGCGATCTTCTACCGTTCTTATATTTACGGGCAATCACAAGACTGGCGCCCGAGCCATATCTGCTGCTCGACATTTACGAAACCACAACTACCGAGTGACCGTATGCATACTCGGATTAGACCATGACAGTGCGTTTTCTGATAGCTTCCGCAGGCAAGTTGACATTTTTAAAAAAGCGGGCGGTAAAACTTTGAGATGGGAAGAAGTGTCGACAATGCTATCCACTGCGGAGTACTCTCCCGGGCTTGTTGTTGATGCACTTTTTGGTATGCATGTTGCCTTTGATGATCTACGCACCGACGATCAGCAAACTGCATTTGAAATCATTTCGTGGACCAATCGAAGCGGGATCGGCGTTGTATGTGTTGACATACCAGCGGGGCTTTCAGCTTCGACAGGTGAGCAAGATTCAAAGACTTTCTGCAAAAGAGTCCATAAAGAATTTACGTTTCATAATAGGCGAACCGACTTTTATGCAAGGTGCCGGCCTCGCAATCAATGCGACGTTTATCGTCTGCCTTGGAGCTCCTAAAATCGGTATCATAAATGCATTATCTGCTGGCCGAGGTGAATCCTGGCAAATTGCTGCCGTTGATGTTGGAATTAGCCAAACAGCGTGGAGAAAATACGGAGCCAGGAAACGCTATGGGGTGGAGTTTGGGGATAAATGGGTAGTGCCGCTGAGGTTTCAAGCAGCATCACCATCTTAGCATACGTTGTTGCGGTTCCCAAAATCTCTACTACGCTACTACAAAATTCTGTGACGCCCTCCAATCACCTTTTTGCTGGGCGTATCTGATAGCGGTTAATTAGGATATTGTTATGGCTCAGGGGGGCTCGGGGTCCCGGCATCGTACAGGCATGCTGGTGCATATAGCTATGGATATCCCGGCTACCTCGCAATTTATTAACACCTGTCGCATATGTGCATAAATCAATCTCAAGACTTGTCCTGAGCATTGCTATTGTTGACATTGCTTTCTTGGAGGTAACAAAATGTTTTCTGGGAAGCTGTAGGTATCTGCGGCAGAGAATACTAGGTCGTAGCTCGCCGCCACCCTATTAAGTTACTTATTCCGCACTCCCTACTTTCGATACCTCGACAACTAGAGATATAACTACCGAGACATCCTTCATCCCCAATTCCAACTCATTAGATGTGCCAACGTCTGCTTCGTAAATAACGAATTACGCTGTGAGACCCAAGAAAGGTATTGCAATGGCCCAGTGTAGATCTCTGCTAAGTATGGTATGTGTACTTGGTGTACTCCTATTGCAGATGCTACTGCTGTAAATTATGAATGTAGAACGAAGTCGAAGATGGCAGGTACTGTCGGGCTCGGCTTGACAATTTCAGATACGGGCACGAAACTGGCTGTTTAACCATTTAATAACCATGTTTTTTTTTTATCCCAGAAAGCGTCTAAAGAATAAACAGGCGGGTCACCATTCTCATGTCTCCCCAGAGGAAAAAATGGACATCTACCTTCTATGACTACCCCTACTAACGTATTTTCTTCAACATGCAAGATGCCGGTAATGCCATCCTAGCTGGGTCAAATATGGGTTCATGTCACAGGCTCCAACGGCTACATTGGCTCACACGTTGTCAATACGCTGCTTTAGCATGAATACCATGTTAGGGGAACTGTGAGAGTAGAACGACATTGGCTTGACAGGGTTTTCAAATTCCAAATATTCACCCGGAAGATTCGAGACTAGAAGATGACAATCCATTACAGAACTGATCAGAGGGACTGCTATATTCGTTTTTTGAGTAAGGATTCTCTTGAGGATTGGTTGGCGGCCATAGTTGGTGATCTCTTGTAGCTTTAATACCTAGACGAGTCATGACCCAGGAGAGAAAAGCTGATCAAGCGTCCATTAGAAGAGAAAGCAATTATTATAAGTAATGGGAACTCAGGAGCAAGAAGATCCTTGTTTGTCCCGTGGCGGAATGGTGCTGAATTTCAAGTTGACATCAATACATCAATAATTCCACCAGCACGTAGCGTCCTTCTAAGTAAACTGGCCCTATATTTAATATAAGCAGAGAGGGGCTAGTTACGGAGTACAGTTGGAACTAAATAGGATATTATACTACGCAAAGCACAAGTAAAGAGTATGTTTGTGCGGGCGGAAGTCGCGGTCACGTGAAACACCTTCGTCACATTTCGAAGCTGCGAAGCCGAGAATCCCAGTTACAGCAATTCTATCTACTAATTCATGCGAGTATGGGGAAAGGTGAGAAACTGTGGCTGCAAAAAGGCCTCTTGGTTACCTCCAGGCTAATTATTTATAGGAACTGACAAGCTCTACGTACGCGTCTCCCTCTTCATCATCCCAGGTTCTATACTAACAACCAGGGGTTTACACCAGATAACTCACTCCGAATGGGCATCTGAGGACTCTTACTCCGCCAGTGTTGGTGCCGGTGCTGCAAGACCTAAGGGTACTGTCACTCATGGCTCCTTTAAGCGGCTACCATTCAATTTTTGCTCGCTCTCTTTGCAGCCTTTCTCACACCCAGTCTGTACTCCCGCAGGCATCATATTTGATTTGACAAATATATTACCCTGGCTAAAGAAATATGGTACAAATCCGGTAAATGGTGAACCGTTGAAGAGCTCCGATCTGGTCAAATTAAATTTTGCAAAGAACGAGGCCAACGAATATGTTGACCCAGTTACCTTCAAAGTGTTCACTGATAATACGCATATCGTGGCATTGTGTAATACGGGAAATGTATTTGCATGGGATACAGTGGAGAGGCTTAATATAAAGGGCAAAATGTGGCGAGATTTGGTTTCCGATCAAGAATTCACGAGGAAGGATATAATTACGCTACAAGATCCGCAAAATGTCGAATCGAGGGACCTAAGCTCTTTCAAATATTTAAATGACGGCGATACGTCGCATCAGACTCAGCCAGGCGGAAATGTCAATTTAGCTGCTATGGGCAGTTCAGCCAGAATCCTAAAGGCAAAGGAGGCAGTTGCAAAAGCGAGAGCGACCCGAGAGACCCAAAAAGATAATCTCGTCGAGGCAGCCAAATCGAAGGCAAAAATTTCTAGTCAATCAAAGGCTAGTACTATCAAAACTTCACTTGCTCCTGGGAAACAAACCCCGTTCAATGCTGCCAGGCATACGACTGGATTAGCGGCTGCATCATTCACGAGCACTGGACTCACACCACATACTTCTGCAGAGCTGGCCCTTCTCACTGATGAACAATATATGCTCAAGCGTGGTCGTGTGAAGCTAAAGGGCTATGCCCGTATTTCAACGAACTTAGGTGATCTGAATCTGGAACTTCATACCGAACATGCTCCCAAAGCTGTTTGGAATTTTATCAAGCTAGCTAAGAAAGGATATTATAAAGATGTTACGTTTCACCGCAATATAAAAGGTTTCATGATTCAAGGAGGCGACCCAACGGGTACTGGAAAAGGAGGTGAGAGCATATGGGGTAAATATTTTGCTGATGAGACTATTGGGTCGATAAAACACGACTCAAGGGGAACTTTGAGCATGGCGAACAAGGGAAAAGACACGAATAGTAGCCAATTGTGAGTGCCCCGCTCTCTGAGATAGTCACATAGAAACTAACTATCCTTAGCTTCATAGCCTACCGTGCGCTGCCACATCTCAACAATAAGCACACCGTATTTGGTCATGTCATTGACGACCCGTCGCCGTCATCTCCGACACTAGATGCTATGGAATCTGCCCCAATTGACTCGTCCGCGTCTAACAGGCCCACTCCGCCGATATGTATTCATGATGTGACAGTATTCGTTGATCCATTTGAGGAGTTCTTATCTCAAAAAAAACAGGAAGAAACTAGCAATAAAGATCAATTGCCCCTGACTTCCACGAGCAATACCAATAATGACGATGACGAACGGGTGACGTGGACGGGCAAAAGAGTTCGTGGTGAAGGCGCGAAAGAACCTACCAGCGATGTCGGAGTTGGGAAGTATCTTAAGCAGGCCGCAGCAAATCAATGCAGTCATGATAATGATGAAATTGTTGAATTCATTGATGATGAATTCGACATTGAACATACCAAAAAGAAGACTAAAATTGGCACCGGAGGATTTGGGAATTTTGATAATTGGTGAATACATGTGCTGTGTGTATGATATTGATGAAATCTAGTTGCTCTGCGTGCATGGGAGGAGTTTGCGGCGTGCCGTCACTTGGTTGGATTTTAGGCAAAAATACCAGAAGAGCCCTGAATCGCAAGGTTGGGCCTATGAAAGAACCCATGAAAGAAGTTGAATATTGGAAAAGCAAACCCAGTCATTTTGGATGCCAGCAAGCTACTCAGAGTGTTACCCCAATGTCATAGTATGCTTACTAGTGGGTTGCCTCTACTCCCTCATCAAAATTTTCAGAATACCGTGGTACGCCTGGACTTGCCTCACGCAGAAGAAAAGGGGGTCTCTGAAAGTACGCTGCGGGATAGTCGGTCCAATGACCTTGAAACCATGGAAAAGACACGACTTCCCTGAAAGTTGGGCGATCGGCCTCTTCTCTTGCCAGAAGTGCTCTCAGGACATCAATACAATCCTGTGATAACCCAGGGTCTATTGCCAAATCCTCAAAAACCATTCTCTGTCTCCTCTCGCGTATGTATAGCACGCTCTTTTCAGTCCGTTTGTATTCATGAAAACTGCGGAGGACGCCCACTTCAGGGTCCCATTCGGGCTGCTCCCAGGGTGCGTAGCCGTGTAAGAGGTCATAAATAAGAGCACCCAGTTTCCAAAGAATCTGCTTACGGAGGTCGTGTGGATATGGAATCCTCACCACTCTGGCAGCTCTGGTCGGTGTCGGCTCCGTGGACTGATTGAGAAAGTTTGCAATTTGTGGTGTTATCAGCAATTCAGAAGCCAAAATCGCGGGCCAATTCTCCACGTGCCAATCTGTTTCCGCTGCAGCTGTGCGGCACAACCCGAGATCGACAAGAGTGAGCTGCAATGTAAGGTTAGCATAGCCGTTTGAACGAACCTCTTTTCACTTTTTCAGATTGCTTACATTCAGGTTCTCGTCAACCACATAATTTCGGTGACTCAGATCGTCATGTGCAACATTCAAATCCATCAAATACACCAGTGCCTGTAAAAGGTGAGATGCGACTTTGCATACTTGAATCTCCGTGAGCCTAGGGGATTTTGCATTGAATAGCTCTTCGCCACAATAGCTTGGGAAACAGTGTTCCATCGGATAATCTGTGATCAGAGTCTCTCTTTCAGGTCTCTTTACTACAGCTTCTGAGGACATGGCAACAATTGCAAAATCGCCGTGCATATAGACTGAGTCAAGGCGCGGGAATCGTGGACACTCCGAGAGAAGCTGCAGGATGACTGCCTCCACTGGAATGTATCGGCGTAATTTTGAACCGAGCTCAACGTAGTTGCAAAAGATAGGATTCGAATAGGCTTTCCACTCATTTCTATATCCCGTGTACTGAAGTTTCAGTGCATATTGTCTCCTCATGTTGCCCTTGTCTCTTGCAGCGAGTATGAAGGAACTGGCTTGTTGGGGTTCATAGTTAGCGTAACTAACTAACTAGTTGAGCTACAAGGCCAGTAGGAACGTAGCGTACTTCCTCTACCAACATAACCATATATCTCAAACCGATCTGTGAGATCCCGGCAAATTTTGCCATTTTTCAGTTTAGAGGTAAATTTCCTCATGCACTCTTGTACCATCAGTGGTAGTCGCGGGCAAGCAAAATACTGGAATTCCATGGAATCGAATCGGAACATCTGACGTGTGCGCTTTAAATCTGGTGGGAAGAGATCTTTGCAACGTGAGACATGTCGTATACCACTTTTGTAACGCCGTCTATAAACCCTATGTAAAGGGAGAAGGTGGTCGGGGAATGGGCCATGCGTCATCTGGTGGATAAATGCTCCGGCATCCATGATGTGGGGGCAGTAAAATGTATAGATCTAGAACATAGAAAGAAGATATTTTTCTCTGCCAGAAATGAAAAACTTGAAAAAAAAAAATCTTCTGGTCTCTTCGGAGTTTATATTGGGGGGTATTGTAGAACCCTCAACCCATTTGACAAAGAAATCAAAAACATAGAACATATAAAGGCCATATTTGCACTGAGAAACAGGCCAAAAGCCTTTAGAGAAACAAAGCCCTTTTGTACCAGATTCACTCCAGAGTATGAACAAATCTGTAGAATAGCGCTTAATAAACTTAGATGTGTAGCATTTATATAAACCATATTCCGGCCCGTCATCGACAGCCAGCAGCGATCTTAAAGTTGTATTTGAGGATGCCACTACCAACGGCAGCAACATCTTCCAAAAATTTTTGCATCAATAATTTAGCAGTTCTAAGTGATATAAATAACCGGTAAGGTATTGGAGTATAGTATCTAAGGGTGGAGAAAGTAGGTTATAAGGGTAAGAGTCCCAGTTTATGTATGCAGTTATAGAAATGCATTTTCAGACAATGGAATCAGCTTTCCTGTGAATTTGTTTAGAGCTGCTATTGGTATAGCATTCATGTATCCAGTAAGCCTCTTGTAAAGAAAACGCAATGATGAATACTTTCAGAATGGCTTCACAACAACTAGGGGAAGTTACCTTGAATGTCTTTATTTTCTCTGTTTATCTGCTTCTTCCAGAGTATAACTCCTTTGCTGACATATTGTAGGAGCTTGGGATCTCCTATAGGTGTGCATTGGGCACAGCCCAGAGATCCGTGGTTTTTCTGCTCCTGTAGAAAATAACTTGTTATTGCTTACTCTCTCAGTTAACCTCAATGATGCTGTCGCCGAGCATGTCAATAATCATGTGCTGTAAATTATCTAGTGAAGTTTTCATGGCTTCTCAGCCAGCTGCTTTTCTTAGGTTTGTTCATTTCTCTCACTTGCAAATTCTTCCTGGTATCCTCTTTTTACCATCAATATCTTGTGCTCTGGGTTGTTCAGCTGAACTTTTACCTGAAGCACCATTATAAAGTGGATTGTTCACTAACAGACATTTTCTATGAGCAATCTCCATGTTATTTTCGTCGCACCTTGTCACTGTGAAGTTCTGTTGAAGGAACTCAGCTTTCAAGTGCTACCTTACTTGCTGCTAGTACTATTTCAAGTTCGAGTAGTCTACTCGTACAGCCTTACTTGACGCCTATTACCATCGACAAGATGGATAGCGCTGAAGTACGTTATGGAGTCCCTGAGTGTTTCTGCATCACGGCTCCTCATCGTCGAGAACGGTTTGACTGGGAAGGGAAAGTCAGCAACAGCCTTTTTTATGGAGAAGCATCCAGCCTTGTGTACATGATTGCAAAGCCAATGATTTGGGAAGACGACGAGGACATAAACGCTAGAGTGAGTAAGTGCCTATGAGACGTGTTAGGGCGGGGCAACGTATAGACGCTAATGTCAAGGCAATTCTGTTCAGATCGCCTCTGAATCGACATTGAACGAAAGAGGGAAAGCTGAAAAATCCATCTCACGACGGTTTGCCCCTATTCTGGAAGTACCACATGAAATATTTGGTTCCGTTTTCGAGTATTTGGATATTCAGAGTATCTTCAACCTCGGGTTGACCTGCCAAGAGCTATGGCCTTTATCAAAGTACTTTATCAAAAAACGACTTAAAAGAGTCTTGGGTATCTGGGCCGGAACTCCTCTTATTTGCCCGGGCTGTGATCATCCAAAGGGCGAAAGCTTGTACCCTCCCGGCCTTCTAAGCAGATCGGCAGAGGAAGAATTGAAGAAGGGGTTGCGCGTCGGAGAGCCTAGCCCTCTTGTAAAGTTACTGCACATTCCTGGGCACGAAGAAATTGAGCAGAGATACTACAAAACGAATCTCTTTGGGCTTGCCGTCAAACGATACAAAATGGTTCCCTTGGCGGATATATCATTTGAATCAATAATAATTGCTGCCTCGTATGCGCCTGGAACGCCTCATCCCAGAGATATGTTCAAAATTGCGAAGCCAGTTCCTGCCCTCCTCTACCCAGAGGAAGAGAAATGGATCCTTCGCAACTTGACTACACGTGAGTTCGTTCGTGCCGAAACAATCGCCCTAAGGCCGGAGTACATTCAAGGGCCATTCATAAGGGTCATTGGGTTCCCTGAACTCATTATCTCCAAAACCTGCTGGTCTGAAGACCCCAACACCTGGATCAACATCCCTATCAACAAGGGTCCCTGGGCTGGCCATTGTTTCGATGTAATCCCAATCTCTAAGCTCAAAAATATAGAAACATGGGTCGATATCGGTGTCCAGGTCGCCGAGGAGCTAAGGGGGCTGTGTAGGGCGCAATATGGGCACCTTTGGAGAGAGAGACTTGTCCATCGATTCGAGCGCAAAACGAAGGATGCTTGGGGCCGTTGGAGGAACGAAACGCTATGGGAGACCGCGCAGAGACAGGCAAGCTCAAGTCCCCAAGGTTTTTTGGATTTCTTTCGATAAAAGTGAAAAATCGTTGGGCTTGAAAGCGGGGTTTCTTTTAGGTTGAGGGGCTTGTTGGTAATCTTAGAGAATTGGATCAAATTTATTGTTCATTGTTCCCTTAAAGCCGTCTTAAAGTGAACATACAGTGGGCTTGTGGCTTAAGCCACATTGTTTTGCTCTTGTTGATACGGAGTACTTTGGTGTTGGTTCAAACAAGCTCAAGGTGCAGCTTGGCAGCAGCCCCTGCACTTGGCTTCACCAAGCACACAAGACAATGGGAGGACACAGGAAGCACTACAGTCTATTTCTCGTATAGTAAGTAGGTGTCCATGGGACTTGTATATGGCTATGTAGAGTATTCTAAAAGACACCCTAAGTCTCCTTAGCTCCAAGTGCCTCGGGGCAGCAAGTCTATGAAAAGGAATAATTCCTAGCCCTGGCTGGCCCTTTAGACATTCGCTGGAGTCTCCTCATGAGCGGGTCTATCAGACTCGTGGGTCTTCTCAAATACGCTTGCAGTAGCAAGTTCTCGCTCCTCAATCGCTTTGGCATACATCTCCTCTTCCTCTTCAGTCGCGCCGTAGAAACGAACTGCTACCTTTTCTCCAAACGCGGCATTGATATCTTCCAGGCTCCTCTGCTTTGTCTCTGGGTACAAAAAATACACACCTGTAAGATGCAAGGCTGTGGGAAATATCAGAACAAAAGAACTTCCATTTTATCACATCCAGGGCAATGGGCCCCGCAACAAGAACAATAATTGTAGCTGAAAAGGTCCCAACCATGCCCAAGGCCATGCCCTGGCTGCGAGTTTGTGTAGGGAAAATTTCGGAAAGGTAGAGGAATTGTGTAGCGTCGATGAAGGTGGACCAGAAGAAAATAAAGAGAAAAAGGAAGAATACGGCAGCTTTTTGACCGGCTGCGTTATCTGTTCCTAGGTAGACTGCCTGAGTCCAGCATTCCATGACAAGGCAAAAGAGGAGGCCGCTGAGCCCGGTAAGAAGGAAAAATCGGCGACCTAGACGGTCGACAAAGAAGGCGGTGAACACATTGCCCGGGAATGATGCAGTGACCCAGAGTGCTGAGAGAAGCAGAGGCATGAAAGTCTTCATCCCAAGAGAAGCGTAGAGAAGAACACCATAGTTGGCAATGACAAGAACTCCCTTTTGAAATAAATGTGTTGTTAGAATCCAGTGATATCAAAATGAAATGCACAGAAGAAAAAATAGGCTTACAGTGAATTGATTTCCAAACATCAGTGCGAACCCGACAAAGGCTCGGCGACGATTGGGACCAGTCTTGAATAGATCCCATCTTCCCGTATTTTGCTTAATTTCGCGGTCAAGCTCTAGCTGTTTCTTCATCTGAAAGTACTCTTTCTCAGCAGAGATGTTATTCGGATCGTCAGCGGTACGATGCAACCGAATTAAGACTGCATGAGCTTCTTCATGTCGGCCTTTCTCTAGAAGCCACCGTGGGGAGAAAGGAAGCCACGGGGATCCGATAAGCAGAAGAATAGCCGGGGCTGCCTGAAAGGCCAACGGGAACCTCCATGCAAAGGATGTCATGTTCCCATTAGCGGATAAAAAGTAGCACCCAAAGCCAATCCAAGATGCTAATGAGTAGCCGACTGCGAACATGATGCCGTGCATAGAAACCATGAAACCCCGTGAGCTTGGAGCGGATGCCTCTGCTTGATACCTGGAAAGATTGCTTAAGTTAGAAAATTAACAGAATAATGAATAACGCATATCACATACATAGGAATACCTGTAATTAAGATACCGATGCCAAATCCAGCAATAAAGCGAGCAACCAAAAACATAGCCATATTTACAGACCCTGCGCAGAGAGCAGCTCCAATGATGAGAATGACAGATCCCAGTTGTAGAGAACGCAATCTTCCATAACGATCAGCCGACCAGGAGACAAATGCACATCCGAAAGCAGAACCAGCAGAGTTAAGGCCGTTCATAGCGCCAATCAGAGTAGAGGTTTTATCGTAACCCGGCTCGCCCTGCATGGCGAGCTGGAAGTCTTTGTAAAAGCTTGGCTGGCCAATGGTTGAACTGATAATGGCCATCCCATAGCTACAAGCTGTGGAGCCTAGGGCAACAAATATCACGACCGCAAGGTTGAAGACATTTGGAACAAGTTTACCCATGGTTGCAATTGAACGCAAGGGTCAGTGAGTGGATCAGTGACACCAGATCAGTGCAAGGTGAAAATAGAAGGAAAAAGAAGGGAGCACATCAGATGCTGACTGAACGAAGGACGGCAGACACATCTTAAATGGATAAAATGCTAGCGCTTCACCTTGCTCCTGGCAACTGTCCCCCACCCAGCATCAGGTCACAATGGAATTGCCGAGTAGAGCTCTGGACTACAGAGCAATGAATTGGCGCTTGAAGAGGTACAGCATCCTACTTGAGACAGATAACCGGAGGTTTGGGAGGGGGACTTTGGCTTGCCTCGGGTGTCAATGCTGTTAGATCATGTCAAGTCAACGGCCTATTAACTCTAACCAAAGACGAGGGAGCAAATACAGAACAAATGGCATTGGGTTTGCTCAAACAACGCCCTCAAGCTTTGACGAAGTAGCCAAGCACCATTTCCATATCGGCAACCCGTCATAAAGCCTTCAACCTAATTGTGCATATGGGATGCGGAGAAAACGTGGGCAAATGCAGGGATTGACAACAGTTCAGCAAAGCTTGAAGAAAGCTTGCAGCCTTGAGGGAGGGGAACGAATCAGGCAGAGAGCCGCTATTGACGGCTCCTGACTTGCAAATCGGGGATCTAGATGCTCTAATAAGGTCGCGGCCAGCATATTCTCCATTGCTTGATCACGGCTTAAAGAAGCTTCCTTCAAACGTTATGCCCCATCCTCCCGCTCCCCCTCGGCAAGGTGGGCGAATGAATAACAACGATGGATTCTATCCGAACAAGTGTCCGTAGTATCCAGATCATCGGGAACACGCGAAGGAATGGGCCGAAAGGGAAGGTATGGGGAAACTGGAGAAGCTTGAATACATCAACAAGATGGGCCAAAGCAAGCTAGGATAGCTCCAGCCGTGGAGCCCGGCCCAACGGTTGCTCTTATCTCCATATTACTACCGGTAGCAATATGGAGCCGCTCTCAAGTGGAGGGCGCCGGTTGATGGCGACTCCTCATTCTATCCTTCACGGCGGGACAGGAGACGCTGAGGGGGCAATTGCAGTGGCTGAACCAGCCAAAACGTGCCAGTAGCCGAGGAGCTACCAAAGCTTGGTTCAGTAAGAGCCGAAGTGGTCTTTTTGCACCCATTAAAATGGGATTGATGATACATTTTGAGGTCTGTTCTCATTGGACAAGTTGCCGAGCTTGATCGGCGACGGTGTTATGCGCTGCTGGGAGGTCGGCCGGCGATAGCTGTGATGCCGAACACACAGACCACGGTTGGCAAGTTTGGGGATGTTTGCTCAGGGGCCGTGTTTGCCTGCACTGCAAACATTCGGATAACAGCCAATTACTGTCACGCATCTCGAAGCTGACGTACAGCCAATGAGAGGCACCGCGCGCCGGTTGCACATGATCAAGCTAGGGCTAGGGCACCTCCCTATCGGGCTAGCGGAACCCACTTCCGCCTAGTGTATGTAGCTTGGCGCCGCGCACATGAGTGGGGCCCGGCCACGCGCTGGGAATCCTTCGGCCGGGACCAGGCCGGTTGCAACGAGCCACAAGCGATGCGCGACATCCAGCGGTCGTGGAGCGACGAGTGCTTGAGGGAGCTTGGGTGACAGTCTCCCGTTCTGAAGATGCCCACAGAAAGCGGAGGCCTTGCTAATTATAATTAACCACTACTTACCCATGGTGCAGCATACGTACTCGCAGCACACTGAACATCAGGCAGTGGATCCGCAAGACTGGAGGGAGGTATCTAAGGTCTCACTATCAAGTATCCATCGGGAAGCAAACTCAATTCGAGTGTTTTGAGGATCCTTCGTTTCGGTGCAATAATAATATTAAAATGGCAAACACGAAGGCAACCGTTGGACTTTATGCGCCAGTGACGCTCTCGAATCCTACCATTTTCCAAGGCCTGTCCACTATTGAGAGTGCGAAATCGCGCCGTGTACTCCATATGGAGTAGTATTTAGCTGCCGGCTGGAATTTGCGATTGCATACGTGTATCACTGCGCTTCCTTTTGCGTCCGCGCGCCGTGAGTAGATACACTCAGACTCCATAGTGGAAGCGTATACGGAGTACGGTTGACCGTTTGTTCTCAAGGATGCACTGGCCGCTCTGCAGCTTCTCTCCTACAGCTCAATAATACTAGCAATCGTGCACCATCGGAGATTGCCTGCAACTGCAGTTGCCAAATCACATTCAAAAGCTTGTTGCTGTCCCTTGTGCCCGTCTAGAGACCGACGTGTAGAGAGGTGACCAGGGTGCGACGGACCCTGAAGGACAGGGCATTCACACCCCCGAAGGTCCTATGATCAAAATGCGCGCATTGAATGAACGGCTTCGGTTCCGCGTAACAGCCCTGCGCAATTGAGGGCTGTAACATCATATTGTCTTGGTCTGCTGAGGAAAGATAAAGCCGCTGGGGGAATTTGATTGTGACTAGCGGACCGCCAACAAGCGCTAAATCTGCGGGGGCCGTAGAGATGCTGCAGGAGAAGCAGTGCTTGTCTGTATATCTCAACAGGGTACGGAGTAGGCCATGATGCGTCCTACAGTAGTAGTATGCACGCCCTTCTATCCTCTGTATACATACTCGGCATCCAGAGTGGCAAATTGAGGCGTTTCGACGCCTTGATATCGAAGCACCCCACCCCGGTCAGACACAACCGATACAGATTGAAGATACTGTAGATAGGCTTTCGCAGAATCTTCTTGTCCCGTTTCATCTTCTGGTTTCGAACTTTGCAGGCGGTCCGCCTCCTTTTTGTTGGCGCACGCAACCTTGGCGCCAATGATGCCATTCCGTTGAGACTCGGTGAGGCAGATCGCCTGCTTCCTTGCACCGGCCGGCGTGCTCATTTGACGGTGTGGTTAGCCTTTGGCTGATCGCTGGAGCACCCCCAAGCTTGGTGCTACTGTTTCCACCTGGGGGTCACAATCCGTATACAATGCATCACGTTTCCCCGATGGTATATTTATAGGACTCTATCTTCCCCCGCGGTTCTTCTGGCAGATAGTCTAGGAGGAGGGTCTCCTGCCGTCTACTTAAAATCTTTTCTGTGCCCCCGTATGTCCAGTCGCTGCGCCCGTACCCATCATGGCTGCCAAAGGTACGGACACCGACGGCCTGTCGAAGCTCAACTCGCGCGAGCATGTCGAGCATGGGTCGCTGCCGGGCGGCGATGCCGGTGAAACCTCATCGGCACCCCTACACAGAAAACTGAAGTCACGGCATCTGCAAATGATCGCCATCGGAGGTATGCTCGATCCTCACACTGTGCTTCCCACCTTACCTAACGGTTGACTACCAGGCATCATCGGCCCTGGTCTCCTTGTCGGCTCTGGAAATGCCTTACATCTTGCGGGACCTGCAGGAATCCTGATCAGTTTCTCGTTTGTTGGCATCATCGTCTTCTTTGTCATGTCTGCCTCGCCCTCCTAGGGCTGATAGCCCATGTTACTCCACGGGTGGCAGCCAGCTAATGCCATGTTCTTTCAGGCAAGCCCTCGGAGAGTTAGCCACACTTATACCCGTAACAGGCTCCTTTACGGACTATTCAGCCCGATTTGTTGATGATTCCTTGGCTTTTGGCCTCGGCTGGGCTTATTGGTATCTGTGGGTGACTGTAAGAGACACCATTCGCTCCCCCTGCTCAGTAATGTCCTTCTCAACGAATCGCCTCATTTGCAGGTCCTAGCCAATGAATACAATGCGCTGTCCCTTGTAATGGGATATTGGACGCAGGTTGTCCCACCGTGGGCATGGATTTTGATGTACTGGTTTCTGTTCCTTCTACTGTCTCAACTGGGTATCTTGGTCTTTGGAGAGGTCGAGTTTTGGCTAGCATTGTATGAGACTCCTCCCTTTCATCTTTGGGAGATTCAATTAATGCTTCCCAGGATTAAAATAATTTCACTTACGATCTTTTTCATCCTGGCCATTGCCATCAGCAGCGGTGGAATTGGTGGTCGCACCATTGGGTTCAAATATTGGGAAGACCCAGGGGCGTTCGCAGACTCTATAAATGGAGTTGCACGAACCTTCGTCATAGCAGGAACCCTTTATGCAGGAACCGAAATGTGAGTAGCACTGTATGCTCCAACACTAAGCATCAGCTTTCTAACAGAAACAGGGTGGGTATCACCGCTGGCGAGTCTTCTGACCCTATGAGAGCAGTCCCTCGTGCGATTAGACAGGTCTTTTGGCGTATATTAATCTTCTACGTCGGTAAGTTCGCTCTTACCTAGCCATCTTCGAGACGAGCTTAGTATTAACTTTCACCAATACAGGAATGATGTTTTTTATTGGAATTCTTATGCCATACAATGACAAGCGCCTTCTTGCATCTGGCTCCAAGACCGCACAGTCACCGCTTACGATTGCTCTGACCGATGCCGGCATAGTCCCGGGTGCGCACCTGATTAACGCCTTAATTGTTATATCCGTAATATCAGCAGGCAACAGTTCGCTATATGTTTCTTCACGTACACTGATGTACCTGGGCCGCACGGGAAAAGCTCCAAGTTTTCTCGGCCGAACCAACAAACGGGGCGTACCGTGGGTTGCACTACTCACATCCAATCTATTTGCTTGTATTGCATTTTTGTCGCTATCTTCAAGCGCAGGGAGAGTCTACAGTGCTTTGATCACTTTATCTGGTGGTAAGAAATCCGCTACATCTTGAAATATTCTGTTTCCTATGGACACCCCTTGAAATTGAACAGTTACTAAGATGGAATAGTGTCAACCTTCTTGGTCTGGGCCACCATTTGCATCACGCACATCCGATTCAGAAATGCTCTTGCTCTGCAGGGAGAGGACCCTGCAAGCCTTCCTTTCAGAGCCGCTCTTTACCCTTACGGAACCTACTTTGCGCTCGCGGCCAACGTGGTCCTCATCTTTTTCCAAGGATACACGGCTTTTGTAGGCACGTTCAAACCTGTCGACTTCGTTATAAACTATGTTCTCTTGCCAATATTTGTCATCTTCGTTGTGTTCTGGAAATTCTACAAGAAAACAGTGTTCGTGAAACTTGCCGATATGGATATCTGGACGGGACGAAGGGCACTCAGCGAGATTTCTCCCGAAGAAGAGGAGGACAACCCGGAGACGAACAAAGGGAAGTTGATATGGAAGAAGATTAAAAACATATTTGTTGGTTAGCTGCGGTCATTATTTTTGGAATACGAAGTAACGTCAAGGCACAATGTATACAGCCACGCTGACTGCATCATCATCGCAAGCTTGCGGGTCTTATCTCAACATATGGATTTTTCATTCTGGGGATCAATAATGCCAATGACTATGCCTTCCTACACCTCAGCCTGGGCTCCTATTTCAGCCTCGTATGCGCCATTTATTTTGCTTGTACATGTTTGATTTCGGGCCATATTATTGGGACGAGCTGGTAGAAAGGAGCGATGCCATGCCATAGCCAATATGGGGAATACTTGGATATATGCCTTCAGGATTCGCGCACGAACCTAAATTCTTTGAGATGGCTTCGTATGTACGGAGTATGGGGATGCTAGGCACTGTGCGCTATGTCGAGCCGATTAGACGCTTGGAGCACCGTGCATTCAAGCCTTCTCCAGAACCCATATTGAAAGGAACACCTTGGCTCCGAGCACCCGCGCCGTGCCGCGTTTTAGCGGCAAGAGTTAACTAGGCCGGCCAAGCACCCCTCATTTTCAGGTGGCCTCTTCCGGCCACGTCTACTCGTACGATCTCGCCTTGCGCAGCCGGCAAATGAGCAGCAATGAGAGGAGACTAGCTTCTCTAGCAGGTAAACCAAGATTGGTCATTTTCGCTACAAAGTACGCCTTATATTTCTAACGCACGTGTATAAAACTATGTTATTGGAAACCCCCACGCCTTGCCGTCTGGCTGTGGGTCGAATTATGCCGGGTATTCCATCCCGCAGCTTCGGCTCCAGACACTTCTCATTGGCCCCGTATCATGGGATAGTTGGCTGGCACCAAGCATGCAAATGCCGCCTGGGATAGTACGCAGCGATACACTCCCTCCATTCCATATCCTGGGGCGTAGTTCCATCTATCGCCATATCAAACTGGCGTATCGTCGTGGCGAATGCTATGTATAACTCGCACCAAGCCAGGTTTGTCCCAAAGCACATTCGCGGCCCTCTACTAAACGGAACCAACCAATGGTCAAGATTCGCAGAGTCAGGTTGTTCCAGCCAGCGGTCTGGGGTAAAACTCAAAGGATCTTTGAATTTTTCCTCGGAAAAGTGAACATGGAGTATGGCCATGCCGACTATCGCGCCCGCAGGAATCTTTTGACCGGATATCATAGCACCCGAGCTAGGAACAACACGTGTTAGTGATACGCCGGACGGGATATGCCGTAGGGATTCCTTAATAGTTGCTGTAAGGAGTGGCAACGTTTCCAAGTCTTCTAAAGAAGGAGGACTCGATATGTCAGGCCATACAGCTAAAACCTCCGATTTTAGTCTGCGGAGAAGCTTCGGCTGATTGAGCAAGTGCCAGTGTCCTATCAATATTGCATCTGCAACAGTGCTTGCACCCGCGAATATCAACGTGACACCTTCTTCCTGCAACTCGTCGTGGTTTGGGAGTGATTTGCTGCGGTGGGCTTCTGGGTTTAACATTTGGTGAAAGATAGTTTGGTGGGGCGCCTCGTCTAGCTTTCGTGGGTCCTGCAGTATTTGATCTAATTGGTCTTGTATTATTGCCCACACGTGGTAAATTCTTGGGGCGAGACTTTTGCTGCCTGGAAGCATCTTCATCATCCATCGGTGTGGTATACTGTAGGCAATTTTACGGATGAGCGGAAAGTTCTTCAAAATCGGAAGGGCACGTAAGCTAGAGTTCATTGCAACTATCAAAGGGTCCGCAAATCCAGGAGAATTCAGAGCGCCCATACAGGTGCCAAAGGTGAAGCACATGATAGTATCGAGAGTAAAGGAGCGGAAGGCGTACAGCAGATCAACCGACTGTCCTGCTGCATTAATATTTGTCATAGACGAGACAAGATGTTTTGCCTGAATTGTTAGTTTTATTAGAAGTAGAAGCATGCTTTCCTTACTTACATTGCGCCATACAAGATATTCGATGTTCAAGATCGCCTTTTTGGAAAACATTGGTTGTAGAACATTCCGCCGCTCTTTCGCGTGATGGTACTTGAGAAGGACGAAGGAGCCAGATCGAATCCCAGGTGTGCCATACAGAGCTTCGTCCTTGTCCCACCGTCGAGCGGCATTGTATATTTCGTGGAACGCTGATGGTCGCCCAAAATGAAGCTAAAAATTTATAAGAGGTACCCGCAATATTGGCCAGGGAACATATACCTCATTGGGGCCAATTCGAACAATGTCACCTGAAAGCTATATGAGAACAAAGGGCTGAAGAATCCAAGTGATGACAATACCATATTGTTTGTGGAGGTCGAAGAGCACCTGAGCCATGGTTTCTTGTAAGTAAACTTCTTTATATGCTTTCCACCAGGTAGTAGCAGCTGCTATGCGAGGCCCGGGAAATTTGTGGAGGGGATGAAAGAAGAGGTTATAAATTATTCGGCACAGTATCAGGCATATTGCGACAAGCAGCACTACCACAAGTCTCAACATGATGAATGCCCCCAACAAATGGAGGCCCGGTGTTTTTTTAAACCTCACAAGGATCAAACGGCGACATCCATCAAAATAGGGTCTGCTTGAAAATGCAGATGGGACCAGAGGTCTAAATATCGGCGTTTACGTTTAACATATTCGGCCATTTATAGTCCCATGCATGGCCAACAGCCGTGGCTGTTCATAAACGAGTGCCCGCTTTGGGAAACCCGGTTGCATGGCCGTAAATTTAGAAAACTGGAACATAGAATATAAAAAGACACCGGGTCGAATGACCGCGGCCGTTTATATGCAAGGTTGATTGGATAGAGCGAACTCGCAGTTAGGCTTTAATTGTGAGTTCCAGGAAAGTGATGCACTGCAGGGTGACACTGGAACGACGAACCTGAGCTAAAACGGCGAACTTTGAATCACAATAAGAATTCTGATTTCTTTAATCATCCGCGGTTAATCGATGGACCACAGTTCTGCTAATATCTGAGGCATAAGATGGGCCGCATTGAAGGCGGTTTTGACAGAAGAAGGCTGGTTAAAAAAAGGGTTGGTATTACTGTATAAGCATTTTATTTCGAATTAGATGGTTCCTTCATCCTATCATGGAATGGTTCAATCTGCAAAAACGATCGCTGCAGGCAGACTCCGTGGTTACAGGTTGATTGGTGGTTTAGGCAGGGCGACAAGTGCGTCCGGCTCGGGTAAACAGTTATCCCCGGATGACTAAGGCCAACCCTCGTAAGCGCTAACCCCAGAGTGGGAAAAACATATCACGTGAAAGACAGGGGCACCTGGAACCGGCGACATCAACCACGGCGACAGCCCATCACAGCCATCGCGGATGCAGCTCATGCTTCCAGGCGCCTTCAGACCTTCTAGACCCTTTCATTAGACTGCGCTCGCCTAGACGGCTGCATCCCTGCCATGCTTCGTTTGAGTTGTCCTATTCGCATGTTTGTACCGATGCTACGCATATTTGGAATTAGTTAGCGAGAGCTGCTCTCCCACCCTTGCAAACGGAGACCAGTTGCCCAACCTCAGTAACAACCCCGCCAGGTGGCCTTGAACTAGGATAAGTACTGCATTTTCGACAAATCTCTGGTGTTAGTTGGGGACCGTTGCTCATCCAAACTTGAGACATATTAAGACTCTTTTGGTCATTGCTTTGTGGCCTGCACAGGCTTGTGTGCATGGGAGCAAAACAGGATCTTGGGCATTTGCAACATCCGGTTGAAGTTCAAATCGCCCGCCATCTGTGTTAATAATGTGCATCACCCCCCATGGAGTAGTTCCTCTGTGTTACCCGCCAACTCAGAGCAGCAGGATGCTCGTGTCATGCAGTGACACATACTAGGTAGCAGATGACTTGAGGTGTGTTGCCCCAAAAAACCGTTAGCTTTCAAACCTTGCTACCAACGTGTTTATGACCCACATCATTACTGGCTGTGAATGGGGAATCTGGGTATCAGCTCTTTAACAAAACCAACACAGATCCTTTACATATACCATCGCCTGTTTGGATATTGGTGTGTGCCTTAGTCGGGAATATACCTGTTACCTATACAATGGCAATGAGTTTATCCAGAGAGACGATATGTTAGGTATAATCGAGACATATTTGGGCTAAATACGGTAAAAATGTTACTATTTCGAATAGAAACTACATCAAGCGTTAGTTTCATCGCTCTGAAGTACGGATTACATACTAGCCAGCGGGGAGCACAAGTAAACGCGGCGAATGGATCTCGATTCCGAGACCCCTTCCCCTGTATGGAATGGTTGCTTATTTAAAAGCGGTAATTAATCTACCTTCCTATTCTCCATATGACTCAGTTAGCTACTCAATTTCAGGGGTGTTGTTTAAAGAATGATTCATCGGTCGCTACCCTGGGATTACTGATCATAGCCAAATATAAGAGCCCAAATGAATGCTGCTCCGAGAACACATAAGCGTTGGAGATATCTTCTTCCTGCTTTTCTCTCTGCTTATAAGCGATTTGAGATAGGACATATCTGCTTTTTTAAATTGTCCGCGTTGCTTCTTGCTTTTTCAACCAGTCCTATTCAGTAAGTCGTATTTGTAATTTTTATTCTGTGAGATAGTGCTGATTTCTCCTATTATTGCTGAAAGGTTTTCTCTCCGCACAGTGGACTTCAGCGACAGTATTTTAGTTAACTGGGTAGCTAAGTGCAACATTTCTTATACATAAGAGAGTGGTAGCACTTACTTGATGGAACGCAAACAAACCCCGTCTGCCCCTGAAACTCAGTCTGACTTACACAGATTAGGGTTGCGGCCCGCAATGGAGTTGCCAATGACCGGCTCGGGCCTGGAGTCAATGCTACCAGAGGCACGCTTTTCAACAAACCAAACCCATCAACATAATTTTCTTCTGTACTCTACTCCTTGTCGTGACTTGGCCTGTGAATACATACACTTGAAACTATTTTCTACAGAACATCTCTGTTGTGTTTGAGACAGACCCTCCATCCATTTCTACTTTGGGTGCTATTCGTCTGTTTCCTAAAAATTGGGACCGGCTCTATCCTAGTCCTATATTTGAAGCGCAGTGACTGCAGGGTCTTAAGTATGAGAGTATCACTAGTCCTGCAGTGGTGTGGTCTTTTAGACGTCACGGCTAAACGACGAAAGGCCTAGAAGCCTGGAACATCAGGTTATTCATGGGAAGATAGGTATGCCATTCTATCCAGAATTATTCCTGTATGAAGCAAAAGAGATAATGATGGTAAGTAAAGCTATAATGTATTGTTACCAGATGCTAACAGGATAAGTTTTTAAGGGGAACTCGCTCATACGATACATTTGGGCCTTATATTTTTCAGAGAGTGTAACTGGTTGGGACTCAGCCTCAGACAAATATCACTTCCTCCTCTAGGAACGCCCTTTAAATTTCCATCTTAAAAGGATTCGGTCGTGCCTCTAACGGAGAAGAAATTCTCTGGGCTACCCTCCGCGATGGGAACCCTACAATGTATCAATTTATCGAAGATGCAACTCCGTATTTTACTCCATACGGAGTGCACCACAAAGATCATTTCCAATAATGCAGTCTGCTGACGAGTGAATTATGCCCCTGGATTGCGCTGCGATGAAGAGAGAATAGCAATTCAATGTCCAATACATAGAGGTCAAGATATGTGTTGGACATGGCATTCTTCGATACTCAGTCTTTCCGGCTCTCCAAAGCCATATTGATTTCAATCCTTCTTATCATCGGCATTCTTCTTTGGTTCAACACACTTCACCCAATGGTTCTTTGGCTCGTCTCCTCCATTGTATATCGGCTTCAAAAACCAAACCTGTCGACCGGGCAGAGCAGATGAGACGATTGTTTTCACTCATAATGTGCATGTTCCCATGGAAAGGGTCCAGCTTGCCATCAGTTCTGCGTGTTTCATGTGATTGGGACCTATGTCCACAAAGATATTGGAACACACAGAGAGTTAGGGAGTCAGGGAAAGGAATAAGAATAATTTACCTAATTTAAACAATTTTTGTGAAATAAGGAATGAGGCTCTCAACAGGCCTTTCAACCACATCATGACTTACTACCTCAATGATACCGGCACATCAGTAGTGCCAGCCTTCCAAAGGAACCTGAGCAAGCGGCCGCTGTTAGTAATCCTTGCCATGTTGGTGTTACTATAAGGCAGGCCAAGGCTGAATGAGAATAGGCAGAAGTTGTAATATTGATCTAGGGGCCAAAACTTCGGCGACCGTACTCCATACGGAGTAACTACTCCGTGCTCCGGGCTGTCCTTGCACCACAACAGGGCGCAGTGGGGCTACCGGCCTGCGCCCCAGCCTCGCCAACCAGACCGCAGCAAACCATAGACCGCCGGACCGCGGCGTCTTCTCGTAAGGCAACCATTTTCCCCTCCCCAATGATCAGGCTCTCAACCAGCCTCAGCCTGCCCCTCTCAGATGACCCCGCTCTCCCTGCTGATAAACATACCTTGAGAAAAGGCTGCCTTTTCTTTGAGCCGCATTGTGGAACATTCAGGGTGTTGCGTCAAGAAGGCTGGACGAGGCTTCAACATCCTTGAACAAATACGCCTTGTTTTTCATGTGCGCAGCGTGGACGAGCTGGTCTCTCCAGAGCTATCGCTAACCATGGGCTGTTTTCGAGGCTGTGAAGCCTGCAACCCTGCAGAGCTTCGGCATATTTATTGCCTGCCGGACAACCCTCTGCTCCTATCTTTTAACCAGCGGAGCATCATCACTGCTATTCTCTTGCCCTTATTGCTTATTGATACAGCACCTCCAAAGTACGCGGTTAGGTGGTAGCCATGATGAATGAGGCCTTGGACATGCGGATCCCCATGCCGCCTCCTCGATTTCCACACCCGCCGGTCGACGCCTCGCACAGACCTAGCAGCCATATACATCATCTTGCTCATCCGCAAGGCATAGACAGTATTAACAATCGGCTACAAAGACTCAGCTTTGATCCTAGACTAGAACGGAAACAATCTCAGCGGGACCATAGTGCCTTTGATGATGACAGTAGCGAAGATGAGGATCCAGGACAAGAAGAGCGGTATCAAGGGTGGTCGCTATACCGTGCTTCGATCCCCAACCAAGACCCAGATTGGTCGCAAGCTACTAGGTCGAAGATGAACTTGGGCCAGGATGAACTAAGTAACCTTGTGAAGGAGCAAAAGAAAGCAAACGTCGCGAAGACGTATAACAATTTAGGCCGCATTAAACGAAGACAAGTTGATGGCCTGATTGAAGGATTAAAACGAAAAGATGGCCGGTTCAACTACAATGTTGTTTACATCCGCATCACCACAAAAGAAGCCAGCCGCCGAGGGCTAGTCAGAAACTTCGTCACAACTGCCATCAACCTGGTTCTCGAGAAAACAATTAAGCCTGGGGCTTCGCTATCACCCCGAACTTCACGCAACGAAACTACATACTTTCAAGAAGAGCCTCCATTCGAGCCCAGACAAGGACTATCCCCTGCTAATCCACAGTTTCAGGGCAGCCGAGAAGGCCCACCACCCCGGCATCCTGCGCCGGGGAGTGATCTTGTCACCATCCAGCGTCAACAGACCGCTCCACGGCCTCCCATGGTCCAAGGACACCCCCAATCGAATATATTTTATGGGTCACACGCTGAACCTCACATACAGCCCATACAGCAGCAGCAGCAGCAACCGAACGAACACCCCAGACCATATGCACACCCACCTCCACAGTCCCAACCTGCACCACATCATCCACCACCCCTGCAACCTCCGCCCCATCCCCATCCTCAGCAGCAACCACAATATGCTCCACCTCCCCAGAACCGAAGCTTTCCACCGACCGAGCAATCGAGCCAAGTTCACGCGCCGGCGGGTCTACCCGTTATAAACGGCCCACCACCGCAACTCCAGTCAAATATACCCCTGCCCGCATTTGCTAGCCCTGTGTCCAGGCAGAATTACATGCCACAAGTTCCTGAAAAGACACCTCAGATGAAACAAATCAACACCCGCCCCCAGATAATTAACCTGGGGAAAACAGGTTCGCGAAATGAAACGCAGTGTGTTGATCAATGGCCTGAGGTTGATAGTAGCAATGCGGATGATGCCTCTGACCTCTTTGAATTTCCCGATGACTCGTCAGAAACGGATGGTTCTTTTATAGTGGAGGATTTCAGGAATGGTAAAGGCAACCAAGAAGGTGGATCACGCCATTCATCGAAGAGTAGGGGCGAACATGAGAAGTCCTATCGAACCCACCGTCGCCCAGCTCCAAAATACCCAGCCAACGTTGGCTCACGAACACGAGACAGCTTACAGGGACGTGGTGAAGTGGATTTGATTCCAGCAAAAAGCACACGGAAAAGTGATATGACACGCTCTGCTTCAGTTTCACATCCTCGTCGCCCTCCGTTGAGAGTGGTATATGATACCTGCTCTCCATCAGTATCTACTTCCACAACTGGACAATCTTCATTTCGATATCCAGAAATAACTGAACATATTCTTCGGGACAGGCAACGAGAACGGGATGAAATGGAGCGTCAGAGGGAGCCATTTTGGAAAACGCGCCCCGATACAAAAGAAATCAACTTTCAACTTCCCAAGCGGAACGCTGGTTCCCGTGAGTCAAACCTAGACCCAGTTCAGCGGCCCCAACCTCCGCGAACTAGCCTGGAAGAATACGATCAGCTTGATCGTATGAAACGATTCCAGCAAGAGCGCCATTCTAAGCTGGAAGCTCCTCGCCATCGCGAGCTGGGGTACAATGGGGCGCAACGCCGCCCCCATTGGTGAATCTTTTATATTCTTTTTATTCTCTTATATTCTGTATACGCTTGATTTCGCCATGAAAACATTATTTCGGGGAAATATGTATACCACTGTAATGAGTAGGACTTTTTGATGGGACTCTCCTTTATTTTGGAAAAGAAACGGTCGTTTTCTTGAACTCCTTTTTTTTTTTTTCTTTTCTCACATCAGCCCGTTCTGATATAATATTATTTTGCTCGCAATTCTTGAAAAGGGATCCATATACCTTTACAAGGAAAACAGGGTGCTGTATTGGAATCGTTTTCAACAAAACAAGGGGTTTCCCGGCTTCTTGTTGGATGGTTTCATATACAAACGGAGTTCTTGTTGCGTTTCGTTTTCAACACAGACCGCTTCTAGGGAATCTTTTCGTTTTGAAGACACGTCTACCATAGCCAGATTATGTTTCGCATGTATTCATGCTCCCAGTATGTATGTACAATTTTTCTCTGCTATTTTTATGCCGCATTTTCATGGCTCCTTTTCAGCAATTTGCTAAATTGAAAAATCTGTACCACATTGACACCTGGTAAGGGGTCGAGGGCATCGGAACATTGTGAGCAAGAATCGCAGTTAAATATATAAAGCCAAAGGGCGTTCGGCAGCTGGCATCGCGAGGGTATTGTAGAGTTTATGTTAGTCGTAGTAAGCAAAGGTGGTGTGGTGAGCGGGCTGAATGCGCAGGTGATGCTTGGCGCGCTCCCGAGTTCTGCCGCCCGTGTACTCCGTAGTTGCCCCTCCCCCGCCATGAGAAGCCCAATTCAACGGACAGCAAAATTTCACCAGAAAAAATCAAAGGCCTCTCATCTTTTAGCACCACTTCTTCCAGAAAATTAACCTTGACCACCGACCCAATTCAGCAATCATGGCTCGCAAATTCTTCGTTGGCGGCAACTTCAAAATGTAAGTACTCCGTAGCCGCAACACTCCTCGCGCACAAGGGTACCAGAAATCTCGCCCATTCCACTAACAAAACCGTGCCTTTACGCAGGAATGGAACTCAGAAATCCATTACCGATATCATTAACAATCTTAATGCTGCCAACCTTGACCCCAACACCGAAGTCGTCGTCTCCCCGCCTTCCATTTACCTTCTTCTTGCCCGTAGCAAAGCCGATTCCAAAATCGGCGTCGCCTCCCAAAATGTTTTTGATAAGCCAATGGGAGCCTACACTGGTGAACTGAGCGTCGAGCAGCTAAATGAATGTGGTATTGCATGGACATTAGTAGGACACAGCGAGAGAAGAGTTATTCTCAAAGAAGATAACGATGTAAGCCTTTATCACTATTCTAGAGGTTCAATGTCTATTTATGTTGACATCTAATGATCCCCATAGTTTGTTGGACGCAAGGCTAAGTCTGCCATTGACGGTGGACTCGGTGTAATCCTTTGTGTTGGAGAGACCCTCGAGGTACGGTATCTATAGACTCATTCTCTTGGGGCACATTATCTAATATTCGCGCGAAATAGGAGCGTGAGGTTGACAAGACTGTTGAAGTGGTGACAAGGCAGCTGGCAGCGGTCACTTCTAAGATTAGCGAGCAAGACTGGTCTAAGATCGTTGTTGCTTACGAACCTGTCTGGTGCGTTCCTCTGGTTTATCATTTGTCTAAGTTTTCCTCCATTAACGTGATATTGGTAACATAGGGCCATTGGCACCGGAAAAGTCGCCACGACACAGCAAGCCCAAGAAGTTCACGCCGCCATTCGCAAGTATATCGCAGAAAATGTTTCTTCCTCCGTTGCTGAGAGCCTTCGTATCATCTACGGCGGTAGTGTCAGCGAGAAAAACTGCAGGGAGCTTGCAAAAGAAAACGATGTTGACGGGTTTTTGGTTGGTGGTGCTAGCTTGAAGCCTGCCTGTAAGGTCCCTCCCGCCGCCAAACACAAACAAGTCACTAACAATGTTCCAGTTGTTGACATTATCAACGCTCGTCTTTAGACGATAGATAAAAGTACCAGAATGTGCAAACCTTGGCTAATGATCCAGACATACTGGCGACATATTTTGCTGTAACATACCTTAATTTTTGGGTGTATCTTCGTCACTTCTGATAGAAGAGAAAAATACTTACAACACACAGTTTTTTGTGTTGCATACTTGATCCTCCATTGTCAATAGGTATCAGATGTTGTTCATGTCGAATATAGTACAGATACACCAACGCTGGTCCAGCCGTACGTAGTACTACCAGCGGACGGTGAAATGGAGGTAGCTGACGGTCCGAGTCCTACTCCCGCGCTGACTAGGAGGTCTTTTACTCGCCCTTCCCAGAGTACTTTAAAATTTAACGATTGGTCCACTCGAAGCTTTATGACCGAGTCAGATTCGTCGACCACACTAAGAGTGCCACGACCAACATTGTTGGCTGCTGGTGGTGTATAAAGCGGAGATAATAAACCCATCTTTCTTTTGGCCCAGGCGAGATTATCTCTTTGAGACGATTTTCTTTTTCGCCTCCATAATTCACATCCAGCGACCATTTCACTCTCCCAGCTATATACGTTAAACCCAAACCGAGAACTAAATGCTAGGTTCGGTGAGGCGAGAAGCGAATACGTTGTCGAAAGAGAGCCAGTAAGAGGCGTCAAAGTAAGAGTTAAGGTATACGGGAATGTTGATATTGGGGATGGTGCTGGGAGCGCAGGCGATGAGGGAGAGTGTACAGCCTCTGAAGCCGGCGGTAAGGTGGTAAATCGTATGCCCGTAGAAATACCAACGACCGATGAAAGAGGTGAATAGTACATCTCCCCACCAGCAGATATCAGCGAAGCCGATTGAAACGACCTTTTCAAGCGGTTCCCGTCCACCGTGTTTCTAGGGTCGAGTCCGAAATTCCAAAGCCCTTTAAACCCCAACAGAGCATTGTCGGTGCTAAATAAAAGTTCAGCGCTATATTTTCCAGTATCGTGCGATAGCTGGCCAAGGACCGAGGCTTGCGGAATAGACTTGGACAATTGCGTTGCTTGAGTAGAGCATATTGCCAGTGACAATCGAGTTGTAGGAGATAGCCTGCGGAGAAATAAGCCATTCAGGGTTGTAGGAGGGGGTAGGTGCAGTGTGGCATGAAATAGAGATTCTTTTCGTTTATTCTCCCCTATTCCATCATCTTTTACGTTTGCAGTGCTATCCCCAACCCAAATAGGGTCCCAAGGTGCAGGAGCCGAGGGAGGATAGATCTGCTTATATCCTGGTACTAATCTCCGTAAGGGAATTACGGTGCTTCTACTGGGTGTACCACTAAGGGGCAGAGTACTGAAGAGGTAGGATATTGAGCCGTCGATAAGCCCTACTGTGCCCAAGGTATAGGCGGTTGCGAATTGAGGGGTTGAAAGGGACGAAAGATGAACGCGAAACCGTTCAGGGATATAGAAGTCAAGAAGAGCTGAAAAGGCTGAGTTAGTTTCAAATGAGGGCCCATCTCGAAAATAACATGAATACCATTTGCAGTATCTGTGAGCGCAGTGTACGAGTTATTTCGGTTCCAACATGTGGCATCATCAAAGGCAAGCTGGATGTACTCCATGAAATCTAGCATTTTGAAAGATATATTAGACCAAAGGCTTCGGAAGTATCTTCTCACGGAGGATAAACCGTGTAAACATCCGGCTCGATGGCCAAAATATGCTTTTGCGTTGCGAGATTTGGTTACGTCGTCAATTGTCAATAGGTACTCAAATTGCTTATCTAATCATAGCATGGTTCCTGATTTAGACTAGTTCCTTTTTTTTATCAAAAATTCCCAAAAAAAAAGAAGCTTTAACACCGTATCGGCAACCTTCAGCATACTCCCGCTTTGCAGAGATTCGACATTGCCCGAAGGATTTTGAGGCATCACTTATATACCAACAGATCGGTCATAATGCCTGTATCCAAACGGGCAAAAATCGTCCATGAGTCAAAAGTCACCAAGAAATCCCACAAAGAACAGACTCGCCGGCTGCACGCCAACGTACAGGAGGCTGTGTCGAAATATGATTACCTCTTTGTGTTTTCAGTAGATAATATGCGAAACACATACTTGAAAGATGTACGAACGGAATTCTCCAACGATGGACGGTATGTGAATAGCTCCATGTATTTACTTTATACACCAACAGTTACTAATTAATAACACCAGCCTTTTTTTCGGCAAAACCAAAGTAATGGCTGTCGCCCTGGGGACTTCCCCTGAAACAGCTTTTGCTCCAAATCTCGAAAAACTCTCCCCTTTCCTCTCTGGCGCCGTGGGTCTCCTTTTCACCACCCGCTCCCCGCAATCCGTTCTTGACTACTTCTCCTCATTCCACCCCATGGATTTCGCTCGTGCCGGGAATATATCGCCACGCTCGTTCACAATCCCGTCAGGAATCGTATACGCTCACGGGGGCGAAATCCCAGCTGATCACGATGAACCACTGAGCCATACAGTTGAACCAACCTTGCGCAAGCTCGGCGTTCCCACGCGACTAGTGAGAGGCAAGGTGACCTTAGAAATGGAAGGAGGCTACCAAGTATGCAAAGCCGGAGACACACTGGATTCTAAGCAGACTACTTTACTTAAAATATTTGGAATTACGGTTGCAGAGTTCAACGTTGAGATGAAGGCTCAATGGACCAGGGAGACGGGCGAAGTAAAAACTTTCCAGAAAGACGAGAATATGGAGGTCGACAACTAAAAGTTCAATTTTGATATTTCATGATTCGTCATCGCATGCACATGGGAGTTTGGGATTTGGGAGTTTCATGGTGTCGTTTTTCCAATATTATTACTACGGGCGGGGAGGGGTTTCTACCAAATTACTGTGTAGTTATGTGGATATATGTTCTGGTGATACGACAAAATGGATAGAAAGTCGTTACTATCAAACTTGGAACGACGTTTACGGGGGCTCTCTCACGATCGATGGGATCAAGAGTGCTTGGAAGTGCCAAACAGCCTTACCTTAATCTTACCTAGAGCCCCGCGAGGGGGAATGCACCACCTATTCACCCATATTTGCCAGGTCAAAATAATATACATACTTACCCTCATACAAAAACAAGATGAACAAACAATTCATCAAAAATAGTCAAACTGGAAACATATGAAAATGCAAAGCGATGCCGACCAGAGAAAACCCGTCATCGAAAGCAAGTAAGCCTTCAGAAATCCAAACCGCTATGAAGCACGGGAAAGCGAAGGTCGTGTGCCCGGATGTAGCGTAGGAATTCCAGAATAACAAGTCATGGGCGTTGGCGACAATTACCCTGTGATGTATCGGAGAGATGAACAGAATTCGAAGGATACCAACCAACAAACCCTTGAGAACAAAAATGTTCACGTCGTTAATACCTTCGCTTGCTGCGAGGGTCGTCATATTCATCCCCATCGTGGTATCTCTTTCTAGAATGCTCGTCATCACGGCGGCTATACCTATCCCTATCACGGTCACGGTCTCGGTGGCTGTCTCGGTCTCGTCTGTCGCGGTCACGATCACGTTCACGATCTCGATCTCGGTCCCGGTCCCTGTGGCTGTCCCGATCATAAGTGTCCCTAGATCTTACGGGTTCGCGATTGCTACCGGTGACTCCACCACCAGCTCGATCATATCTGGAACCTCCTCGGTAGGATCTATCTTCATAACCTCCACGCCTGTCATCAGAGCCAAAGCCGCCGCTGCGGGCACCACCGGGTCCGGATGGAGCATTTGGGGGAGGCTGTCCAGCACTGATTCCGTTAGGAGGACCACCAAAACCGCTTCTTCCCCCTTGGTATCCAACACCACCTCGTCCTCCAAATCCACGATCGCCTCTGAACCCACCACGAAATCCACCTCTACCTCCAAATCCGCCGCGGAAGCCACTCCCTTGGAAGCCGCCTGGACCAGAAGGAGGACCAAACCCACCAGGTCCCATTGGACGTGAAGGCATTGCCTTTGTGTATCCTCTACCTCCAAGTCCTCCGCCAAATCGTCTTGGTTTCCACCCCTTAACAGTTCGGCCACGTTCAACGTCGACCAAAACCCGTCGGTCCTTGATACGAATACCATCTGTCTCCTTGTATGCCGCTATTAAACGAGTCTCATTGCGTCAGTGATGCCTTCTACATTACCTGTTTCCATGATCTCTAGGAAGGGGGAAAATGGATTGGGGGGGTTATAAGCGCTCAGGAATTCATTACCCTTCATGTCCTTCTCACGTTCATAGACGATAAAGGCGTAGCCCCTATGCTTCTTTTTGGGGTTCTCACTCTGCGGTGCTGCTACAATTCGGATCTAGATAACAACAAATTAGTACTTCTTCAATATTTCATGACTAAACCTATACATACCCTCTCAATGGGGCCAAATCGGCTGAATTCTCTTTCCAAATCACCTTCTTTCACGTCATAACTCAGACGTGATACGAACAATGTCTTGAAAGGATCGCCTCTTATTTGCGGGTCGGAGGCAGGATCGTCTAAGAAAATAATCTGTTAGCACCGTATACTTAGATAAGGATAAGTATTGAAAAGCCTTGAGTAAAAGCTGCATACATTTCTCTAAGCCTTGGCTAAGGAATTTTTCATGCTGTTCCTTTTTCTCGAGCTTCTGTCGTGCCTTTCGTTGAAGCCAACTTTCAGTTGCATTATATGGCACCTCTTCGCTATAGCTTTGAAGGTCATCGAGGTATTGCGCAATGCCACCGATATCACTCGGTTTGATGTCTTCCGGCGCGCGATCAATAGGTTTGAGATACTTGAGCTGCGGACGGGGTGCAAACAGCGCGAGGAGGTTGGCAGGGAGTTTGTCCGTCATTGTCGCGGCATTAATCCTATACGAAGGGTAAAATATAGAATGAGAGCCACGTCCCAGACAAGCCTAGGGCCCTCACAATGATGACTGAAAACACGTCTTCAGACTGCCCGTTGATGGTAGACCTTACCATTCACGTGATGTATGGTGAAGGACTAGTTGGTCCGTTTTAAGTTTAGCGTTTTGTATCGGATTTATATTTACTCCGACGTCCATGAATACAGCCTATCCAGGTTGGGAAAAGTGCGGTGCTGCATTTTCTAGCCAACCACGCTGCTTCAACTTTGCTTCCCCAAAATCTCAGAGATCACTCTCACGCGGGCAAGCAATTTAATCTGAATAGGGTACTGAGAAGGATATTTTTGAATATGCCGATTCAGGCAGTGAGAACATTAGCTTCAAGCCAGGTAAGCATTTTGCCCAAGGTATCTTCAATGAAGAGAGATTTAGTTAACCATGAGCTCAGAATGGCGTCGCTGCATTTATCCTCCAGTGCAAACGTATTGACTTTCACTATTGCGATTGGGCTGGAAGTTCAAGAGGCATGAAGTATGTCATTGCCCGTTTGAAACCTCAACTATTCCTAAGTCCTAATATATGCCTCGTCGACAGCTCTTTTCTTCGCCATTCCCTCCCCAAGTTCGCCGCCGAAAACCCCCAGATTGAGATTCGCATCTCCCCCCGACCACACAAGCACCCGGTTGTCAGGGGTTACTACATAAATGGCCGCGAGAAGGTTATTTGTGTACGAAATCTTGAGAAAGACCAGATCCTTAAGAAAGCAAACATCTTAAAAAATGCCAGTGGAGAGAAACTCAAACTAGTCCGGCAGGCTGTTGCTAGTATGAACCAAAGCATCCGTGGTATCTGGGATCCTTATCACGGGGATATTAAAAAAGTATGATACTTGCTTCTTACATTCCTGAGGCCGTTGTTTGCGTTGGAGTCTGGAGTTTCGTGTGCTGTAACCTTACCATTTCTTCCGAATTCTATGTACTATACGAGAGTTGCATATACGTCTATAGATTATTGCAAATATGAGGTAACGATATGTTGCAGCTCTAATCTTAGTTTTCGACTTGAAGTTAGTCTGGTAGGGGCCGGTCAGGTTACTTATGAGAAACCTATGCTCTTATGAAACATGCCCGAACAGGAAAAATATCAGATACACGCTTAGCCTACGCCATACTGCCCGCTACTCTTTTCCAACTCCGCTCTAGAAATGCATAGTGGAATCTCAAATGCCAGTATAAAACGATGGGAAGGTTTCAAAGCAAACGGCTATTATAAATAGACCTGGATCATAGTTTTGGGCGAGCTCACTGGCTTTCCACAGCCAACAACAACACATTTCGCAAAAGGCTTGGTTTTCACAGGTGTGGCCTTTTTGCCCCGAGAAACCGCTCGATTGGTGGCACAGAGGCCGCAGTATACCTGTAATAGCATAATATCAGCATCTGTGACATTGGTATTCGAAAGGGAGAACAAACATGTCCGCATGGTCTTGCCACCCAGATCTGCCTTCGAAGTGGTTCGTCTCCAGATCCAAGCTCGTGGTCACAATTTGGGCATACAATAACGTCGTCTTTACCCACGGTCCTTGTGAACCCCTTCGAAGGTGCCGGGGGTGCTTCGTACTTTGGAGAAGCTGGCGTGCGCTGTGGTTCAAAACGATCCAAACCAACAAAAGTGACATCCAAATGTGTAAGATCTATTCCTTGGCTGGGCCTCTCGCCAATCCAGAATGGCCTCATGGCGTGGTGAAAAGCGCCGAATAAATCCCTTGCCCTCCATGCAACTTCACTGGGAAGGGGGTTAGGTAGCGGGCGGTGTGTAGGAGGTTGTCGGGGCCTGGAATCGGATGACGGGAGAAATCGTGCATCATCGGATAACATGGGCTGAGATGGACCGTCGTATTGAGGAAAGATTGCGGCAGGATTCACCGATCTAGATCCAGCTTCTCGTGAGATAGAACCAAGCCATTGAACGTCAGGGCTCGACTGCTGGATGCTGGTCGTTGGTCCTTGTTCTAAATCTACCACATCTGCCATGATATCCCGACCAAAACGCGGAGGCCGGGTGGCTCCCGTCTGGCTGCGTTCCGGGGGTCGGCCTTCGGCAGTATGGGGCGGTCTCAGAACACTGTGATCTTCTTGCGTCAAATCAATGACATTTCGTTGCGGCCGGCGTGGCATGTATGAAGGAGGTGGAGGGGGAAGCCCTGTAGACATGATCGGTCTTCTATCATCGTATCCGTCTCTAGGGCGTCTGATGGTCGGAAGTGGAGGAAGCTGTGGAACTGATGACTGGCTATTGCCGGCGGAGTTGGGATCGTCTGGCGTGGGCCTGGGTGATTCGCTGTCTGAGATCTCGTCGTGCCGGCGCTAGAATCACGAAGAGAAATAGTAATCCGGTCAGTATGCAATTTTCCCATGGGCCGGCAGCAGTGCCGCACAGATGCCGCCCCCGCAGCAAGGGTTGCCAACGACTGCAACTCACCTTTCTCGACGCCGGTGAGGTCAAGAATTGTATTGTCGGAGCCCTGTTCATGATATATAGCTTTTAAACATATGGTACAGCTTTGAAAATCAAAAACACAGCCAGAAAAGCAGGGCGGGGAGATGCAGAGGTCAGAAGAGGAGTTGGGGAGGATGAGTTGGTTGCAGCCGAGTCTTATCTCCAGCAGCGCCAAAGTTCGGAGGCGACAACCAGCCAACCCCTAGGTTTGGGCTGGTCCATTGCATCAAATAGTGAAATCTAGGCCCCTGGCGAAGGAGCCAAAGTCGGCTTGTTCCGGTGGCGCGATGGAGATCAAAGAAGACGCTTTTCTTTGCAGTCCACACAATCCCTTGCATTACATAAATAAACCCGCCTGCATATAGCTACATACATGATTCCAATCCGCTTTTCAGAATTGCTCCAACATCATTCCGATCCCACTACAGTCAGAACCCCGTCGGCGTTAAGAGCGACAATGCTGTTCGCCGATCTGCCCCAGACGGCTGAGATCGCAGGCACAGCACTGCGCAGAGGCTCGCTCCACGATTTGGCCGACTTTGAGTAGTGCTGCACAGTCAAGCCGTGAGGTCCGCTCGTCAACAGAAACTGTCCTGTGTAGTCCCAGCAGAGTGAATCCACCCGGTTTCCAACATCCAGCACTTTTACCACATCGGACTTGCGAAGGTCCCAGATAGATACGCTAGACGAAGCCTCAGTAGCTGATGCGAGCCAAGTTCCGTTTTCCGAGAAGAATATAGCCTTGACAGGCCCTGGGCACGTAAAAGTCGCGGCATTTGCGCCGGTCTTAACATCGAATATTTTGATCTGTCCATCAGTGGCCCCTGCGGCTAGTAGATGGCCATCGGGGTGAAATTGGGCAGACAGTAATCCTGTCGGGTCCATTAGCAAATAAACTTTGAACTTTTTGTGGGCTTGTCATACCAGAATCACTGAAAATTTGCGCAACAACTGTTAATGAGGCAAGGTCATAGAGCACATAGCTCTGGTCAACGCCGACGGAGGCCAAAAGATCTCCGGTCGGATGTTTTGCCAGAGCTTTCACTTCTCCCGCATGTGAATGGAAGCTTGCGATCTCGGATTCTCCATCAAACACCTTTACCAGCCCAGTAGATGTTGAAATAACTGCTTTCTCACCAACCCACATTGTATCGGTGATAACGCCACTACCGCCTTTCAAAGAAAAGAGGATAGAGTGTTTAGAAAACGAGTATACACCTGCGACTCCATCAGCACCCCCAACCAAGGCTAACTCTCCAGATTCATTGAGCGACAAAGAGTCTCCACCAGGATAAAGTGAGTCGGAAGTAGCAACAACTTTGAACTGTTGTATCACCTCGTTGGTAGCCCAATCTTCAGGAATAGGACGCTTGCGGCGTGTTTTTGAGAGGCTTTGGAGGTATCAGTTAGCATTGGGCAAAGAGAAGCGTAGCGGAAAAGCTATCATACTGTTCTTGGGTCGCGTCAATTCGTGCGATCACGGACGCCGGAATGCCGGTGCTATCCACCTGCATTGCATCGCCATTAGTCGGAGCACGCCCCGCACCCACAGATATTTTTGAGAGAGCATCGCGCGCATCATCCCTCTCTTTCCGTAGCCTTGCAATCACTCTAACCGCAGCATCATGTTGATACAGCGCAGTGCTAAGCTCTTGTCTTGTTTGGTCTAAAGTCTGCCTCAAATTATATGTTTCTAGCGCCAACGCATCCCACTCTTCCTGAAATACACCAAGTAGGGACGGAATCGAAGTTAATGTTGGTGGACGAGGGCGAACAACGCGTGCGGATTTCAGCTCAACGAGCTCCTCAATGGTAAGCTCTTCGCCTGTAACCGGCTCCTTTCCATGTTCCGTAATATATGCCTCAATAAGGCGCTTTTCAAAAACATTTCCTATTTCTAGGTCAGCTGCTTTAAAGCTACAGGCTCAAGAGGTAAGCATACCGCTTTTGGGCGAAACAACAGGCACTTGGGGAGCCTCCCCGGAGACTAGATATTTTAAAAACAAGGGTCAGTACTGGATCGACCGTAAATATTGGCCTTGGAAGCAAGGGGATCTTACTTGCGCAGAGCATGGTGGGCTGGGTGATGGTGAGCGCTGAGATTCGTTGCGGAGCGAGATGCCGCCAAATCGGTTTCTGCGTAGCCCGGAGGTTGGGTGGTTCCGCTCCGCCAGGAACGCCTCCCGCAGTCTTCGCCTCGCTGGAACGCATACCGTCCGTAATCAATGGGGCATCCACTTATATCGTGGAGCTGACAATGACCACTTGTCTTGATGCCCGATAGCCAGCAACACGGGACTATCACTACATAACTGGATATACCAGCAATGAGTTTCAAGGCGAAGAATCTCACCTACGGTTAGTCACTAACTAACCAAACCCTTCCTTTAGTTAAACGGCAACTAAGTCAAGCCTTCAGAGAAGACTGAGCCAGCGTTCCTACGGAGACTACGCAATCAATATGGCGATGGAACCGGTGAACGCCATGGGCGCTCCAACGTCCGCCCAGTGAAGGCAAGGGATGTAGCGGACGATGAGCCCACCTACGTTGATGAAGAAAGCAATGAAGTCATATCAAAGGAGGATTACGAAGCCATGTTGAATGGTAAGGCTCTCGGGCCAGCATCTGGGAAAGAAACGGGTGCCGACGATGCCCGCGGATCACACTCCGGCCAAGAGGGCCAAAACAGCGCAGCGGAGGCCCCAAGAAATGCACACAGCGAGAAGGTTGCAGAAATTGGCGGCCTTAGAAAGAAGAAGCTTGCAAGGGTGATTGCAGATGAAGAACATGCAGGAAAGGCAGATGTTCAAGGACACGACATTAAGCCGCCAAAGAAGAAGCAAAAGAAAAAGGCAATCAAGCTTTCTTTTGACGAAGAAACAGCAGCCTAACTTTGGTCTTGAAGACTTTCTCTTTATTAAGATAAGCCTTTTGTGCTAATATTTAACATCGTCTCTCGACGAGTGGTAGGCGACTAGGCAACGAAGCAAGGAGTCGGGTAATTTCGCCGCAGCTACGCATGAGCGCACATTGCCCCTTCCGCCGCGTTTAGATTCGGCATGTGAATGATCTCGTTTGTTTTGCAGTACTCGAGCATTCAAGCGGAAAACTCCATAAACACCGTAAACTGAATGAGAGAAAAAAGCCTCTGGGCGCATGATTCGATACACAAATTCTTCACCAACTCAAACAAGTCAGACCATCTAGGCTTCTTATCTTATGACTGCTCGCGCTCCGGCGTCGAATCAAAGGCCGGATATTACTATCTAATTTGTTTCCAGTTTAAGTACGACATGAGGTGGTAGACTATATCCAGCCAGTGCCGCAGCAATTTCAGCACAGCATGTCAAAATTTCTATATAGCTTACTAGGCTATGAAGGACATGCATATCATATATTACATAGATTAGCGATTGGGCAAGGCGATAAATAATCCTTCCGTTCAGAATGAGTCATAGTTATTTGCCTCCAAAGGTTTACTCAGACTTGCTCAAAATTCGACATAGTGATGCTACATGTATGTAATATCAGATAGATTGCTACAGATTTCCTGAAAATCACTGTAGAGCTGCATTCTTAGTGGCAGTGGATTCCTTAAAATTCCGCTGAAATTTACACACAGGAGTTTCTTCCTCCCAAACCATAAAGTTCAACTTTGAAACTCATTTCCAGCGAGACTTCGTCAAGTGCCACCCTGTTGGGCTCACTGTATACTGAAAAGCTGCTAGTGGATGGGCATATCCTGCATACTCCAATGCCTGTCGTTGACTTGAAAGATCTGGTTCGCCTACAGCATAATGCTGAAGATATTCGAAATGCACGATGGCCCCTCCTACCTCGCTGCCAACCCCGCTGACCAGAAAGACAAATGAAGCTGACTATTTCCGCAGATATGTATCCTCGCACATGTTGTAGGTGGCCTGAAGCAATTCTTACGCTCCTACAGTGCATTTTTAATTAAGATGTTATTTTATCCAGGACCACGGCAAGACGTCCCTGACGGACAGTTTAATCGCCACAAATGGCATTATTTCGCCCAAGCTGGCCGGGAAGATCCGCTACCTGGATTCCCGTCCAGATGAACAGCTGAGAGGGATTACTATGGAGTCTTCTGCCATCTCTCTGTACTTTTCTATGCTTCGAAAATCCGCGCCCGACGTAGCGCCTGAAAAGAAGGAGTATCTTATCAACTTGATCGACTCTCCTGGACATATTGACTTCAGCAGTGAGGTATCTACTGCATCTCGACTTTGCGATGGTGCTCTAGTACTTGTCGATGTTGTAGAAGGGGTATGCAGCCAGACAGTGACTGTCTTACGGCACGCATGGGTCGAACAGCTGAAACCAATTCTGGTCTTCAACAAAATTGATCGTTTGGTAACGGAGTGGAAAATGAGCCCTGTCGAGGCATACTCTCATTTGAGCAGACTTCTTGAGCAAGTCAATGCTGTTATTGGAAGCTTTTACCAGGGTGAGCGGATGGAAGAGGATTTATTGTGGAGAGAAAGGGTAGAAGAGCGGGTGAAAGCTACGGCTGCAAAAGACAAGGATAAGGACAAATCTAAAAAACGTACCGATCAAAGCTCAAATGCCGAAGATGAAGTCGAAGAGTTTGAAGAAAGCGATGACGAGCACTTGTACTTCGCCCCTGAAAAAAACAATGTCATTTTCTGCAGTGCTACCGACGGCTGGGCTTTTACGATTCGACAGTTTTCGGCATTATACGAGAAAAAACTGGGGATTAAAAGAGCCATTTTAGAGAAGGTGCTTTGGGGAGATTATTTTTTGGATCCTAAAACCAAACGAGTCCTGGCTCAAAAACATCTTAAAGGAAAAAATTTGAAGCCTATGTTTGTCCAGTTGGTTCTAGAAAGTATATGGGCGGTATACAATGCAACTACTGGAGGAGCAAGCAAAACAGGGTAAGCTAAAAATGGACCCTCGACGTTGGTGTACTTAAATGTCCTTGTACTAATAGCTATTACTCAGTGATTCCGCATTACTGGAAAAAATTTCAAAGTCTTTGTCGATAACAATACCTACCTACGTACTGAGGTCTAGGGATCCGAGAAATATTCTATCCGCAGTCTTCTCCTCATGGCTACCCCTCTCAACTGCAGTTTTAGTTTCTGTCATCGAATATCTCCCTAGCCCCCCGGTAGCGCAAGCACTCAGGCTGCCAGACATGTTGGATAATTCCCCGGGCGTGTCATTTGTCAGCCCCGCCGTACGCAATGCCATGGAAAAGTTTCAGTCTGGAAAAGATGATCCCGTAGTTGCGTACGTTAGCAAGATGGTCTCTGTTCCAGAAAGTGAGCTACCATCCAAGGCACGACGAGCGGGAGCAGGTGGCACTCTGACGGCAGAGGAAGCGCGAGACCTTGCGCGACGAAAGCGGGAGGAGTTGGCAAAGCTTCAAAGCCAGTCGAGTGTGCCGGAAGATGATAATTTTGCGCGGATAACTAGTGCATTTTCTGCGACAAGCATCGAGGACAACAGCACCGAGGCGACGGATGAAAAGGCAGAGCCAGAACATCTCATCGGCTTTGCTCGTTTGTATTCAGGGACATTGTCAGTAGGGGATTCTGTTTATGTTCTCCCACCGAAATTCTCTCCCGAGAATCCTGCTGCAAGCGGTGAACCACAGAAAGTCGTTATAACCGCACTGTACCTGCTTATGGGTCGAACACTCGAACAACTAGAGAGTGTCCCGGCCGGCGTTGTATTTGGAGTTGGTGGACTTGAAGGCCATATCGTCAAAACAGGAACACTTTGCAGTCAGCTTGAGGGTTCAGTTAATTTGGCAGGTGTATCTTTGAGCAGCCCGCCCATTGTACGAGTCGCCTTGGAGCCTGTAAATCCTGGGGATTTGAACAAAATGATTAATGGTTTGAAGATGTTAGAAAGAAGCGATCCATGTGCTGAATATGAGGTGCTTCCTAGCGGTGAACACGTTATACTTACAGCTGGTGAATTGCATCTGGAGCGTTGCTTGAAGGATTTACGAGAACGATATGCCAAATGCGAAATTCAGGCAGGCGAGTCCATTGTACCGTATAGGGAGACCATTATCAGCGCACCGGAAATGGCCCCTCCAAAAGCTATGGAATCACCCCGTGGAACGGTTCTCACGGCTTCAGCTTCAAAGCAGCTCACGATTAGATTAAGAGTACGACCCTTGCCAGTTGCAGTCACCGAATTCCTTGGCAAGAATGCTGGAAGCATAAAACGATTTTATGTTCAAAGAAGAAACAGAAATGGCTCTACCTTCGAGGAGGCAGAGGATGGAAACCACACCGATCCCCAAGTTGACAGCCAAGATATTGGTCAAGGCAGTATGTCTAGTCGAAACATCATATCAGAGGAAAAGTTTAAAAAGGAGCTCAGCGTTGCATTTTCAACAGCGAAGGATCGAGATCTATGGAAAGACGCAATGGCACAAATTGCGGAGTTTGGGCCTCGAAGGATGGGGCAGAACGTTTTACTCGATGCAACACAATCAAAAACGTTCGAAAGACTGTGAGTCCTTTCGTATTTTGTTTCCCAAAGTCTCAGCTAACAAGTTATGTAGCTTCCCAGAATCCGCTGACCACGCCAAAAACATTGAAACGAAGCAGCAGAAGCAAAGGCGAGACGCACGGTTATTTTCCGACAAGATATCGTACGCGTTTCAACTTGCTACCAATCAAGGACCACTCTGCGACGAACCGGTACAAGGAATTGCAGTGTTCATTGAAGAAATTACGCTTGCTGAAGCCGGTGATGATGACGTCGGCCGCCTAACAGGGGAAGTAATTCGACTGGTGCGCGATGCAGTATGGCAAGGCTTCTTGGATTGGAGTCCACGTATTCTTCTTGCCATGTATAGTTGCGAAATTCAGGCTTCAAGTATGTATCGATTTCCGCGCGAAAAGGCTGTTCAGGTCAGAAAAAGGCTACTTTGAATACTGACAAGGAATAGCGGAGGTCTTGGGGCGTGTTTATGGGGTTATAACCCGCCGTCGTGGCCGTATCCTCTCAGAAACAATGAAAGAGGGCACCCCTTTCTTTACCATCCTTTCCCTGCTCCCAGTAGCAGAGTCTTTCGGATTCTCAGAGGAAATCCGAAAAAGAACGTCAGGAGCCGCATCGCCTCAGCTTATATTTGCTGGGTTCGAGATGTTGGATGAAGATCCGTTCTGGGTGCCCGCGACGGAAGAAGAATTAGAAGATCTTGGGGAATTAGCGGATAAGGAGAACGTCGCGAAGAGATATATGGATCGAGTACGGAGTAGAAAGGGACTGGTTGTAAAGGGGAAGAAGCTGATCAAGGATGCGGAGAAGCAGAAAACATTGAAGAGGTGATTGGACGGAAACGCTGATTGGATATGACTCGAAGAGTAGCCGAAATGTCCCATGATACTGAGAAGCATTTGAATTAGATGCATATCAAATTGTAGCTATGATCGATATACCTCAAGGTACATTTTCCAGGTTGCTGTTTCATACCTACGTGTTTCTCTAAGTTAATACTTCGAACTTGAACCTTGAAGCTTCCCATTACCACATCCTGAATGGTGAAGGATTGAATCGTGCGACCCGCGTTACCCTTCTCAGGCCATTTCCGCCGTCATTCGGTAAGCTAAGGTGGAAGACGCTTCAATATTTCAGGGCCGGGAAGGGTGCGGCGATTAGGTAAACCTAGCCTCCAGGTGGCCACTGAAGTGGAAGGCGCCAAAGCAAATCATGCCTCGTGGTCGCAATGGGTTGCATCCGGTATGATCAGAATTGAGTAGCGATGACAAAGTGATACTTTGTCCTAGAATGGTTTCGCAACCTTTCTCGTCTCCCCTTTGCCCGTCACCGGATCCCTCATCTCCTTCCAGCTAACAGGAAACATCATATTTCCCCCGAAACCGCTGGCGCCAGCCTCCGTACAACTGCTTCGCGCCATAACAACACCCAGTTCGTTCCCGGCGGTGCTAGCATAGTATGCTACCTGATCACCCACACTCACAATCACGGCACGCACGATATCTCCGACGCGGAACGACTCTTCGAGAACCACCCGGTCTTTCTCCACTGCCCGGACATCTTCTTTGCGAATAAGCGCCTGCGGGCGCAATTCGTCTGCATTCAATGGATCCGCAGTCGTGGAGATGCTCGCGTTGGCAAGGATGGCGCGGAGGTCGGAGTCGATCACTGTCGGGTCGGGGGCCATATTCTGGTCTGGGAGGACAACAAGGATGGAGATTGATGCCTGACGTTTTTGGACACGCGTTACGCGGCCCAGAACGATGCTCCCGACAGTGGGGAGAGTATTGAACCGTGGGGGAATTTTGGTGTTTGTCGAGCCAAGTAAGCTGAAACCACTTACATCGCGGCTGTCAGATGAAGTAGGTGATACAGGTGAGCGGGCTATGGTTAACATCTTGGTCTTTTTGCCGGGTTGCCCGTGAGATAGCTCTTGTAAGACAACCAGTCCGGGTATGGAGGCGCAGATCGAGCTGTCACGTACGTACGTGCCTGGACCTGACGTGAATGATGAAGAGTCTGCCAGGCACTGCCCTGGCACAGCAATTGACGGGCCGGGCGCTGCCATCCCAGATGAAACAGGTGGGCGATGAAAACGGTTGGCAAAAGGGAGGGGAAAGGACTTGGCTTATATGGTGAGGTGTTTAGCGAGATGTCCGGGGCTGATGGATTCTTGCTGGATATAAACGGTTGAGCCAAGCGGTGGTTTCGGTGCGGGCGACGTTGATCTCGATCGCGTGCGTGATGTGACCGTACCGTTACGACTAGTCAGGGGAACCGTACCGGCCAAAAATACAGTGGTCTGTGCGAGCATAGGCTTGATCGCCTGATAAAATCCTTCCGAGCTCTTTTAATCTCCACAACCTCAACAGCGATAAGCGCGATATCCATGCAGACGGGAGAAATACAGCTAATATATTGATTGTCGGTACACGTTACGAAGCTAAATGAAGAAGAAAATAAGAGTGAATTTACCTAAGGATATGGAAATAATCTGCAAGCTGCTCCGTACTCTCACAATAAGTAAATTTTCAGTCTCAGACCAGACAAGACTATAACAATGAATAAGAATTAAGAAAGTAAACCCAACTGCTCACACTCAAACTACCCTTGCACGCAAATTCTCTACCAAGCTCCAGGGAACTGCCATGGGCGGCCACCAGGGAAACTAGGGCGCCAGCCAGGGAAGCCACCAGGGAAACTAGGGCGCCAGCCAGGGAAACTAGGGCGGCCACCGGGGAAGCCGCCAGGGAAGCCGGGGCTGTCAGGGCGGCCAGGACGACCGGGTTGCTCTGGCTGCTGCTCGGGTCCCTCAGGTTGCTCTGGCTGTGGCCGTCCTGGCTGTCCGGGTCTTCCGGGTTGGCCGGGTCGTCCTGGCTGTCCGGGTCTTCCGGGCTGGCCAGGCTGGCCGGGTCGTCCGGGTTGGCCAGGTTGTTCAGGTTGTTCAGGTTGCTCAGGTTGTCCAGGTTGTCCAGGTTGTCCTGGCTTCCCTGGCTGTCCTGGCTTCCCTGGCTGTCCTGGCTTTCCAGGCTGGTCGGGCTGTTCTGGCTGATCACCACCTCCAGCGCCGCCACTGTTCTGCTTGATCCAGTCCAGATACTTGCCGACTTTGGTGTAGACGCCTGGAGATCCTCTCGAGCCGCAATCAGATCCCCAGGATACAATGCCAACAATGCGTTTCGAGCTGTCGTACAATGGAGAACCGCTATCTCCATTGCATACGGCGTTGGTTCTGCCTCCAGCACAGATCATGCCATCTGTAAGCATTGATCCATACGATTGCTTGCAGGTTTCACGATCAACGAGCGGGGTATCGACGAATAGTAACTGCCGAGAGGGTTGTCCTTTCGGACGGGTGAGACCCCTATTTTGGAAACCCATCAGCTTTCATGTATACATTTATGGGTGGAGCGATACGTACCAGCCGGCTGATGTACATGAACCGGTGGGATCAGAGGCAGATGTTACCAGGGAACCATAGCTAATTGTTGAGCTCTTTTGAATGGGGGTTTCCAACACTATAAGTGCAACATCGTTGTTGAATCTTGGCTGATTCCATCCACGGTGGCCCACAATCCTAGCAGCCCGAGCAGTTACGCCGCCCGAAAGGGAATTCTGTAGGCAGAATGAGCATATGGCTATTCTATAGCGGACAAACATATCTTACCAGAGATCCTGCGCGAACCTGAATGCTGCTAGCAGCCCCTTTATCAACACAATGTGCTGCTGTGAGAACAAGTTTCGGGCCAATCAAGGCACCGCCACAGAACTGACTATTACCTCGGACGAGGGCTACTGTGGCAGGGAACTGGCCCTGTCCTGCCGGCGAACCACCAATAATTCTGCCCTCACCTTCCTGAGGTAAGGGTGCTGCCATCGAGACAGCTGGCAAGAGGAGGGAGGCTACAATTGCAAGAATTGGAGCCATTTTGAGTAAATTTTGGATAGAATCCGAGTTGGGACTGGAGTAAGAAAGAATGACAGAATGAATGAATGAATAAATGAATGAAAAAACGAATGAATGAACAAATGAATGAATGTGCTCTGAAGAACCAAGCCCAGATTGCGGGAGCAGGCGGCCTTTATGTGTTTTTTCGAAGCTCTATCATCCCAGCTCTTCTATCCTGCTTCCAAACGTTCTTCTGTGCAAAGCTAAGAGCCTCTCTCCACAAGCACCCTGGCTGAAACGCAAAAGGGCAGAAACTGTAACAGAGAGTGGGATACCCACCTCCATGCCGTTGGAAAACATGTTTCTGTGGACATGAAATAAGAAAGAATATTCCCTGTGCCGTGTGTAAGTGGGGCGGGGAGAAATAAAATGCCGAAATTGTTTGTAGGACTCTGTACGGAGTACATCTGCGGCCCCTAAGCTTTACACATGATGATAGCACTAGTAAATCTTGCGTGGTCAAAAAAGCTCTCTCCACATGACGCAGTCCGATTTCACGGTACATTTCCCCCGGGTGCGGACGAGTAAGGCCCAGCCCAGCGTTTCAAATAAGTGTGCGAGCCGAAAAGAAACTAATAAATAAATAACGAGGAACGCGGGAGAAGGGGAAAAACCGGCATCAAGGAGACGGAACGGCGCCACAGCGGCAACAACGGGTATCAAGCAAATTTTAGGCCGTCCCCATCACACCACCAGCGAACGTTATAAGAGTAAGGTGAGATCCGATTTCACTGTACGGAGTACAGGTTTAGACAATATTAATTACTGCCGGAGTGACATATCTGTACGGAGGAGAGGTTTCGGTGCGTAGATTGGCATGAGCAGGATTCTCAGGGGCCCAGTACGGAGTAAATCTCCGTTAAACAGAATTTAAGCAATCGCACGAGTATGAAGCGGCCTGTAGTTTCATTTCAAGGGCCCCACAGTCTCTAGTTGTATGGTTTTACCCATACGGAGCACCCTCTCCGGCCGTTAGAGATGTTCTGTACGTCCTGCGCACAACATACAGAGGCCTGGTATAGTATCGATATTCTCGATCTTCTTAGTTTGAGTCCCTGCTAGGCGAGATATATTTCTTCTAAATAATATCTCCGATGTCAATGAGCGGCATGGTCTGGGACAACCCTACCTCTAGCTATACGAGGCCACTACAGGCATATGGAGATTATTGTCCCGGGCGGCAAGGCCTAGCCAAGTCAGCGGAAACATGTGCCCACCGCAGCTCAGTTGTATGAAACAATTATTATTAATGTGCCCCGTTGGCCAAGGGCGTTTCAACATGATATATCCACTCGCGCACGTCGGAGCGCGTCAGACAGCAGGGGGCAGCGATCAGGGCAGTAGCAGCAACACCGCTAGACAACTCGCGAAGGAGGCCGGCCATACGCCGTCGAGAAGCTAAAAGCAAGGCAATGAATAATGATGGTGTGATTGTGATACAGCGAACTGCGGGGTAGAAGGGGTTTCCCAGAGCGCCGATATCGACGTTGAAGTGGTGAACGGGAGGCGGAAGAGGCGGCGGCGGCGGCAAAAAAAAGAGAAAAACAAAGGCAAAAAGGAGCACGGTCACGGGACTCGCTAACGACCAGCGCCGCGCGGCCATTGGCTGCGGCGAAGGTCGCTGGTGGATACCTGGCTGTTTGCACTCTTTGCAGCAAGCGGGCTGACGACAGTCGTAGAGTGTTGAAGGTTGCTACAACGGCTCTGTTGTTTCGAACCATTGTCGGCTACACGATAGAAGTGGGCGGCGGGGTCCACGGCCTCGTAATATGACCCCTAAGGGCGCCCCTGGCGCCGGGCACGTCTTGTCTCCCACTGTCCAGCCGTAGCCAAGCGCGTAGCGGATCTATGGTGGAGCTGGATGTCGGTGACTCCCAAGCTCCTGCAATCAGACTTGTTGTAACTACTAGTTAACCATGGGGCCAGGGCTTTGATAGTGGCTCCGTTTAAGTAAGTGGTGCGACCCCGGCAGCCGAGGCTTGCTGTAATTGGCACCACATCACGGACCAGAGTCTAGAGGTGGCCGTGGGGGTTGCGTTTGCTTGGGGTATGGAATACGGAGTAGTTATGCGTGCATCTACATCTCGCTTGCGTTCTTCCTTTTCAAATAATAATTTGCGCCTCATATCCTCAACATACATACATCCAGTCTAAGCCCCACTTGCCTTCTGTCCGCATGATGTAAGACGGGTGGTTAAATCCTGCGATTCCACCGGGCAAGGTGGCAAACGCGGGCGATTTGCAACAACGAAACAGCGTGCCCGCCTTCAGCCGCGAAATCACTCAACAAGCTAAGAGCCGCCAGCTCCTTATCAATCACGGGCCACTATTATTAACAAGGAAATAAAAGAAAACAAGACGGCATTGCACCTTAAAACTCCATGCAGGGATATAGATAATGTGCAAAAACTTCACAAAAAGAAAACAATAAAGCAAGACGACTGAATAATGCCAAAGATAGAGGGATGACGAGGCTTCAACAGAGATAAAGGGATGAAGAAAAGGAGATGAATGTAAAATCAGAACCAACATGATCAGTGAGAATATTATGAATCAATTAGGTTCTGTTTCGATTGTCCCAATATTTCAAGCGAGCGTTGCGCTAATGCAATTAGCTCGCCCTCTCCATCTTCTCCATCTGAGTCTTCAGGGCCCACTGGTCTCTCAGAAAGCTCTTTGACAATACTGACGATTTTTTGAGACTCGCGGATGAGATTGTTCAACCGGTTATCACCAGACTCGAGCAGTTGTAGCAACGTCCATACAGCAATGTGTTGGAATGTAGGATCTCCGCTGTCCAAGAATCGATTCATGTATCCCAGAATACCCCCACTCGGGGCCGTCCAGTCCCGTACAAATATCGAGTAATCGCCGACTTCATAGGATTCATTAATTAACTTGACTTTTCTAGGTTGGGCATCGGGTGACTTACTTTTTGATGAGAGATTGCCCAGTGCAGCCGCACTGTTACCTTGTACTTCAACGCTTTCTGACGCAGTCAGTGGGATGAGCACATCAAAGACGCCAAGGTCAAGTAGGTGCGGTTTTAGCTCGTCACTTAAAGCCAACACTGCTATGGCAGCTGTCATTTCTGATTGTACACTAAGCGGGACTTGCATAACCAACTCCTTGCACTTTTGTACAGCACCAGCCTGCAGGACGAGTTCTTTGTTCCGGTCAGAACTAGCAGCGAGGTTTCGAAGCGTGGAAATAGCATGACACTGGATCTCTTCATTATCAATTGGCCCTAGGAGTTCTACCAGGGGTTTTAAGAATCCGGCGTCGATGATAGGAGACTCGTTATGGGGATGAATCGAGATGTTGCGGATACATGCAACGGCGGAGAGGATCAGTGGGAGGTATGAGGACTGCAGCAACCGCAGTAGTGGAGGAAGACCGCGTGCGCGAACTATCTCAAGTTGATATTTTTCGTCCGATGCTAAATTTCGTAACGCGAGAGCAGCTTGGCATTGCACCTTCGGTGTTGAGGAGTCCATCAACTGAACCAGGGAGTGAACAAGTCTAAGCTCAGTTTGAGCCAGTCGTTTGCGATTAGCTGAGTCTACTGCAATGTTGCTTAAGGCGGTTGTGCAGTAGTATTGGACGTCCACGTCAGGTGAGGACAAGAGCTGAACCAGTACTGGAATTGCTCCAGCAACTACAAGTTCCTGTCGATTCTCGTCTGTACACCAGTGAACTTAGATTAATGCTGCAGAAAGACAGAAGGCTTGCATACCAGAATGGGTCATGTTTAAGAGGGCACCAGTAGCGTTGCGTTGAACCCTCATGTCTTTTGATTTCGCGAGTTTCGTCAATGGGCCTAGGGCACCAGATCTTGCTATCCTTGATTTGTTCTCTTCGTGAGTCGCAAGGTTAGTGATACAACCAACGGCGTTACACTGGACTTCGACATTTTGAGACTGCATCTGACGGATGAGTGGTGCTAGGCCACCTAACTCTACGATGGAAACTTTGTTTTCAGCTAGAAAGAGTGTTAGTCCCGGTCGCCATTCACGTCGAACATCACATACTGTTCACAGCCAAATTTCCCAAGGCTGCGCTCGCCGCTCGCTGAACTTCAATATCTGGACTTTGGAGCAGGGACAGGATAGGCTCTAAAGTGTTTCTGTCGACTTCACGAACATCTATAAGAGACGTCTGATTAGGCTCTATCTGCAGAAATGATGCGAGATAAGTGATAGAATGCTTCCCACTGACCTCTTTCGGTGATTTCCGCGAACGTTAGGCTCGCGCTTCTTTGCAGGTCGACATTATCTGAATACACGAGTGTACTTAGGGCTTGCAACGGCTCTCCACAGAAGAAATCCGTTTCAGTTCGCTAGAAAAGTAGCCGTATCAGCGTTATTGTAGTGCACCTGGGTGGGTAGAAAAAGGCTGAGTCAACGCCATGTACGTACGTTCTCTAGATACTGCAGCAAATCCGCAACGGCCTCGCGTTCGTTGTCGGCTAAAATCGGTTCGTACAAGCCATCCCTCGACCGACCTTTGATGAGCGCCAGCAGATCAGAAAAGCGGCACCATCCGTCAATCGAGGTAAATATACCTGTTAGGCAGGAGACACAAGCATTCCCCATGTCTCTTCAGATCCCTCCGGGAGCGGAGGGGGCGGGAGCAGCACCCCCAAGGAGGCGCTTAGTATTCGTAGAAGTGATACTCTTTCCGTGTGCTTCTGCTTTATTTTTCTTTTCCACCGTTTTGGTTATCTGGTCGAAAAGCGACGTGGGTGATTCGCGAGATGCGAAATCGTTTGCAGGTAGGCCTTATCGGGACATCGAGGGGGTACAGGAGGCACGGGGCGTCTATGCGAATAAGGTGTGGAAGACGGAACTGGAACAGGATCCTTAGATGGGATCGGGTGACTGATGCAAGGTCGCCAGGGAAAAGGAGGGCAACCGATTGGTCCTGCGATGCATAAAACAAGAAACTTGGGTAAGCCTGCGCGGATTCAGATCAAAGGAGGATGGAGGGCGGTGGCGGGAGCGGGAGCAGGGCGGCATGTGAGGAGGATAGCGGGCTAAATACCTGGAGTACCGGCAGTACAGATAGCCACACAAGAGCGGTCGTGAGCCAGCGACGCAGAGGGGGCGACGGCGACGAGGACCAGGTGGAGGAGAACCAACTACCTGTTAGTTAGTTCGTTGCCAGCGATGGGCGTCAACACGACAGCTTAGTAACCAGCGAAATTGGTTGGTGAAGCTGATCAGATGCGAAGCTCGGACAGACTAGCCGCTTTGGGCACCCGCGTGCTGAGAAGCCGGAGGCGGCGGACACGGCGGGCGGCGAGCAGCTACCACTAACTTACTTATGCCTGTGCATGGGCACGGTCCGCTGGTGTGTCTGGTGCGAAGGAGGGGGCCACGAGCGGGATGCGGGGTGGATGGCACAGAAACCAGGGCCAGCCTCAGGCACATAGTTACATATAATAGGTCTTTTGTTAGTTGGCAGCCCAAAGTCGTCAGTCATATTTACTAGTAACTCGTTGGTCCCCTATGCACTTCCAGGCCATGCCCCCCTCGCTCTACCAAATGCTATACCGATGCAAAACCAATAGTTACCACAAAGGACAAAAGGTATAAAACAAAAATCAAGAGGCAAATCCGCCGCATTGGACGCATTTCAAACGCTGCTCCCCAGTCTTCATCCTCGTCGCCTTGAAATTCGTGCCGTGGCAGCGTGGACAAGTCAACTCTTCCTCATCGTCCTCGTTTAAGCTGCCGCTCGTATCTCTGTCGTCATCCGCACTCTCGTCGCTCGTCAAGCTGCCCAATGGCGGGACATCTTCGCGGCTTTCGACCAATGACCGCCTTCGATTTGCCGCTTGAGATGCAAACCGTGACTTGTTCCAGAACATAAAGCTCCGGTTGCCTTCCAAGAAGAGCGGATCGTCTTCAAACTCGCCACCTTTAGGTTGGGTATTATTATAATTATTGTTGTTCTTGGAAGCATCCATATCACCCCGGCTCGTGCTTGCGCTTGACTCGGGTATGATGGTTCCTGAGAACGGGTGGGGTGGTGTGGGGGGTTTTGTCCGTGACATGGGACTTGAAATGTGTGCCAGCCGGCCGGGGAGTCTCATCGGCGGGTTAGAATCAACTTTCGGTGTGCTGCTGGATTTTCGTACGGATGAAATAGGTGACACACTCCGTATACTACTTCCTTCGGTAGCGCGGAAATTATCGACACTGGCGTTGTCCCGCGATCCGATGACCGAATTTCTCCATGACAGAATTCGCTCAGAGGGCGTTTTGTGCACCGAGTCCTTGCCTATCGACATAGCACTTCTACGCGTAGACACTGAGTTATTCCGTCCCAGTAGCTTTTTCGAAAATAGCGAACTCGTTTCCCACGTTTCATACTGACGCCTTTGATAGCCGCAATCCTGTCGGAAAACCTTGATAATTCCGTTGTAGTCTGCGGTTACGATAATGTTTCCTGCACGGTGAGACATACGTGCACGATACGCGGGAGACTCTGCCGGCTTTTGCGGCTCTGATGCAGGCGGACGAGCTGCGGGGGAAGGAGGCTCTTTTGCCCCGACATCATTAGCTGACCTCGACGCCACAGACGGTGTTTGGCTGACCAACGTGATCGGCGGCGGATTACATAAATCATATAAGAGGTCTCCAGTTGAACCAAGAATTTCTTTCGTCTTCTCAGGTGCTATGATAGCAGTGGTTACCATGGACGAATGCGCTTCAAAGCTCTCCAGGGGTCGCTTATCCCCAAATCTCTCGTTACCCTCAACTGGCCAGATATAGACCCGGCGGTCCTCACTGCCACAAACAATGTACCGTCCGTCACTGCTGAAAGACGCCCGAATCTGGCTTGCAGAATTCTCATTACCCCGAAATTTAACCTCCATTGTTTTGTCTCTTAAGTTGTATAGACGGATGCGGGAGTCATTGCTCGTAATGAGAATCTTCACAACACCACCCGACTCCTGGCCTGGGGGGTACATAAGAGTGTCAATTCCAGTAATCTTGCTCCCTTTGGCATTTCGGCCCCTCGCCGAACGTACGTGGATTTGCGAAACCATTTTTAGCCCATCTGTCTCATATATAATACACTGTCCATTCAGACAGCCAGTGATTGTATTTTTGCCATCAGGGGTAAACGCAACGGCAGTGATTAGATCAGGAGCAGCAGCCCAAAATGCAACATTTTTGTCAGGAATGCTCCAAAGTCGCATTTTTGAATCTAGGGATCCAGCAAGGAAAAAGCGGTCATCTTTTGGGTGAAATTCAATAGATGTCACGACGTCATTGTGTTTGAAGCAACAGAGGCACTCGTTTCTAGTCACATGCCATAGTCTAACTGTTTTATCCAGGGAGGAAGTCAGCAAAAAGTTGTTCTGCAGAGTATGTTAGAAAGTAGCCCTTTAATCAATACTAAGCCTTTAACGTACCTTGCTCCAGCTAACATCGACTATACTACCAGTGTGCCCTTCATACTGGCGTAATGGTTGTGTTTTAAAAACAGGTGCGCTCAGGCGCATCGATGGCTGATCAGCTTGGGCCTCTTCCTCAATTTCATGCGATTGTCTATCTTCAGCGGTCGCAATCACAGCCCAGACCCGCACTTTTCTATCCTGGCCTGCCACGGCTAAATATTTACCATCCTTTGAGAACTCGGTGACCCACACGGCCTTCCCCTCCTGAGCAGCCGCATCTGACTCAAAGACATTAATGGTAGTATCTTTGTTCTCTGAGCTAGTGTCTTGCGCATCATTTGCCTTGAGCTCCTGAGCCACAAACAACTTATTAAAGTCTTTTGTCTTTTTATGGTGTGCGCGAACTCTGATATACTTTGGGGGTGGTGGAAACCGAGGGATATATCCTATCGGTTGAGCAAATATTTCCGCATCCATACCAGCAGCACGATGCTCGCCCAATTCCGATACATCGTCATTTGTTTCCGAATGATCGTCCTTTTTCTTGTTTCCAATAATGCGGCTAAGGAATGAAACGCCTTTCCTAAACAGATTAAATGAGTGTCAGCATATGACGCTTTTAGGCAGAATAATTAAATCGCGGTTTGAAGTATACTCTGGCTAGAAGCTAACCAGGTTCGTATCTCATATATCACTAGACAAACTTTATGGGAGAATGAACAAGCATAAGCATAAGCCTTGAGCCTAAGCTTATCACATTATAAAGGGAAAAGAAGAAAATAATCCGAAAATCGAGGCCTTGATTGAGAAACCAGAATTTAAGAAATCTTATTATGCTTACTTTTTGTCCTTAGTCGGCCTTTGTAACGAATGACTATCAGCGCGTACAGCCAGCGACGGGTCTTCAAAGACAGGAGAACGACCAGCCTCCAGAGGTACACTCTCGACATCAAGAGATGTCTGCGGTCGAAGTTTGGATGAGAAAGTTTTTTCTGTGTTTGTACGGTGTAAGATTTGCTATCATACAATTCCAAAGGTCAGTGACAAATTCGGACTACAAAAAATGGTTCTAATGCGAGTGTACCCAAGGCACAGAATAGATACCACTCAGTCATAGTCACATACCTGAGATAGAGGGTCGATTGGGGTGTGCGATTGTGACGCGAGAAGTGGAATAGAAGTCGAGGATGAATGTTTCTGCTGAAGAAGTGTAACCGAAGAAGGCTTGACGGTGGAATTCCTTGTGAGAGGTGGCGGTGTGGGGGCAGAATTGTCCCTCGACAGCGCATCAGTCGGATCTTTGGGCGCAAGCTGCTGGAGGCCGCCGTGTGCCAGATTGCCATTTGCTGGGCCTGTATGTAAGGTCTTTTGTTAGCAGATACAACGGACTGTCTTGCGCAAAACTTTCCAGAGAGTCAAAATCATCACGCTCCGATCCGAAAGAACTAATGAGCTGACCTTCATATCCGTTTCCCCAGTGCTTCTCGTCGCGCTCACCTAGTCCATTGGTACTGGACTGAGATGTGACTGGGTCGGGTGCCGCACCAGGCACTGTCATACCATTCCCCAGGCGCGCGTATTGCTCCATAGGCATCTTATATAGCTGTCTGAAGTCCGCGATAGCGGTCGGAATGCACTCGAAGAAGAATTTAGCCTCCTGAGAGCACGAAGATTCGCTTCAGGAAGCAATACACAACAAGGGCATCTTATGCTGGCCCTCCCGCTAACGACGTTGCACGTGGTGAAGAATTGCGAGCGTGATACTGTTCGGAGTGAGCGTTAGAACCGACGCGCTCTTGGGGACTAGAGTGGCATGCTCGACGATCGAGAAAATATGGCAATGGAAATCGGAAGAAGCCATTCGGGGCATGCTTGTTGTCCATGCTCCGGACCTTGCCACGGGTCTCAGCGGGACAACGGCGAGCTACAAACCTTCCCGCGCCCGCTCGTTCTGCTTGGCCGCGGAAACAACTCGATTAGATAAGCGCTGCCCGTGCCATATGACGTCGTACATACACCGCGGTTCACAGGCCGCGGATCAATGCATTGTGAGAGCTACAGACTGGGCTAAATGAACCGCGCGGTGCTGCCCGCTTTCGCGTCATATTGTCCTTAAGACTGCAGTTTCCGCGCTCTATCCTTCGCGATATCGCACATAGCCTGCTCGACAGCCAGAAATCGTCAACACAAATTGCACAGACATGCCTCGTATTCTCAGGCATCAGGCGAGAGGATAACTAGTGGGGAACTTACCTGGATTGTCTCCAGTATTTCCAGCTCCGAGTCACCCCTGTCGATGCGCCGGCGTATGTCTTCCATGATGACGTCCCTTGCGCGGCCATTTACAAACGTGCTGCCACGCATCATCGACTGTTAGATTGCAGGGAATATACGGTCTAGGAAAGAAGGAAGCAATGCCCACATACACATATCTTAGACCCGGGAAGTGCTGTTCATATTCGTGGTTTAAGGCACTCAGCTGTTCAGCAGTTCCTTGCTGCCCTGCTTTGTTCAGATTCGCCTGCTCAGCTCTGCTCATCTCGCTTAGATGATCCCCTCGTGGACAAGTCCCATCTTTGGCAGCTTTGGGCGATGATGGCTTTGGCCCAAGTCGCGGATGAGAACCAAGGATATCCAGGAGAACAGTGCGGTCCTCGGCGGCCGTTGATGACGCAATGGCAGTAAGTCTTTCTTGAATTGCGTTTATCAAGGTGGGATATGAGGTGAATTCATTTTGTTCAAGTATCAAGCTGACCAGCGAATGTATGTGGGCGGAGGGCTCAAAAAGGAGATCGACAACCTGGTTCCGTGTTGAAGCCGAGAGAGATGGCAGGGCGTTAATATCTGGCAGTCTATCCATCGTCTGCAAAGGTAATTGATTACTTAGTTGTTTATAGAGGATTTGATTGAAGATGTACGATTTGCTGTCGTCGTTAAGATTAACTTGTGTGGTTGTCTGGTGCGTTTGGCCTGTAGGATGAGGGGATGGAAGGATGAAGCTTGGCCTTCAGGAGAATAGCCGACTGTGGATTGCCAGGCGTTGACGCCTAATATTATCGCAATGCAGACATTTGGAATTACAAGAGCTTCGGGCCGGAATTATTGATTGCTTACTATCTGAAGGGGAAGACATTCATTCCAGCGCTAGTTACTACTATTGGAGACCCCTGAGCCTATGTATAAACGGAACCAGAGCTTCAATTTGACTTTATGTATCCGGCCTCAACACAAATCCACTCATCATCTTTTTCTTGACTGGCTACTGCGCTTCCTGAACGCCAGCGGTGCTTTTTCCACCCCACGATACTTCAATACCCTTCGAAGCTGTTCTCAAAGACAGAATAGGACTTTCCTCGTTTCAGCACTAAGTACTAGAGCAGCGCACTTGCGCACAACTATTCCGAATGCCTTACCTCGCCAACTCACAGGACTTCCTCAAACAGTCCTCTCTTCTTCTCGAAGCCTACCCTCACACCGTATGCTCTCACTACAAGGGATTACCTCGTTATCATCAATTAACTTGTGACTAGACTCGCATAACAGCAAAATATTCCTACCCCAAGCCCCCTAAATCCAAAACTTCTACGAAAGATGCCTCCTCCGCTGCTACATCGATACCGTCCTCCACCACGCCAGCCCCCGCAACGCTAACATTAAAAACATTTAACCCCCACAACGGTATTTGTCTTAAATATCGTACCACAAAAGCAGCCGAAGTTGGCCGTTTAATTGCTGGCCTTGGGCGTCTCGCGTCCGGTGCCCCAATTGCCGACGCAGCGCTTGCTCCTGCACAGGTACCGGCGGATTCGATGACAAATACCCACGCTGACGTAGAAATGCTTGATGTTTCTGCTACTCCTGGCTCAGGGGCTGGAGGAAACGGCAATGAAAGTCAGGTTACCGGAAAAGGCAACGCGGGTGGTGGCGGAGGGGGAGGAGGCAAAAAGAAGAAGAGTGGGAAGGGTAAGAGATGACATTAGAACATGAAACGGCGTCCCAAGCGTAGCATGGAATGAAATCATGGGATATATACAGATTTCTAGGAATTCACTTCCTCAAGATCCCAAAACGAAATCACACCTATATTGTGAGAGTTTTATGAAAAAGCTTCCACGGATATATCTTTCCTTGTGATATTTCAAAAAAAATTTATGCCATACCTGTGTACATTACTATCACTCAAGAAGTGCACCCTTAGCCCAGTCATAGCAGTGTACTGCATTCTGAGATCCGTATGGGGCATGCGGAGCACCGTAGTAAAGCGAGATTCTTCAGAAAGTATTGGCTTTATTGCGTACACAGTATTATACACGCTCTTTCAGCTCCATTTCCAAAAGAATTTTCAGGTTTTAGAGAACAGATGACATAGGAGAGGTCGTCAAGGAAAATCAATTCTTAAGGTATCACCCAGCAACATAGAAAAGGAAACCCGTCACACATATCCAAGTCAAACGCCGATCCCACATGCAAATCAACTATACACACGAAAAAGTCCCAATAATTAAACATGCTGGTATGGCAAAGAGGAGGGGAGACAATAATAAAAAGGTCTAAAACTCTTCATCGAAGTTGAAAGCGCCACCATTATCGATAGCTTCTTCCGCATCGTCTTTTTTCGTACTAGCCATGACACCAGCTTTTTGGTAATCGCCAACACGCTTCTCAAAAAAGTTGGTCTTGCCGGCAAGCGAGATGTTATCCATGAAGTCGAATGGGTTCGTGGAGTTATAATGTTTCTTGTTGCCAAGAGCTACAAGTAACCGGTCGGCTACGAACTCGATGTATTGGCACATCAACTTGGAGTTCATGCCAAGGAGAGCACATGGAAGAGCATCGGTTAAGAACTCTTGCTCGATTTCCACGGCTTCAATGATGATTGCTGCAACAGCTTCTGGGCTGGGACGGTGGCGGAGGTGAGAGAAGAGGAGGCAAGCAAAGTCAGTGTGAAGACCCTCGTCACGAGAGATCAGCTCGTTGGAGAAAGTAAGGCCAGGCATGAGACCACGCTTCTTTAACCAGAAAATAGAAGCAAAAGAACCACTGAAGAAGATACCCTCAACAGCGGCGAAAGCAATAAGACGCTGTGCAAATGTGGATTCACTATCCTGGATCCATCGAATAGCCCAGTCGGCTTTCTTGCGAATGCAAGGAACTAGTAGGCATATTAGCAATGATACGGGGCGGATATAATAGGCATAGTACATACTGGTATCGATAGCATCAAAGAGATAGGTACGTTGCTTCGGTTCTTTGATGTATGTGTCAATCAGAAGGGAGTATGTTTCTGAATGGATGTTTTCCATCATGATCTGAAATCCATAGAAACAACGGGCCTCTGGGATTTGGACTTCACCACTGAAGCGCTCCACAAGGTTCTCGTTGACAATTCCGTCAGAAGCGGCGAAGAATGCCAGCACACGAGAGACAAAGTATCGCTCGTCATCATTGAGTTTGTTGTTCCAGTCGTGAAGATCTTTGGACAAGTCGATCTCCTCAGCAGTCCAGAAAGATGCTTCAGCCTTCTTGTACATTTGCCAGATCTAAGAAGTAACACAAGTCACGTTAGCGCGTACCACTTTACGCGTGACGCGTCAAGTCGCTTACCTCGTGATACTTAAGAGGAAAGAGGACAAATCGATGGGGGTTCTCCTGAAGCAATGGCTCCTCGGCTTCAAGCTCCTTTGGCGTGAGCTGTCTTTTTGGTTCTTCGGAGACATTGAGCTTGAGGGCCTCAGTATCGACCTTTTTCAGATCAGCGTCGGCGAGGGGGGCAGAGCCCGGGGCATTCTCCTTGTTTGCCATGCCGAGTTCGAGTTTCTTAACAGGAGAATCACTCATTTTGAGATGTTCAAGTGAAGAGGCAGTCTGTTTAATGTCCAGACGCGTCAGCCAGATCTACAACGCGAAGATGCTTAGTGGTAGTCGAGCGAGTACAAAGCTTACCTGCTTCGAAGGGGTAGACTGTGTGGCCATTGTATACGATTAAAACACGTCGATACTTGAAGAATATCGAAGTGTAGAAGATTAAAAGACGCGTTTTGAGGATAAAAAGAAGAGATAATATGGAAGGGAAACGGAAAGCGGGAGCTTGAAATACTCGTCAAGTCGCGCTAGGGGAAAACGCTAAGTCACGGGACCACGCGACCAGCGCAAACTCGCCTGTAAAAACACGCCCAAACTGCCCAGGCCAATCCCAGCCCGCGTTTGCCTAAAATCCGCGTAATCTTATCAGATCATCAGTGGTCTAGGCTTCCTTGTCGCAACACATCCGACTGTCGACGGCAATCCCTATAGCTCACTTATATGATCAAGCAATTGGCACGTTCAACTAGGGAAACGCTTCCTTGGATTAGAAAATCTTGAGATTTATCTCCTTGCTTCATACAGAGTACGAAGTACAGAGAACCTCTTCGACGACGCGCCTAAGAGCCGCGATCGCCAAGCCAGGAAGGAGCGTAGTTGAGTACGGAGTACGATGTCATCTTTTGTGGATGCAGGTGGCTGCGCTGCTCGCCAGTCAGGAACCCACAACAGGGATACTTCCTACGGAGTTAATCCATGACTGCATTGGGCTCACGCGTATGAGGATTGAGCGCGGAGTAGTAAACATGCAGAGGCTAGATCGCGACATCATGCCACGTTTTACTGCGGAAGCAGAGTATGATATTTGCTTCCCAGCCTTTCATGCAAACGACACAAACAAAGCGGGTTGCTTGGTTTTGCCCTGCATAGGAGCCTGGCCGGTGTTTTACCTGCTGCTCGAGTTAACCTGAGCATGGCGGGACAGAAAAGGCTGGATTCGCTGTTTGATGCTACTTGCATACGAGGCCTTCGTATTCCAGCCATGATAAAACAATGGAACACGCACTTAGGGAGAGAAATTGAACGACTCCTCCATAAATCATGTTTTACTTATATTTTGTGCTCTATCACTCTATCTTCTGGAGGCCTAATACAGGGTCCTCTTCTTTGCGGCACTCAGAAGGCGGAGTCCATAAGCGCCTGAAACTCTATTTTTACAATAGAAAATACTCCGTACCTAAACACCTTAAGTACGGCTGAATGTACGGCTTATTCCTCACAGATCTCGTCGCCAATCGGCGAAAGCACAGCTATTTGGTGTTCGTTCAGTTCTGTCGTCGAATACGTTCTGCGTGCGGGTCATCTGCTGGATGGCTGGCCCCAACAAACCTCAGCTATTCTAGAAAGCCCTTGTCAAATCGGAACGCCCAATACGATGTGGCCAATCGTCGCTCAATTCAGCGGCGCACCAGAAACAATGTTGTAGGTTGGGCTAGGTTTCCCAGCCTGCATAATTTGCAAAGCTAGTAGTGCTTCCGAGATCGGGAGACATTCGTGTAACAGTTTCGCTGCACAGCGTACCGCTGAGATTCAAATCTCGTTAAAGTACTGCCATCGTCACTATGATGGCGGCAATTCTCAGCTCTTTCGGTATATTTGACTTCCATTAAGGGGCAGTTGGAAATATTGCCAGAAGGTTCAGTATTAATGTCTAACGATCAAATTTTGAACGCGACAGAGGTCATGGATTCATTGGAAGCTAGAATCAGATCCTGGCCTCGTCAAAGAAGTCATTTCCTATCCCCATTTAAACGCCACGTATCGAGGCTCCAATAAGCAAAAGGTAATGCTAACACCGGAATGAATAAAATACCAGATCTATATGTTTGCTTTAACTGAATCAGAAAGAAATCGATCTTCTACCCTTCGCATCAGCTTATTGGTCTGTTCAGCCAAGCTGAGCGTCAAAACCTGTAGAAGCAGTAAGTATTTTATCCAAAAACATAGTGATCCGAAAGGCATACAGTATGGGGTAAAATACGTGCAAGATGAGCAAAATATCCTTTATAAATAGCAAAAATGCCTTCAGTAGTTATCGTCTTGTATAAGCAGTCGAATACACCCTTGTACAGATTGCCAGTTTGATTGTACATCCGTGACATGATTGTATCTGCAACAGCGCATGATTAGCCAGAAATCTAGGAAAACACAAAAACAAAAACAGAGCTGCAATATAACTCACCTGGAGGGTGCATAACGCAGCAGACTACAAACCCACTGCATGCACTGCTAGCTAAGTGCAATCCAGGGCCATCTTCCATTCCCAGGTGCTTGATCAGCCGTCTCTTTGCAAAGAAATAGGTTGGTAATTGAACCGAACTTCCAAATCCGGTTCGGACCATTGCAGCACCAACTCCCCGGTAAAGACCTTTCACGCCTTCCCCTGTATAAATTTGCCTGAGGCCGTCAAAGGAATTTTTGTATGGGTGCTGGGTGCCGACGGGAAGAAAGGGAGAAAAGGATTGAAGTCTTGTCTTCACAAGAAAAAAAGGAGAGCCTGCAGCTGCCCCAAGAATTCCTGATGCCGCACCAGAGAAAATATTGATACCAAGGGACTGATAAGAAGCATCTTTGTAAAACACTGAAGTGAGACCCTGTCTTAGAGGCTCATAGAATCCGAGGCGGCATCCGTTCAATACCATTTGGTAAATATACTGCATTTATAAGCCAAGAATTCAATTAAAGTCCCTGCGGGGATGCGCCTTGGCCCTACCGCTGATCCAATTCCCCGGAATAAGCCACGAGGTCCTTCATTCTGCAGAATGACCTTTACACCATGAAGGACACCGTTGTATTTGCGAACAGCCTCTTGTTTCGACTGAAGCTCGCCCTGGAGCTGTAATCTTCGATGCGCATGAGTCTATGTAAGCCTCGGTTTCGGGGAAGAAGAAATACCGAATTTTAACAGTCTCGAAGCTGTGCGTTACTGTGACGGCGCCACAAGCGGCGAGACCACCAGCTATAAAGGCCCTGGAAAAAAAAAAGGGTTAGAAAATTCTACGAGGTCTGCTAGAAAGACGTACCCGGTGGTGGTGGACATTCTGGCGTGGAGCTGTTTTCAGGACAAGGAGTGGAGAGAAAAAATAAAAGACAAAGGGGAAAAAAAATCAGAAACAAACCAACAAAGAATTTGATAATCAAAGCTGTGGCTTCATTGTGCAACAACCCGCGAGAACATTGGATGGGGCTGCGAGCGGTGCAGGGGAGATATAAATTCGCTGACGAGAGCATCAGCGCGAACTCAATTCTTGCCTGCGCCAAGACGCTTGTGAGATTAGTCATGCTGGGGACAGAGTTTGTCGGAATACACGCGTCGTGATTCGTGGCGCATCATTTGCCCGGCCCGGCGCTACCGGCATCCGCCGCAACCGCCATGGCCGAGACGGCGTTGCACGCCGACCACAATCTATTTCGGGCTTGGAACAGCCTGCTAAAGCATTTTGTGAATCAATATATGAGCATTTGGTATAAGGCCCCTTGAAACCATTCCATTTGAATATTTAAATGAGACAACTATTTCAAGGAGAGATGAAAGTGCCACAACAGGACGTACTTCGTAGCGCCAACCAAATCCAGCTCCAATCTATATCCAGAGAACAAGTCGCAATATTAATGAGATAATTGATCACACTGCTATTTGTGTTTACATTTACTGAGAAGCATATAGAAAGCAATCTATAAGCGTTGAAAATTATTGAACATGAAACTTTGCATTATTGGTCAAATTTTATAATGCAAAATCACTATTCTTTCCTTTAAAAACCGTACTTCAGATGATTAAACAACTTGCAATTATATAACTCCTGTACTTCAGTTACTAGTAGGTATTCCATACATGCTCTTTTTTCCCTCTATCTTGGCATTTCAAATCTTTCGATGCTGCAAGTCATCATAAATTAGCCGATGGTATACATTTCTGAGCAACCGTTTGCCCCCGGATGATCCAGGACCGTCCTCGTTTTATGTAATAGGCTCATCCTCATTTAAGTCTAGGTGCTAAAATTTGGGACGTAGTTTGGGTCTTCCATATTGTATTTGGCCGTTTGAAGGATTAATCTCCCAGATCGCCTTGTAAAGTTTCTTGTACTCGGTATGGTAGAAGCTTAATAGACTTATTAAGATTATCAAGATGTAAAACAAATAAAGAGTTTTAGATGTTTTTGAGAGCCCCCATCTGCCAGCAAAGTCGGCAGGCGCAAGTCACTGGACCACGGGTCTCTATCCTCTAGACAGTAAGTTCCTTCAAGATGCGTGTTTCGGATACGTATATGTTAATGACTATCTGGATAGGTAGGAAGGTCAGTTTCTTTTTAGCGAAAATACTAGACGGACAACTCCATGTGGGTAATCTTTATACGTACGTAATATTAAGTCAAAGGCAACGCGGTAGTTAGCTCCGCTGGGCCTTTCTTTGTCTTTTGTCTATTATGAAGAGTGGTTTCCGGATAGGAGATTTGTCATTGCGTGAATTAACCCAAAGACTCCGCCATACGCCGAGGTCCTACTGGTTTATAACCAGAAGGGCTGACCTTATATAGTAAGAGTCAAGAACCTCTGCGATAACATCCAAATCGTTGCCAAGAACAGGAGTAGGGCTAATTACTTGACCGTCCTCGTTGTAGGGTCCTCCTGATAAGACCAACTTGTCATAGCGTTTCTTCATACTATGTTCTGCAATTAAGGCGGGCTAGATCCTGTCCGGAGAATCGTAAGTGTTCTACTACACTTCATTGACTTTCGAATATGTGTTTCGACAAGGTAATATCTCAGAGCCAGTGGGCATAGGTGTGTAAGAGTAATAGCCACTCGGCCACACCAAGGTAGCTATCCATTGGACTTCACAAATCAAGTCACTACTCCTATGTTTTCACTGGCGCCGTAATCTCCGGCGCAAATCTCCAAACACCCCCACCATTGAGGGGGCTTTTCGGCTTCTTCATATTTTTTTCCTGAAAAGATTTAGTTGTTAAACATATTATTCATAGCAGAATAATTGACTTGAGATCAGGGTATTGAACTATACACTGCATCCAGTGACCTTCCTTCTTACACGTTATTGGGAGGTCTTCACCATTTTTATTTAAGCCTCTAGGGCAGTCATTTTTTTTATTCTTGATCTTTTGATTTTCTTCTCCGGTATAGCCTTCCGCTTCAGGGCTCTATCCTTCATTTCTAGACCGTCTTCTCAATATCAGCCCATATTTCTTCACTGTGAGAGCGCTCTCTTCTCTTCGTTTTGGAGAATTGGGCGGGTTCTTCATTGCTTCCCCATCTCATAGCCAATCAGTTCCAACCTCTCGGAGAGCAGCTCTTCGTGATGAAACGTGGTTTCACGCGCCTCGGTTCTGGAAATGCAGGCTTTTGGCGCTAGTATATATTGTGGCCTTGGCTATTTTTTGATACTTGGATAGAAGTACGGAGTAGGCATGAAACCATCGTGTACTAATAAGGATAAGGAAGCCCACCCTCAGAAAATCAATTAGAAGAGTATCAGGGTGGAATATTTATAGGAACAATGGAGTGGCTGAGTCATCATTCTCACCCCTGTCACTGCTAGAGAACTAAACTTTCCTCCAGACGCTCAAGTGAATCCAAGCCGGCACAGGAAGTAGGCCTTTCCCCATTCACTGCCTCTTTCTATCTTTTGCTTTAGGGACTGTGAATGATGGGCGATTTTAGCCATGGCCGAAACTGCGACTACTAGTGGCCCTCCTCAGGCAACAATGAAGGTCTCAGATGTTATCTCCAATTATCGTCCATCGAAAGTATGCCCATAGCTGTCCTTGCCCAGCAAAAGAGATATTGACCGCTTTTTTTTCTCTAGATATTTCGAGGAAACACCAGATCAGATGGCCAGCAATTCGTCACTTCAGTTGACTTTGACGATCAAGGCGAGTATCTCGTTGCCGCGAGCGATGATGAGATGATACAACTGTTTGATATAAAGGAAGGGAAACCGACGAAGACTGTGCCTAGTAAAAAATACGGGGTCCACCTTGCTAGGTTTACCCATCACTCCCGACAAGTGTTGCATGCTAGCACAAAGGTCGATGGTAAAGGCTTCCTTTGCCGCGATTTATCGTCGAGCTAACCACGTTTGTAAGATTCCTTACGGCTTCTCGATCTCCATAACGAGAGCTACCTTCGCTACTTTACTGGCCATACAGACAAGGTGACATGTCTCGCATTAAGCCCCGGTACAGACGCTTTTCTTTCATGCTCCAAGGATGACAGTGTTGCGCTATGGGACCTGAATTCCAGAAACGCGCAAGGAAGACTTAAGCTAGCGACTCCATATTTAGCAGCATTTGACCCATCTGGCAGCGTTATCGCCATTGCGTCACAATCTACTTCATCAATATTGCTCTACGACTATCGGAATTATGATAAACAACCGTTTGCGACCTTTGACATGGCGCCGCACGAAGATAGATATGCCCAAACAACCAGAGGCAGGGCGTGGAATAAACTTGAATTTTCGAATGATGGAAAGCATATCCTGCTCGGAACGGATCTTCATGGCCATTTTGTTCTCGATGCTTTTGAAGGACATGTCAAAGCATTCTTGGTTGGCAAGTCGGGGGTAACAGGACGAGCAGCTCCAGTGTCTAATTCTGGAAAGCCTCTAAGCCAAGGCGATGTCTGCTTTACCCCAGATGGTCACTATGTGATTGGTGGCGCAGGGGAACAGTCCGATATGCTGGTATGGGATGTGAACCAAGCCCCCGACTCCAACCGTTTCCTCCAGGCCATGGTTCGTTTACCACATCGTGGCAAAACTGCCATTGTGCAGGCAAACCCCAGGTACAATATGCTGGCTAGTGCGGATAAGGAAATTGTGTTTTGGTTACCCGATGATAGCGCAAAGCACTCCGAAAAATGAACAGCCACGTCCTCATATCATTATACCCGAAGGCCATAAAACGTCTATCCGTTAATTTTAATTTCGTTTTGGGAACACTTCGAGGTCACCGGGTCTAATGGTGCAGCAACATTGACGATGTTGTTTCCTTGTCGTCTTTCTGCACCCTAGGCTACTCTAGAGTTCTTATTGTGCTCTTTTCCGATCAAACTTCTAGCCGTATCGCAGGTCCACACAGAGGGTCCCGATAACTCGTCATCGTTACCCCTATTCTCTTCCACTAGGGTCTCAATCAGCTTTGCCACCGTTCGGTTGCTGGAAATCGTCATTTGCTCCGTCACCCAACCGTATATGAAAACACTAGCATTTATTACACTGAGTTGTGCTTTCACTTCGCGAGCTATGGCTGGCAGTTTTCCATTTTCGAGGCCTTCCTCAATTATCTCATGGGAATCTACCACTCGGATGGGGAGTTTCCAATCTGTAGGAACTTTATGATCAGATAATGTTTGGAATCGGGATATTAATTCTTTCCTAGCCAAATCCTCGTCTAGCTCGCCCATAAGCAGCTGAGTCCTTAATTTTTCTGTCTGGGTGCCTATTGTTGCGACTATTTCTCGCATTCTGTGGGCAGCTTCCTCTGTGCAAACCAGTTCCTTATCGCCCATTGCCGGCCATAGCTCCGAAGGTATCAAAGGATTTTGTGCCTCGAGTTGGATTTGCCGGGTCACCGCACGGTGGTGATATGGTGCATGCGTTAAGTTCCTGATATGCGACACATCTGACACTAGAGCGAGAAGCAGCGTACAGTCGACGTTTAATGTCGGGGTTCGGTGAGGGTATGGACTGGGGAGTAGTGATGTAAACAAAGCCTCCAGGGACCCCGTGTCATGTATCAAAGACCCTTCACCTGGCACATCTTCCGCAATGTTACGGCATTCCACCGTCACCCCTAATTTTCGAATCTCACGGATGATCCTGTCAACTGGAGGTACTTCGCCTTCGGTAATCTTAGTGAGAACAAATCGTATTCGAGGGTGTTTGTATCTAACTCGGGTTTCCTTGGCCGCCTTCGTCATGTCCGCTGCTAATTTGACAAGCTCGATCATATCGTCACCATCGCTATCATTGCCTGCTAGTCCATCTTCCACTGGGTCGTCGTCTGAGTCCGAGTCTACATCCCACCCTTGCTTTGCCAGTTCAAACAAGAGACGTGAAGGTGTGATTGTAGACACTTTCACCCATTCTTCTCCATGATCGGCGACGATATCCACAAGCACGTTTCTCTTCAAAAGTGCTGGTGCCGTTGTCTTGGAGAGAGGCATTTCGTCGTCTTCGGCTCCACCGTTCAATAGACTACTGTTCCTAAATGCACTTTCAATATCCTCTCTATAACTTCCCACTGTGTTTCTTTTAGCACCCCTCCAATAGAATTTCTTACTAAACCCAACCAGACCTGTGCAAGTCATCTTCGCAACTGTCCAAACTGTACAGTAAAACGGAAAATTGGATGAACGTAGCGAATGCAGAACGCTTTTTTCTGCAGTTCCTAGCCCCCCATTTTCATCCTCGCTATCTTCTTCATTCTGTGCCTTGTCCTCTACTGCTCGTCTCGCTTTTTCATCCTCCTCCACGGCCTTACCCGCCAGGTCATTCAGTTTCTCGAGTAATTTAAGTTCTGACTGGACAACGGACTTGAATTGACGGAGTTCCACAAGATGTGGTTTACCTAGGCCTGCAAGGTAGACCTGAAAGGCATCCAGCTCGAGAAGGAGTGTTTGACACCGAACAAGAAGTGATGCCGCGAGTGCTGGTACTTCTCCTGGAGCACGTGGCTGGCTTTCTCGGTTGGAATAGTCACGCGGGGTAGCTGAATTGTTTGCAGCATGTCGCGCCGCTGGGTATTGAGAGGGCCCATTAAAGGAAATTTTGTCAACCATTGGACAAGAATACTTCCAGTATATCAATCGCCCGGTAGCGAAGCTGGAGAAACGGCCTAGGCCATAAGACCGGAAGCTTTTCGTGCTCGGCCTAATACATAAATCGATGTAGACTTTGTTACATAATCGGCAATGACCAAAAAGACCAAAATTGAATGTATGCCATTTAAGATAGAATTATATACAGCGCAGGATTTTGATACATGGAAACATGAAGCAATGTATGAAAGTTTAATAGAAAAACACAAAAACACCAAATATTGGCCCATACCCAAGCAAACGCCGTCAATTTTGCAAACCCCTTTCCTCAAACGAATAAATTGAAAATAAGCTCGATGAATACACGTTGGAATCCGTAGAAGCGGTATATTATTAGTCTTCCTTGCGCATTAAACCTTTCCCTTCAGTTGAATTTCTCGGAGATTCGTCATCAGACCATCTCTCATCACCGACGGCAAAATGATCCGCATCGAGTGACTGACGACTTGACAGAGCGAGGGTAGCAGCGCCGGGGACTGCGGATGGTGCGACACCTGCTGCTCTGCTATTAGGTGGCTCGCCTAACTCTTCTTCCTCATCGAGTGAGCTGGCAATAGAACGAATCTCAAAGCCATCGTCGTCTTGGGCAACCTGTCATGAGAGTGAGCTTAATTTGGCTGAAATGAGGATAGGGGTGTTCCGTACCTCATCACTCATAGCAAAACGTCTATTGTTTGCCGTTGGTCTCCAAAGGTATGCAACGAAGCCAATATCAAACAAGTATACAATATTCAGCCATCCATCTAAAACGAACCATCTGGTTTTCCAATGATCGGGGATATAGTCGACGACGCTTTTACTCGCAAAGAGGAAGGAGTTGAGGAAGAAGAAGCCAAATGTAACCATGATACTTCCCAGAATACACCACCAGAGCTTTTTGTACATCATAGCCTTCACTCTTTGCTTTCTGTCAATCAGATCCTTCATGGTTGCTCCTAAGGAGTTCAGCGTCCAGACGTAGAATGCTGTAAGGGTTCCGGCAAGAGGAAGAACGACTAATAGGACGAGCGGACCTGCACTGTCTGGCGTGATTGAAAGGCTTGCAACACCGTAGACAACCCCGAAAACAAAGTGACCGATAGCGAGGCAACGAACATAGACCATAGTACGGCCTAAAGATGGCTTCACCACGCCATACCCCATACAGACGATAAGAAGAAGGAAGAATGAGAAGGAGTTCCGGCCAGCATTTAAAATCGCTACTATGACCATGAGGACTCTTGCTAATCCATTCATGCCATGCCTGTTTTGATAATCTACTCAAAGCTTAGCAAGTATATCACCAAACGGATATAAGGTATTGCCAACCATAAAATCCCCAAGTCATCAGTTGCTCAACTACCAAAAATACCAGAATAGCAGTTATGTAATTCTGGACCGGTACTATAGTCAACAGTTAGTCGATATTAAGCGGAAGCGATTGCAGAACCCACGAATGTCATGTCGATGCTGGACATATAAGAATGCCCAAAATCTACAAGAGGTTAGTGATAGTTTTGTGTTTAGAGTATCAGGAAAACATACATGCCAATAACGGCGTAGATAAGGGTCAGGCCGCCGTAAAACGCCAATTTTGGAATTTGCGGTCCGGCAAGCTCGCCATATGCATTTCTAAACGACACAATGCCATTATAATTATCTCCTGTGAATCCATAAGTGCTGACACAGTAGAAGCCACTCTTTTTGACAAGGTATTTAATCGGCTGTGGGTCTGTTAGGTTGACAGCCATCGAAATGAGTGGAAATCGTGCATTTTTGGTCGCGTTAGGTTCTAGAATGAAGGCTCCCAGTGATTTTTCATCACACAGCCCAATTTTTACACCGTGCGGGTCGCAGATAGTTTCTTTTACAATCTAGATAAGGTCAATAAAGAGCGCTCGCGTGCTTGTACCTTATAGGTGGCGGTATTACCCTATCTTTATCATCAGGAGCAAAGCGACCTATCAGCCCCTCATCTTTCCATTCAAATATAACTAGACTCATGAGCGGAGTTGGCTCTTTCGGTGGCAATTTGAGTAATTTCACTTGAATATACGGGTCAACGTTGCCTCCCCAGGCTTTCTTGCCGTACATTCCGGAGCATTGTTGTCGGTGGCCATTGTCTTGATTCTAGTAGGCTAGGAGTTAGGAATGGGGTGCCTCTAATATGCACATGGAGGGCCTTACTATTTTTACGTCGTTTGCGAGAACATCGGCTGCTAGCAGGGTAGATAAAAAGAGTCCATGGAACGGCCACCTCATTGTTGTCTCCGCTGAAACTGAGGCAAAGTCGGGGGCCAGAAAAGCAATGTAAAAAAAATCTGATTATTCATGTAACATTGAAGAGCGACTATATCTAGATCCAAAACCGTTGGCAAGTGTTTGCTCCTGAGATGCGAGGGCCAGCTGGCATAGGAATACAAATGGAGGATTTGGCAATAAGGTTCTGGCCGGCGTGACGTAAGCAGGGTTTTTTGTCCTGCTAAATAGTTAAAGATTCGAAGGCTTTAATCGCCACCAACAAAAATACATTCAAGTCGTATACGCTCACTCACTGGGGAAATTATATGTATTACGAAATGACAGAGACGGCGGGAATCAAACTATGTATCGATTGCAAATCGTTACCATACCAGGTGACAGTACGAACCCGGAATCTTTGCGAGTCAGTTCACCTCTATTCTCCCACTATTGTTATTATTCCGCTAGTTATACTAATTATTTTAGGCCTTGCTTTACGAGGTTCATACAAGGTAAAGTCTTAAGGCGGATGGAAAGATATCGCCTTAGAAGTGCCCCAAAAGACAGACAGCGAACCCTCCTCCTCCCGCTATCATATGGCGTCTCGTCTCTAGCTTTACTGCATATGTTGAGCAGCATTCTTGCAAGACAGCGCTTGATCGGTCAGCACCGCACAGCGTTCGATTTACACATTGTCGTAGTCAATCCCGCCTCACTTGAGCCTTCGGGATCTTCTCACATGCCTGAGAGATTGGATCAGCTCAGAGCAGCCTATCCAGCCAACAAATACACGGAGCTTCCTCTTCATAGCATCCTTGATTATGACACCGATACTAGGGGCGTTTTTGCCCAATGTTTACGCCTTTCTATCGCAGAAAGTTCCCACGTATCAAATGAGGAGGCTATGAACTTGTTTCGAGCTTCATTTTCAACTACAACCGCGCGAGCAGATGTTGATAGAATTCTCCTTAGGCGGCTTATAGTTGCATTTGCCCAGAATCAAGGATGTGATGGAATTCTATGGGGCGACTCAGATAGTCGGCTTGCAGCAAAGACGTTGGCAAATGTTGCCAAAGGCAGGGGTTCCTCCATCGTTTGGGATGTATGCGATGGGGTATCTCCCTGGGGTATTTATTTTTCCTTTCCTTTGAGAGACTTGTACAAGACTGAACTGGAATTATTCGCATCTTATACACTTCCTCACCTTGAGCCAATTATCGAACGAGACGTACAAGATTTTGAATCGATCTCAAACCGAAACATGTCAATTGAAGACTTGATGTCGCGGTACGTTTTAACTCAAGGGGCCAAATATCCAGGTGTTATGGCGAATATTGTTCGCACTATCGATAAGCTGAAGACGCCTCCAACTGGTGGTGAAAGTCGGTGTGTTTTATGTGGCGTTCCGGTCGGTGCAACAGATAATTATATAATCAGTAGCGAACACTTTGATACTACCATATTGGATCAGCTACCTAATTGCTATGGGTGTATGAGAACTCTTCTGGATTTGAGGACGACAGTCACTGCTTCCAGATAGTGTTTTTATATCTAAGAGCGAGGATATGAGGAGATATGAATGGATTTGCTCCCATTTTAGTATGAGAAATATCGTATCTTGGCTACTATACTGGCTGACAACTATACATGAGAAATCATACACATTTCGCTGTGACCTGCCTAAAAGTCTAGCTGTTCTATCATGTGTACGTATTCACACAGATATGTTCTCTGTGAAACACGTCATATGCTGTAGAGCAGAATACTTGTTTGATGATAACACTGATCAACCAATCAATTTTCTAGGTATCCAAAGGTAGTGTGCGAATCAAATAAAGCCTAAAGCGAGATATGTAGCATGAAACTAAGAAAAGTAAGCGAAAAAATAAGAACTCAATTAAGCGCCTGTTCCCTTTACCAGTATGGTATCTAAAAGTACATGCATAGTAGGCATAAACAAATTGTTTTCCTCGTCTCGTCATTAACACTGAGATTTTCAGTGGTGTCAGCGTCTCCCCTTTACAAAATCAGACTGGGTTCTCCTTGGTTGCCCATGTTTTCCAGAATTAGTCTTGTCTCGTGATAGGCGGGCCGGCTCTGGTTGTCTTGGATGCTCATTGCTGGAGGTAATTTGTCTTTGGGGCTTGCGTGTTCCAGCACCTACCTCAAGGTCGACCTGGCTTGTGGAATCCAAAGTTCGTTGGCCTTTCTCTTTGAGGTACTTCTCAAGTAGAACCGCATTCCTTGTATTGCATTTGTATAATGCATCTGCAAGATCCCCAATAAAAGGAACCAACCCAATGGCGAAGTCGAAAATTACGTTGAAGAGCATTTGTGCGTAAAGGCTCTTCGGAAGGCCGCCTTCGACGTTGCTGCAAGTCTTTACGACCATAAGTGCTAAGATCATATCAAGCGCATCCCCTATACTATTAGAGCCTATTAGAAAGCAAGTCAAACAACCGAGAGGGGGAGGGTAATATACGCTGGTACTAAGCCGATAACACTGCCCCATCCAAATTTTATGCCGCAGAAGTTGCAAAGGGCGAGGTCTAACCGGTATGCCCGACGCTTAACTTTTGTAAGGACTTTAACATCATGTTCCGAGATGCCTTCGGGAGCAGCTCTACGTCGTTTTTTTGTTGTTGGTCGTCCAAGGAGGTTGGTCGCTTTGACTTGTTCAAAGTAGGGGTCCTAGAAGTAGCTTGTAAATTAGAACTTGCGGTGCATTGTAATGATATTTGGGTGCATATATACTCAAGACATCGACTCAACTTACTTCTTGTCCAAATCTATTTTCTGCAGACTCCTTTAAAATATTTTTAGAAAGAACGGCAGCAATTTTGGCAGCCATAAAGGGCGGATATGAAGGGTTGTTGATACAGGGAAGAGTTCACGGCGTTCGAAACTGATATAAAGGGATGGTTAAAAGGAGAAAAACAAAAAATAAATGAAAGGAAAGAAAGAGAGGCGTCCTAGGCTTAATATACGATGTTGTACAGAAATGCTGGCACGCTTCTCGTTGAATCAACAAGACTTGGAAATAAACAGGGAATCAATTGGTAGATGGAGGCGCGTGGGGTTAGAGATCAACGCTGAAGGGCAACCAGTAAACGGCATATTCTTGACTCTCAATAACTAGCTGGCGCTACCAAGGATCGGTCCTATTTGTAGCCTGGGGTTTCACTACTCTTTCGCAAATGGATTTGCTTAATTTCTGGCGTATTTTGGCTTCACGTCGGCGGCAAAAAGGCTAAGCCGACGTCATTCCGCATATGCTGACTCATCAACCCCTGTTCAGCCACACTTACCAATTTGCACTGCCACATATCATCAGCCACAGAAATCACTTCGTCAACACAATCACCAGCAATGAGTCAAGTAACAGGCAAACATTGAGGGATCTTCCATTGGTTCCTGAACCTATCTTACTACGACTTTTCGTTTCTGTATATTCTTACTCGTAGAAAATTGACATCAGTTATATACTGCTCGTCTTCTACGCTGTCGACTTCAGATTGGTGGGAAGGGAAGATCCTGGTTTACGCTGAAATGCCTAGGTGGTGTAGGAACTATGCCAGGACCAAAGATGAAGCTCGAAGACTGTAAGCGATGACAAAGAGAGTCCTCAACTTCCTTATTTACTGACGATGTCCTTGCGATCTAGGGCTGGATGACCTGTGTGTTCGCTTTATTATCAACCTTCCCCACGAAGAATTGGAATCAGTTGAGCGCATATGTTTTCAGGTCGAAGAAGCACAATGGTTCTATGAAGATTTCATTCGCCCCTTAGACCCGAATCTGCCCTCCTTAAACCTGCGAAGTTTTTCTCTCCTTATATTTCAGCATTGTCCATTGATGTCTCAATGGTCCCATTATCATCACTCCACCGCCTTTTCGGAGTTCCTAGCTTACAAGACGCGAGTCCCTGTTCGTGGTGCAATTTTACTAAACGAGGCTATGGATGAAGTAATTCTCGTTAAGGGTTGGAAGAAGACGGCTGGCTGGAGTTTTCCTAGGGGAAAAATCAACAAAGACGAGAAAGATTTCGACTGTGCTGTCAGAGAGGTATATGAGGAAACAGGTTTCGATATTAGGGCAGGAAACCTCGTTAAGAATGAAGAAACCGTCAAACATATTGACATTTCTATGAGGGAGCAAAATATGAGGTTATACGTAATACGAGGAGTACCGAAAAATACTCATTTTGAACCAAGAACAAGAAAAGAAATAAGCAAAATTGAATGGTATAAGCTTTCAGAGCTTCCAACCCAAAAGAAGGTAAGGCAGGAGGACCAGACCAGCCAGGCGATGAGTAAGAACAAGTTTTATATGGTCGCTCCCTTTCTTGGACCGCTTAAAAAATGGATTGCTACTCAGAAGAAGCGAGGCGTTCCAAAGAATACGGCCACTCAGTTAGATATTGAGAGCGCGGCATACACAACCGCAGAAGAAAGTATTGGCGCTGCGAATGGGAACGTTGCCCCAAGTGGCGATGCTATTGAGGCACCGATTCCTATGGGACATCCCACCCTTCCTGCTGGTGAAAACCCCTCCTCCCAACTAAAACGGCTCTTGAATATTGGGTGTCCTGTACCACGCGCTCCCGCCATCGCCGATCCTGTAGTTACTAGGCCTGACTCAAGCAATGGATCTACGCTTCTAGAGCTCCTGAGAAAGGGCTCCGATTCTTATCCGGCCTACCACCCAGAGGGCCATCCACACACACAACTGTCATCAGCTAACTTACCTTCCGTTGGGCCATTACACCCTCCGCCAACTCAACATTCCCAGAGCAATGTCAATATCACACCTAACGCTCTGCCTGTTCCATTACCTGGTGTTGTTCAGCCGCCCCTTCGTTCTCTACATCCCCCCCACATTAACCCTACCGATCAAGTTCATCAATCCCCCGTTCATAACCTCCCTGGAAATGAATTCTCACAGCCTCCTCAACTACCGGCCTTTGGGCCGTTTGTCGCTCCCCACAGTCATCGCCCCTGGTTGACTCAGCCTCCTGGCAGTGATTCAATTCCTCAAAATCTTCAAGGCACGATGCATTTTACTTCCTTGGCTGCGCAGAAGCCAGTGCCACCTCCTTATTATCCAACCTTACCTCAATCAAACCAAACATTACCACCGTCTGATACCAGAACAGCATCTATTCCCCCTGCCAGTAAACTTCCGCCACCGAAGTTAACCAGTCACTCACTTGCACTTTTGAATGTTTTCAAAAGCAATAATTCGCAAATCCCCACTGCACACTCCCAAGAAATGCCATCCGACCCCCAATTCCGCAATGGAACTCAAAAGATGTCTGACCATAGAGAAAATTTGCTGAGCCTTCTAAAGGTACCTGCTCCACCATCAATGCCTTTCCCAGCAGCACATACACAGACAGCGCCACAGCCGACGAATAACATGAAAATGTCGAAGCCACAGGACCAAGTTACCTCTCAGCCACAACCACCACAACTCGGGAAAGATATCAATTCGAGATACGATATTGGGCAATGTGTAAATAATCCTGCAGCTAAGTCGCTTCCAACTCAATCTTTAGCTAAGCAGAGTCCTCGCGGCCGGCAGCATCAGCTTCCGGTTCATCCGCAACACACCGCACGGCCTAATATCACAATTCTTCCTCGCCCAAGTTCGGTAAAAAATGAATCTATCATGGCTACAAAAGTTGCGGCAACCTCGCAGTCACCCCAAAAGAGAAATGTCAAAATTTCAGAAATCACAAAGCCTTTCAAACCTCGTATTTTGCGTCGGCCGGATAAAGATAATTTGGATGCCTGTCTGCCTGCTCGTACAGTAGTTGTAAGCGCTTTTACGAAACCGAAAAAAGAGACCCTGGAAGAAGAACCGGAAACAGCAAAGGAAACACCACAACGCCTTGACTATGATCGTCGACAAAGCCAGCCCAATTCTCAAAAAGAGACCTTACTGTCACTGTTTGGGAAGGCCGACCCACCTGAAACAAAGCCTGCTAGCTACAGAGCAGAACTTATGTCTCATTTCAAGTCACCGGCCCAGGACAATCCTGCAGGAGATGCATTTCACCAGAGCACTGCCGTTCCTCCGCCCTGCACCGGCGAGAGTCAACCACCAACGCATAAAAAGGCCACTTCGCCCGTTGATAAAGAATTTTTGCTTGGCTATCTAAACGGTGTTGCGATGGGAAAGCGCTAGTGAATTGGCATTATCAGTTTAGTTAGAGCCTTGAAGGCTGGATTGATTCATGTTGGCGGACCTGCGGACTCCTGGCTTAGTAAATTATTATACTGGCTGTGGGTTATTTTACCCTTGAAACGAACTCCGTCGGCATATCCGTACCTTGTGCTTCCCTACTGTAACCTCCATTTTGTACAAGGGCTCTCGTAAACTACTCTATAATTTAGTTCTGTACTCCGTATGACATGGTTAATGGGCGCGTGGCGCGGGTCGGACCATACTGCCGCGTCTTGCCGCCCTCGGCCATCAACGAATACACGAACCCAACCCGAGGGAACAAATTTCTGGTTTTATTTAGGATAGCAATTGTTGGTGTGCCATTTTCTGACCCTTCAAGAAATGTTTGCGCGGTTTTTTACTAGCCGAATTTGTACACGATGCTTTCTACGCCGACGTAACCTGTTTACCACCGCCACCCCTCATGAGCAGACTGGCCCACTAGACAGCGGACATGTCCAGCTCACCAATCGCGGACTTATTTCCCTCACTGGTGCAGATAGCACTGCATTTTTACAGGGGTTAATAACCCAGAATGTCATCGCATCGAAAAACCGGGCTAGTCTCACCACACCGTTTTACGCAGGCTTTTTGAATGCTCAGGGACGGGTTCTGCATGATGTTTTTATTTACCCAAACCATGATTCGGAATCGGGATTGGAATATTTGATTGAGGTGGATAGAGAGCAGGTTTCCAATTTGCTAAAACATTTTAAAAAACACAAGCTGAGATCAAAGCTCAAATTTCGATCATTGGAAGAAGAGGAAAAAACAATTTGGGCAGCTTGGGATAACATAGGAAACTTACAGACCCAGCGAAGGCTTGATCCGACAAAGGGTGTTATATCTTGTGTTGATAAGCGTGCTCCAGCTTTTGGATATCGAGTACTTTCTCCAAGTAGCGATTTGCGCAGCGTAAAAGATACACTTCCTGGACAAGAAGCACCACTCTCTTCATACGTGCTCCGCCGAATCCTTCACGGCATCCCGGAAGGGCAGAGTGAAATATTGCGGGAATCTTCCTTGCCAATGGATAGTAACATGGACATAATGGGTGGCATTGATTTCCATAAAGGTTGCTATCTTGGTCAGGAGCTAACAATACGGACACACCATCGCGGCGTGATACGCAAACGAATATTGCCAGTGCAGCTATATAGGATCGACGACACTCGACCACCACCCGTTCATTCTCATTTACCCACACACTTGCCGGATACCAACGTATCTCTTCCGCCTGCAGGAGCAAACATTACAAAATTAAGCGCATCAGGAAGAGGGCGCAGTGCAGGAAAGTTTATATCTGGTATTGGAAATGTTGGACTTTCAATCTGTCGGTTAGAAACGATGACGGACATCTCTTTAACGGGAGAGTCATCTCAATACGATCCGGATGAGGAATATAATATTTCATGGGAGGCTGACCCAAGTGAAGGCATTTTGGAAGCTGGACAAGTGAAAGTAAAGGCATTCGCTCCTTCCTGGGTGAGGGAATATATCTTAAATGGTGGAGTAAGGCAAAGGACGACAAGAGATGATGTGCAAAGAGCCAGAGACATGGTTGAGAAAATGGAAGAATACCAGCAGTAACCTTGTAACAGTGACCTGTTATGAGGATACTACGGAGTACCCAATACTCAATGGTGTATATTATTTGGACTGTACATGTGGTCTACGCATCTAGCATAAATCATATCATGGGTATCATATTGAACAAGAAAGAAGAACGCCAAAAAGGGGACCATGCGTGTTTACGAAGGAAAGAGACCTTATATTGTAGGATTTGTAGGCATCCTTTCCTTACCCTCTTTCACCAGCCCCTCGGTACGTTTCTTCTCTGCATTTTTCAGACGAATTAGGGTGATTTCTTCCAAGCTTGGACTATTCGGGCCTAGATTAGACCCTGCATCTGAAGAGGTGTTAGGTGTAGAGAAAGAAGTAAAGGAAGGGGGTTTTCTGTCACCGCTAGTGGGTTTAGTAGAGGAGTTGAGGCCGGGAAACTTGACGGCACTTGGTCTTATTGTCGTTGAGGAAGCAGTCTCGGGGGGTACGGTCGTTGGCTCCACTTGAACAGGCAGCCTAGTGCGATGCGATTCAAGATCAGGCTCTTTATTTGAAGCCCAGGATACAGAGTCGATAATGTCCCATTCCTCCCCATTTTTTCTATTGCTGTCCTCTACAGCGGCATGCGCACCAGCGATGGATGAAAAGACAACAACACCCGTAGCAATAATTTTCCTTTCTTTTTTCTTTCCAGAGGGCTGTTTCTTGTCTTTTAATGTGAAAACACTCTCAACCTTCCCAAATGCTGAGAATAATGATTCCAGTCGAGCTTTATCGAGGCTCAATCCCGCGCCTTCACGAACCCAACGGACCTTGACCGTTCGGTCAATTTCGGCGACGGAAATGCCACCAGAAGGTTCTCGGCTTGTCTTATCTGCATCATCGGACCGCTTTTTTTCTTCTTTAGCTTGTTCAAGCCTTTCTTCTTCCTCTAGAATCTCTCGTCTCATTAGCTCCTCCTTTTGCTGCCTTCGCCTCCTCCCATCTTCTGCTAGCCGCTTAATTTCCAACTCTAGTATTGCTTCTGCTTTGTCGAGATCAACAGTAGCATCCAGACCCGTGGCACCAAATGGCCTTTTCATTCCGCGCTCCCTGGCTTCCAAGTCTTCCTTCATTTTCCGCCGCACACCCTCAAGCATCTCATTTTCTCTTTTCTTCCGCTCCCTTGCTTCTCGAGCATCATCATAAAGCTGCCGCACAGATGGCTCGGACAAGACATCATAAGCAATCTGGAGCAAATGAAACTTGTCGATATCCGCTGGGGTAGGGTTCTGTAGCTTATCAGGGTGATATTTCAAAGCTGTCTTTCGGTATGCGCGTCGAATTTCAGTATCCGCAGCAGCAGAAGATATGCCAAGAAGGCCATAAAAGTCCTGCGACGAGGCCGCATGGGCCTTTAGGTCATCCATGGGCGCCATCGTAATATGTTAAGGAATGTATCTTGTCAGGCTCTTTTTTGTTCCATTTCGTTGGCCGTTAAGGTTGTTCCGATTTGGCCGGACCGGACCTAATATAGTCCGATTTGGGTCTGGGCAGAAAAATAGGGGCCTTAATAATTTGAGTATGTCCCCAGAGAGATAGGATATTGAAGGCGATAACAGAAAGGATGCGGTCTTGGAGGATATATAGGCACCCTCTGATTACGCTGGGGGTAGTGTTTTCTTCCCCCACTTGAAATGAAACGGCCACGGGTCATTGTCTTCCATTTCTCGCCCCCCCCCCCCCAGAATATAGATGTCGGGATCTTACCCTTTTCGGTATCTCGACATGGCGGGGCATGTGAAGATCATTCCAGCTTTATTTCGACTACCATTCATGAGCATTTTATAACAATTGGCGTTTTATCTTCGTTTTGATTCTTTTAAAAAGTGCTTCCAAACATGTCCTGTCCTCATCCATCTGAACTAGCATTGGCATTATCTATTGTCAAGTCCAAGCCACCTCACACAAGTATTAAAGGTCAGGATCTCTTTAATAGATGTGCAGTGCTTTACTTATTCTACACAGACTATATTCTCGATGTCAGGCGTCACATTCATGTGGGGCAACGGAATATTGTCGATGCTACTGAAGATCGCTATCTGGACAGTGCTGCGTTCTGGCGGGAAGCATATGAAAAGTCTGAAGCCTATCAAAGCCGCCTGCTTGATAAAGTGTATGAACTCGAACAACGAACTGAGGCGGTCGCCTTTAAGGCACGGGCAGATGTAGAACACGGTGCTATGTCATCGAAAAGAAAGGCTATTTGTGGTGTTTTCACAACCGAACCCCTCTCATCAAAACGCTCAAAAACTGCTGGCGCCGCAATATCCAGCAATGATAAGCTTAGTTACTCTGAAGCCTCGAACCCTGTTAAGAGTTGTACGTCTGCAGATTTTGACACCTACCACCTTGCTAACTTTTACGTTTGCAGCTACAACGCCATTCCTGCGGCGTTTACACCGACTACAAAAGCTTTTACAGAAAAAGACCGAGTCTGAGCAGTTAGCAATTGCCTCGGCTGATCTTTGTGTTGCCATGGAGCAGCTTATCGATACCACGATATCCCAAAGACAGGCGAAGTCTAAGAAAGAGAAGGGATGTCCGTTACAGCAAAATCTCACCTTAAGAGACATTTCGATTGTCTTTGAACAGTGCTATCCCATCATTTTTAGAGCGCTGCAAAGGTTAGCTGGAAGGGAAGATGGAGCCTGCGCCTACGGCATCATTGTATATCGCCTGGTTCATCTCTTTCAGTCGATCCTCCTCCACCTCCATCGTCATACCCTGTTAAGGGCAAAGCTGTTAATATCAAGAGCAAAGTCAGTCTCAAAAAAGGCTAGACAGACAGCCAAGGCGAAACGGGAGAATACAATAGAGTCGCTGTCGCCCCAACTATCACGAGAAGACAGCCGGCTACTGGATACTGTCTCTCAGCTACTTGTAAAGATGATACTCCAAATTACCACTGGGAAAAATGACCACAGCGACTTGTTAGAAGGCTTTTTGTTTGTTCTACTTGAGCATGTCGGCAAAGTTCTAGGATCTTTGGTTTTCAAAGGCCTGAAGTCCGATACCAGTCTTGCCGTGTGTCCAACTAGATTGCCCATTCCATGCCCGGGCTTCCAGGACACAGAAAATGGAACTAACGTATCCATCCTTGAGTGTGCTGCTATGCTTCAGAGCAGACACCTTATCTGCATTCTTGAACACGCTCTTTCTATCCAGTGCCAGGGCGATAGCGCGAGTGGTTTTGTGGGGGCACACTCTTCTCTCCTGGTTCGCGGAAGAAAACGGAAGCTACAGAATACGCTTCTTAAAGGTGTTTTCGGACATGACGATCCTACCCTGCAAGAGTCGTTGAAATCAAGCCGTGAGATTAATCCATCTCTTCCCACCGGCTATTCGGACAACGACCTTGATTCCCCTGGCTGTGATAAGGGTGATTGGTTTGTTCAAGAGGTGTGGAGACTTCTCGGCTGGGACTCTTTGGTTCAAAATCAAAGCGACGAGCAACGTTCGAGCCCAGAAGCTTAGACGTATTGAAGCTAATATTTTGGCATTTTTCAAGATATTTTAACTATTGTATCTCATCGCTTTCCAATGCTCCAGTTAAACATTTAACTATATATACAGGGGTATAATATATATGATATACAGAGTAAAAAGACGATAACCAAAAACAAACTGCCTGCCGTCTATAAACTATTTCATCCACCCTAGTTTTCTCGCAGCAAAGCCGATTCCCCCCAGAAGGGCACTGGTTCCGGTAAAAATGATCAGTGGACCGTATTCCGTACCATAACCCAACCCAGCTTTGCCTGCCCAGGGCCGCCCTCTTATTAAAATCTCGCTTAGGGGGCCACAGGCGACACTTCCAATTCCGCGGCCAGCGGAGAGCATACCGATGACCATCCCTGTGCCACCGCCACTTTCAGGCTTATCACTGGATACCTCCTTGAGAATTCCAGCGTAGGTGGCAGCGTTCCCCCCCGCGAAGAAACCGTAGGCGATAGAAAAGACGAATAGCAGGCCGGCAGATGACGAGAGGCCCCAAAGGAGGAAAATTGAAAGGGTTGCTCCGATGGTGCTTATTAGAATGACGGTGGTAACATGAAATCTGTCGATCAGAAACCCAAGAAAAGTGGATCCAAAAATAGAGGCTGCGTTAACGAGAGATATTGAAGTGGTGATGGCTTCGTTACGGACTCCGAGGTTGCGAGCATATGCGGGTAGGTAAATAGTAGGCATGAAATGCCCCAGTCCCTCCAGGATATTTCCAAGTTGGAGAAAAATAAAAGTCCTGTTATAACAGAAGCGAAGCGACAAGCGGCATGGCCGATAATTATGGTTCCTTGGAATACGCGGCCGAACAAAGAAGATCAAGGGGGTCAAAAGAAGCGCAACAATGGCCGCCCATGACAGAAGGGCCACCTTGAGGCCGAAGCGCTTGAGCATCCATGACATTAGGAAAGGTATCGTGACGCCGGCAAACCCAGTTCCTGCCTATAAATCATTTAGAACAGTGCAAAGAAAAAGCGTTGGATTTGCCTGAAAAAATGACTTACCCACATCACACCAAATGCAAATCCTTTTTTACAAACAAACCATTCGTCACAAAATATGACTGCAGGGTTGTAGGAGAGGGCACCTCCAATTCCATACAATGCTCCTTGTGTGAAAATCAGATGCCATACTTTTGTGGCGAAGGCTGACGCAACAAGCGCGGTAAGAAGTAAACTAAGGCCAACATGAAGACTCCACTTCCGCCAAAATAGCCACTTTTCCATCAAGGCGAAGCACACAGGGCTCCCAAGATACATTACGCCCTGAATAATACAGTGTTAAGTATCATTCATAGGATGATGGAGTCTTTAGTGCACTTACCAGTGCGGTCGTACCGATGGCTGCGATACCTGATGGGTTCGACTCAAAGGGCTCATGTGTTTCATAAAAGTCCTGAAAAACACCGTACGAAAAGGGCAAACCTATGCCATGTTTTAATTAATACCCCGGTAAAGGTCATAAACAAATACTAACCCCAGATCAGTGATTCGATCAGGAAAGCTCCAACCAAGAATAACCACGCACGGATTCCCCGATCGACCGGTGGTAGTGGCAGCGCTGAGCTGGGGAGCTGTTCATCTTGAAATTCGTTGGATCTATTGCTCTTCGAAGTCCATTTTTTTTCGAGCTCGAGTCCAGAGCGGGCTTGAAGTTCAATGTCGCTAAAATTTTCCATAGTTTTGTAGGACAAGTGTACTCTGTAGATGCGATTTTTAGGATGAATGGTTTGAAAAGAAACAAAAAGCTGGGGCTATGAGCAATATATATGCTAGTCATAACCTTGGTTTGGGTTGTCATCCGGCAAATCTGGTTTGGAAATAGAGTTGCGATCTCGCCCTACGGTCCTCAAACTGGCAGACACACGCTCATCGACCGTGAGAACCAGTTTAGCCTATCCCTTCAAAAGAGAATTTTTCTCAAAACCGGGAGAAATATGAGGAGGGGTCTGTCTCTTTCGGCTTAGCAAGTGGTAGGTTAGCACCATCAAATGCATGGCTCTTTCACTAAACTCCTGGATAGGCAGAGTCATGTATGGAGTACGCGTAGCGGCATGGTGCCAGTATATCATAAAACTTATTTCTTTAAACCATCCAGAAACCTCATATTGGCGTGAGGATGATTCTTTCTCTGTTCTGATACGGGAAGGTGGCCCTCTGTCACTGGGCGTAGGATAATGCTCTCTCATTATATGGGGTTATGTCAAGAGGATAACATCAAGGCCATTATGAGGGCCAAATATCCGGAAAGCACGCCGAAAGGCGGTGTCGGTGCTCTTATTGTTGCTCAGGGTTAAGCAACCGATATTCCAAGTCCGCATAATCAATCTACCTGAGCTGACCCTGCCGTGCAAGTCAATCCTAGTAAATGGTCTCGCTCAACTATATCAACCGATAGTCTTTCCAGCCAACTGCCCAAACGACAGGAATGAGAAGTCCTAGGACAGCTGGACCAGGGGAGAGTTCAAAAACAGACCAAACCCACAAGGTCCCAATGGATGGAGCCCTTTTCATTACAGCATAATATGAGCCCTCATTTGTCATAGCAATGAGACGCATACCCAGCAAGATAGAAATTACGCAGAAGATGATATTGTGGGCATTGAGTGGAAACAGAGACTGCATGGACAAGGGCGTAGCGGACGTGGCAACACCAGGGAAAGCATTTTTTTTCGCCGCTGCTCTCCTGCCAAGTACATTGAGCGAACGAAATGATATTATATGGCCGTGGGCCAAGTGTATGATGAAGGTCAGGGTGGGGAAGGCGATGAATATGGTATCTCGCGACAGCTTTCCGAGGGGGGTTTCTTGGGCATACTGGTGGGCGGCCAGGAACGAGAGCGTAAAGTAGAGGACAGAGAGTGGGAACGACAGGAATATGGTATCTGGAAGAGGAGGGATTTCCGCGTCATCGCCGTTGCCGATATCGTCATGGGCGTCCACGCTGCGATCTGCCGGGCGGGAAGAGCTTGAGTCAGCGTGGGGAAGCTTCTCTGTCCCCAGGATGTCGCCCGACGACGATACGTGGATAAGCTCCGGTTGAGAGCTGCCGGTAGCTGCATTCCGCTCAGCAGCAATCTCGAGAAGCGTTTTTGCGTTCTTCTGCGACGCAAACGTATGTGAAGACGGGCGGCTTAAAGGAATGGACGCGGAGTCGAAGCCATCGAGAGGTGCAGCGGCCGATGCAGCGGCTGCGCGGCGCTCTTTGCGATTGTGGGCTGGCATTGGCGGGAGGGAGCTCAGGGTTGAGGAGGAGGAGGAGGAGGAGGAGGAGGATGGACGTTGAGGTTCGACAAGCCCGCTAAACTAACTAGGAAGGCAGCGGCAGGCTGGGCGGGTATTAGTTAACTAGTTAGCCCAGCATCAACCAACGTCTGGCTCCCACGGCGCCTGCTAGCGAGTAAGTACTGTATGTACATATGTATGTAACTGAGCAGCGGCCACCGCGTCCGCACGGGAGCAGCAGGCACCGGTATAGTTACCTAGTTAACCGACTCGCTCCAGCTGGCTGGGCTCCCTTTCTGTCGTAACTCGTAGACGGTCGGCGGTCGCAGTGAACCAGCCGCCCATCCCTGAGAGCAAACACAGCAGGCCAAGAGCAACTACATACTACTTGCATTGCCTGGCTGTGTTTCTTCACACCTCGGTCACTCATTCACCCCAATCGGTCATTCATGCGTGGAGTTTGGCTTCAATTGGGCGCAAGCATGTCGTCTGAAGCATTCGTGGTGCAACAGCGGCGAACAGCCACTCAAGAAACACCTTCATTCTGCAGACAAGGCCAGCTCGTCATCACCCGTACATAACACTCGCCGTGGAGAGCGCATCGCCGGCGAGGAGGGATGGCCCGCCCGTCTGTTGGCTCACCAGTGTAGAGGGGTGGCATCAAACCACACGGAGCTAACGCGCTTGAAGGCTTAACGTCGCGCTGGCACTTTCGCTACTCTTCGCTGTCGCTTTTCTACCTCTGCCACGTTTCCACCACTGCTCGCCATACTGAATCCTCGCAGCCGTCGTTCCGGCCGAATGATCGCCTGAGCGTCTCGGACTCGTGTTTGCATCAAATTCGCCATACGAGCAAGCTCCCCCCCAATGCCGATCGCCCTCGTCACCAAGGCCCTCAGTATATATTCACCTCCAAAGCTGCCGTTTTGAGGCCGTCTCTTAGTCCACCACAGAGTTACCTGTTCATGAAGCTCGTGCCCTCTATAGGCCGTTATCTCCACTAGCTAATCCTCCGACGTTGGCGCAACGGGGTGGTGGCTCGATCCCCTCGAAGGACTTTGCTCTAGGGAGCACTGGCGACAATGGTTTCAATAGCTACCTTTATCTCCGTTGCGCTGCTCCCGGTGCTTTTCTTTGCTTTTTGGATGATATTGAGCACTGGTCCTTCGTCGCCCTTTGCTAATAAATTTCCCGTACTCGAGGACAAGCGCATATGCCTCTTGATTGCCCACCCGGACGATGAGGCAATGTTTTTTGCGCCTACACTCTTGGCCTTGACGAAACCAGAGCTTGGTAATCATGTCAAGATCCTCTGCTTGAGCTCCGGTATGTGTCAAATGGCGGTGATCTTGTCTCTGCGCACCTCACCGCTTCCTCCCCAGGCTCGCGATACCCCAGCTCGCGTGCCTGTCTACATCCGCGCAAAACAGCACTGACAGCCCATCGCAATAGGTGATGCCGACGGTCTCGGCCATATTCGAAAGAAGGAACTCCAGAAAAGTGCAATCCACCTTGGACTACGCAACGCATCCGACGTATTCGTGTTAGATGACCCATCCCGATTTCCTGACAGCATGACCGCCGACTGGTCGGCCACAGCCATTGGATCCCTCCTAGCCTCCGCATTCGCCCCCGAGGTTTCTACAGATGACGATTCAAACCCTCCTACCAAGCGCCGTAACGGTTCGACCCACAGCAACGGCCGCGCATCTTCTCCCCCAGCCGCTAGCATCGACATACTTCTTACCTTTGATAACACCGGTGTGAGTAATCACCCGAATCATCGATCTCTGTATCACGGTGCCAGATCATTCCTCGAAATCCTCATGAAAGGAAAGAAAGACTACGCCTGCCCCGTCAGCCTATATACCCTGACCTCCACAAGCTTTGTTCGAAAGTATATCGGTGTTTTTGACGCGCCCATCAGCATGATGCTGAATGCCATTGGAAGCCTACTAATCGGAGAAGATGATAAGGGGGCGGATGGGGATAATATGCCGCCCAATCGCCTGCTTTTCGTCAGTAACATCAACCAGTGGCTTTCAGGTTGGAAGGCAATGGTACAGGCCCACAAAAGTCAGATGGTGTGGTTTCGTTGGGGCTGGATCACCATTGGGCGGTATATGATTGTTAATGATCTAAAAAGAGAGACCATGTAAGTCATAGGATTTTACATGTCCTGCAACCTCGCCGAACTCTTAAGCATTATCCCAGCTTTAAAAGAAGCAAGTATTTTCGACTAAGAGCTCAAAGGCAATAACCCATTCTTTCCCATCACATAATAGTCTTTTCTGTGAGCATTTTTGTGGCCAATACCTTCTCATGATATTTTTGCATACTCTCAGCAGGCGAGCCCTTGCATCTCTTTTTACTTTGCATTGGGTTGTACGGGTTTTGTATATATACAGGAGTAGACCCTTCAACATTCTTTTAGGCATGAAGGTGAGAATGAGGGGATTTATGCCTCATCAGTGAACGTTCTTACTCATGATCAACATGGCTTTCCGGGATTAGTAGATGGGTTTCTAAATGAATAGTGTGCCTGCTTTTTTCAAGTATTACATATTGCAGTACTCCGTAGAGAAACCATAGTTGGTTTCATTCTAAATAGTATATACAGCACAAAAAACTAGAAAATGACACCATTAGGGGGGTTTGTACGCCAGGCCGTATCGGCAAGGGAGCCCATCAGTTCGAGCAATTCGAGGGAGTAGTGGTACATATGTGGGGATAGAATAGGAGCTAACCCTCTTCTAACTGGTAATCGCCCGTAGCTGGGCTATTATCAAACAGCTCTTTAAATTCGCTCTCAGTCATGAGAGCTCGAAGCACCCTTTCCTCTGAATCCCAGAGAGGTAGCACAAAGCTTGCAAGATCCCACCGATGGCCCTCCGGCCAGAAACTACCGGGTTCAAATTCAATAGCACCGGACTTGATGTGATAAAAAACCCGGTACGGAAGAAATTCACGCCACTCCGCGATGAAGTCTGGAAGTTCCTGTCTTTCCCAACGTTCTTTTGTACCTGTCCATTTTCGTCGCGAGAATACTAATCGTATCCATCGCTGAATATACAAAGCTTCGCGCGCAACTCTGATATTGAGTAGTTTGAGAGAGTCGTAAAGTTCCCAGTAAGCGCCTGGATATGTAATAGAAGGGTAAAGGTGAGTTAGGTGATATTCGAAAGCGGGTTTCGGTAATTTGTAGTCTTCATCATGGGGTGAAAAGCTCTTGAATATGTCATCGTCAGCACTTGAGTGCTGCAAAGAGTCGCTTCTCTCTTTCGAAAAAGCTAGTTTTTTGTGCATTATTATTAACTCTTGAAATAATTGGTTTCGTTTCCTTAATGTCGTCAGGAATAATTGGCGACCAGCATGCATGTTTTGAAAGGTGCGATTTTTTGACTGTCTTATCCAGCCAACTTTCGTAATCATATCATGCATTTTAAAAGTAGGGGGTGTGTTATAGGGCGTCGACGTGCATACTTCGAATAGCTTGAGAGGTGAATCGCGTGGAATCTTGCCGATCATATTTTCCTCGGCCTTTGGCCCGAATCTCTCAAGCGAAAGGATAAAAGACCATTGAAGTAATTCCTGCCAAACGTATTGAGGAACCGGTATGCTATAACTCTGGGAAATAAAATCTACCAACTTCAAAGCCGTGGCAAAATCGTTGTTAGACCCAAAAATGTGTGCAACGGTGTATAGGAGGCGGGGAGAAGGATGAAGAGGTGACGAGGTAGCATAAACTACAACTTGAGGATGATCGTTCTGGTCGTTGTCAAGTAGATCAACATCAACTCCCCATACCGTTCGTAGGGTGTTTTTGACCGCCCCGATGTCCCACTCTCGGCTAGCTGCCGTCATGATGTGAAGGAAAGTTGCTTCGTTGGGATTTAGCCCATTCTCGATCATCGAGTTAAATAGTTGATGGACCTCATCCCTGACCCCATCTTCGCCTGTTTTATAACCTTGATAGCCGGGGTTGCTGGGCCACCAGCGACGTTTCTCGTATATCCAGCGGGTAGACCGAAGCCTGTGGTTTTCCTTTGCTGTGTAGCAACGATTCCAGGCCTTTGCCTCCATGAGATAATTATAACATTGGACATTAGGTTCAATCCGATGTGCGACCATTTCTTCCCATATTTTATCCGCCATCTCACCATGCCCCATAGAAGCATAGCAGGACAGCAGGTGGGTATACTCGGCTAGCCCTATAGTAAAACCGGCACTACGTCTTCGTTCGACGATCATGCGAAGAGTTTCTGCAAAACGAGCCATCAGAATAGTGAGTGGTAGAACACGGTTTTTAAAGGCAATAGTTGGGTGTAGATGGGACTGTATCTCCTTGTTGGGCTCGATAAAGTATTCAGGCGAAAAGAGTTGCAGGACTTCGGCAAATGTGGTTGCAGGTAGTTCAGATATGATTTGCTGTAATTCGGGAGAGCGTAGGAGACTGGTGAATATTCTCCTAGGTTGAGCTTCGGCAAGCATTTCGTCAATATCGACCTGCTGCGGATCATTACCTTGGGATTGACTGTCATCCACGGACTGATATCCATCACTGCTTCCCATCGTGGGATCTAGCGGAAAGTGCACCGAATTCAACGTCTCGTTCACAGGCAGTCTCGCGACCATGGTTGCGTGGATTAATCTCCGAACCCCAACGCTCCATCTTAGATGCTGTGGGCGTTTGCGCCGAGTTGATGACCGCCGAGTAAAAGTAGCAACCGATCGCACTGCCTCCGGTGGCTGTCTTGGGGAGCGACTGTGAGCATTCCGACGAGCAATTCCCCACAGGCAGGACGGGCAAATTTGAGACCCGGCTGTCTCGCCGAAAAGCCCAATCCCCCACATTCACGATTGCTCGGAGGCACGACACAGTAAAGTAAACTGCAAATGAACCCCCGAGCGAACCGAAGGCCAGCCTCTGATCACCAAAACAACATCGGCAAACCTTCTCTGGCTGCGGGCGAGCCCTGTGTTTTGCGGTCGTGAAGATGCGTTGCAATTCATCTTGAAGTCAAATTAGTTGCAGATTGCCCGTTCTCGAGCTAAACCGCTTTCGGAGCACCTCTTGTTTAAGGTTGCCCGCGCGTTCGCGATCGATCATGATAGCCTGCGCCGGTTCTATCGTCTGGCTTTGCTTTCGCTATTCTACAATACAGGAGGCGATGCTCTAGCTACAGCCGTCCACAAGTCTTGTTTCTTTTTGACCTAGCACCGCCATCATGGCAGATGGCGATGATGGACCTGCGACATCCGTCTCCGAACCTCTCGACTTGGTCCGGTTATCGCTCGATGAAATAGTTTTTGTGAAGCTACGAGGAGACAGAGAGCTTAGAGGTCGCTTACATGTCTGTTTTCACTTTTAGCAACCCAGAGTGCCCTGCCCTGACTCTTTTTTTAGGCATATGACAGTCATTGCAACCTTGTTCTTGGTGAAGTCGAGGAGACAATCTACATCGTGGATGAAGATGAAAATGAACAAGAAATTATCAAGGTAGAAAAATATTCCCTTGATTTTGGGTGATCGCGAACTAATGCTGCAGCAGACAATCAAGCGTCAAGAGGAAATGTTATTTGTCCGAGGTATAAGCCGTTTAACCCTTACAATACCCTGTTACTAAATGAATCTAGGAGATTCTGTTGTCCTCATTTCGCCGCAATCTTCTCTGTGAACATGGGTTGTGAAATTTACCTGTGGAATACCTGGGTGCACATGTGGATTATTTGTCAAGGCAACGAAAGCTCTACCACGGGGTCCGTGGATGGAAATGTTACTTTAAGAGACGGAGTTTGGACTTATACCCATGTAGCCACCGGAACCCCCTCTCCAGTAGAGAGTAGAATAGCTATCATAGTCAATGCATTGCTCGGCTAACTAGCCCCGTATCAAAATAATTCCGGGCCTCTATGACTCAATATTGTGCGGCGTGAATTCGCCTCTCTCCGCATTTGGTCTCCGATGGGAAAGAGTAGAGTCATAGTTGCCCGCCGAGCCGCATCAAACAAACTAGCTACCTAGTGACTAGTTATTTAACTAAGCTCCCGCGCCCCTATAGGGCCGTCCACCCCAACGCCTGTCTGACTCCTACCTCCATATCTTAGCATCGTGTATCAATTAACCCCATCCATATTTATAACGTATTGTTATTATTATCATAAGCCAAAGGAAATGATAACTCGATTACGAAATTAAAACCTGTGGGTATCTTGCGCAACACCAACCCATGTTCACAGGATGAGCAACAGAGTACTAAAGCAGACCCCGGAAGAGAGGCGGAGGGGCGAACTAGTATGTCATACCTAGTGCTGCCACTGCACTGTGCAGCTTTTCTCTAACTATAGGAAGTCATTGAGCGAGTTCGCGGAGTACGTCGAGAAAGAGCAGGCGAACCGGTACGGTCGAAATCCAGTTCGCGATACCTCCGTTGCGCCTAGTGACAGTGGCTATTCTACCGCTACCCGTTCTACAGCTGTAGCTGAGGAACATCCGGAGCTTGATATTCTCGACCAGCTAGGCTTATCGCAAGCTGATCCTCCGGTCAGGTTAAAAGACCTGCTCGTCGATGACAGCAATACCTCGAAGGCGGAAGATAAGGTACCTCGGCTGGCCGCGGTAGTCAAAGCCCGCCTCGAGGAAGGACAGGGAGAAACTATTTTTGACCTCGGGCAGGAAGATAATGGAGAGTGGATGGAATTTAACAAGGAACAATGGGACTTCGCCCTAGATCGCCTACGCCATGCCGCGCAGCTAAACCAGGCTGATTGTTCTGTACTACTCACTTACAATGTTGGCGATGTGGCTGAAGCGGAAACAAAAAACGAGCGCATCAAATGTGCTTATGGTAAAATTCTCATTCGACAAAATGCTGCGACCATAGAGGATGTGATCGAGACAAGAATAGCCGTTGTTGGGAACGTCGACGCCGGAAAAAGTACGCTTTTAGGTGTTCTTGTCAAAGGAAAGCTAGATGACGGTCGTGGGAGGGCAAGAGTAAACCTTTTTCGCCACAAACATGAGATTGAAAGTGGTCGAACCAGCTCCGTGGGCATGGAAATAATGGGATTTGATACTCTTGGTCGGATTGTGGGACGTGGGCAGCAACGCAAGCAATCTTGGGAGGAGATTGGCAAACAATCAGCTAAGGTGATCTCGTTCACTGATTTAGCTGGGCATGAGCGGTACCTACGGACCACTGTTTTTGGAATGCTGAGCAGCAGCCCCAATTATTGCCTACTCATGGTAGCAGCAAATAATGGGTTAATAGGTATGAGTAAAGAGCATTTGGGAATCGCTCTATCTCTGAATGTCCCTGTTATGGTTGTCATCACGAAAATCGACATTTGCCCTCCTCAGATTCTCCAGCAAACCATAAACCAGCTTACCAGGATTTTGAAGTCTCCTGGAGCCCGAAAGATACCCGTCTTTATAAAATCCATAGAGGAGACGGTCAACACCGCAACCCAATTTGCTAATCAACGCATTTGCCCTATATTCCAAGTATCTAATGTCACTGGAGAATCCCTCGATCTAGTTCGGACTTTCTTGAATATCCTTCCGCACCATGGCCACTATAACCCTGACGCCCCTTTTGAGTTTCTTGTGAATGATACATTTTCGGTCCCGTTTGTGGGTACTGTGGTCTCTGGCGTTGTTAAATCCGGAGTGGTACACACAGGCGATGCCGTACTTGTTGGCCCTGATTCCCTTGGCCAGTTTCGTCAAACAACAATCAAATCGATTGAACGCAAGCGTCTGCCAGTTCATGCGTGTGCCGCTGGTCAGAGTGGCTCATTTGCACTCAAAGGTGTGAGAAGAAAAGAGGTGCGCAAGGGCATGGTGGTTTTACCCAAATTGGAAAAACCGCCAAAGGTATATCGTGAGTTCGTTGCGGAAGGTAGGGCTACCCTGTCTCGTTTGCTTCATTCGTAATAGCCATCCCTGCTGATCGTTTGAAGTCCTCATCCTTTCACATGCGACAACCATCAAACCGAAGTATCAAGCAATGCTTCATGTGGGAGCGGTAAGCCAAACGTGCGCAATCATTGATCTAGATCGTGACTTCATTCGTACTGGCGACCGAGCGTTAGTTGCTTTCAGGTTCATTCAGCGACCGGAGTTCTTATCTATTGGTGATCGGATCCTTTTCCGTGAGGGTCGAACTAAAGGCTTGGGAATAGTCAAAGCTTTGAGCTACGACCCCAACAATCCTTTGAACAAAAATGCAGATACAGTGTCGTGAGAAAATATGGAACCTATAAATTGTCCATAAAACGCCACCTCGCTTCCACTCCCAAATTCCTTACCTTGGCTTATAAAAGGTTTCTGGCCTTTTTATACATAAAACATGCATTGCTTGACATGCCTTGGGGTTTATTTTGGTTGTTTCTCTGTTATTATTCATTTTCGCGGCATGGCAATGAGTGATGATTGATTTACTTTTTTGACCGTTTATTTCTTGAGTACTGTAGGCGGGCTTGAAGATCAAGTTTGAATGGGATGGAAAACTTGAAATGATAGGAAGGCCCTTCTACTTTTTGTATTTCCTTTCACTTGGTACATACATAATAATATTGCCTGCTTGCTGGCATTTTGAGCTATCCAATGCTCATGTCGCCAAGTTCGATAGCTATCGCAGAAAATTCAACCGCCTGGCTAAAGGTACCGCCCTAGACAGAACAAAGACCATGGGAGGTGTTAGGTTTTTTCATGTGTAGTTATACGCTGTCTTGTTCTCAAGGTATAAGCTGTAACATTGGTCTCAACACAGAAAAGAAATCAGCTCTTTCATCTTCCCTACACCTTTGATATTTTCCTGATTCCTCGAGTTGGTCATTCCAAGATCGAATTGGGTTTCTGGAGGCATTCAAGATGGGAGGTCGTTTTGTAAATTTAATACTCTTAGATTTATCAAACCGCTCCCCACCTCACGACCTTCCCAACGCTCCCTCAGTTCAGATCCTAGAAGGCTAAGGCAGTCGAGATGCTCAGCCACCATTCAATCATCAGTGAGGATCCGGGTATCAAAGAGTAGCCGTAGCCCAAAGATTCCCCATATAACACAGTCCAGGGACCAAATATCAACCACGAATGAGAGGGATTCTTGGGATAAAGAGCGATCTTTGGGGGAAATTAGCAGTGGCAAAGTTCTCAGGTAATCTTGATCGGCTAGAGGTGGTATAAAAGATTCGCTAAATCAGAGAAGAAAATCTCCACTCCTGGTAGAGGAGGCCTGTCACATTATGTGTCCAACGAAAGAGGCGCACGCTATGAGCAACGTCACGAGCACGAGCCCCTAGTTGATTGTCAAGTGGAGTGACGGATTCAAGCCGTGGCTATCCGTGTTATTCGTACTCCGTAGAGCTGTTCTAGAAGAAGCTTATTCAAAGATGTGGTGAGCCGGACGGGGATGTTTCCAAGGTGGAGGTCTTAAGACCTGGGTTGTTTGTATATGACGTAGACACACATACATTCGGTCACCAGACACACAGGTGTTTGCCGTCTGGTCGAGTGAGAATAAACCTGTCAGTAATGATTCTCTAGGGTGCCCAAGTTTCCGATGGAGTTGAGTAGTAGTCAATTGTGATAACATCTCGAGCTTCATTTACGACATAGACAGCGATATGTTGGACTGCGACATAGAGGTGTTATTTTCGAAATATTTGACTAGATAGCTACTATATTGATAAGGAATTACCAAAGCTTGACAATGACAGTTGGCCGTCACGAAACAGGTACTCCGTACAGGGCATGATATGTTGCAAAAACGGGGTCCAAACCAAGTTCAATAGCCATTATTATGTAAAGATGCATCATGTATGTACTCCGTAGATACATGCTGAACGCCTTATAATATAACTAATATTATATCAAGGTCCTTGTTATAAACACATGTTGACGTCCGAACTAGCAGTAGATGGGTGCCAGTAGTTACATAGTTATGGAGAAATGACGTCACCCTTGGGAAAGGCCTCTAGCGTCATTCAGCGAAATACGGAATAGCAAACTTGGAATCTAGCAGGTTTTCGCAGAGACAGAGGGGGTGACGCTATATAATGTAGCTCATAGCCCTTTACATTATCTATTTATTATTCTTTTTGAACATCTCTGGCTCCAGAACATAACTACTCAACTATCCAATTGAACTGTAACCATGGACGCCGTGAAGACAGCATATCAAACAGCGGAAAAGGTGATTTTTGGGGAAACACAGGCTCGCAGCTCCGATGAAGAGCCTGTTTCAGGCGTCCAAGGCGAAGGCACAGCTTCGGACCCATATGATACCGGCAACCTCCATGGACAAGAGTCGATTTCTGGAAAACAAAGTCGCGGGACAGCTTCAGGCGTGTATGATGAGGGAAACGTACCACGTATGAATAATTGAACTTACAATCTCGGGTATCTATGGTCATTAATACTGATTTTCTGGATTTGATAGAAATGAATACGGAGGGCATGCCCCAAAGCCAGGGCGTTTCAAGCCTAGGCAACGCAGCGCCTGGTGTCGACCAGGGATCATTAGGCCAACCTGTAATGACTGCACCCCAGCTTGAAGAAACGCACCACAACCAATCCCGCACTCAAAACATCCTGGAGAATGAATCAAATCGCCCACATGCGGGTGGCCAGTCAAGCAGCAAAGAATCGAGCAAGTCTGCCTCGGGTTTAGAGCCGGAATCACTTTCCAAGGACAAACCCAATATGCACTCAAAGACAGGTCTACCCGCCAATGCACCACAAGAACAGACGAGACCGAAGGCCGTAGATGAGCCTGAAAATACTCAACGCGTAGGAGAAGAAAAAATAATCCGCACCACTGGCTTCGCCGCGGAAGGAGGGAATTTTGATGCTTCAGAGCCTGGAGCTGGAAAGGAAGCAGAGCGTATGCCAGCATCCCTTGTTTCAAAAAGTATAGATCAATGCTAATTCAGATCAAGGCCTTCTCGAAGAGCAGCAGAAAAGAGATCCAAACTGGAATGCCATGAAATCTGAGCAGCAAAAAGAGCGAGTCGAGGACCACCACGGTGGACTCTGGACGGGGAGCCATAAGTCTGGGATATCTTTGACTAAAGCAAAGGAAAAGTTGCATCTTGCTAAGCACAAGTAGCCGAGGCCTTGTGCTCTTTGGCTTGTGGAGGTTAGAATGGGTTTCCAAGGTTCCAAATGCATGTCTCATACCTCAGGGCCGTACAGAGAAATGGGTTCATGTCTTCCAAGAAATTGCTTATGTGTCGATGGATGTATGTATATATGTAAATACCAATAACGTCAAGAAGAAGAGCTCTGTAGTCTATTCCCAACGCCCAGCGGCGACTCTATTATGAGGCTTGGGCACAATATAAGTATCGAAATAACAAGGACACTTCGCATGGGAGTATCCGGGTATCATTCAAACAGCAGCTTCAATTCATCGATCCTCTCTTTTCTTCTTGCGTCATCTCCGGTGTCACCTACTCTTAGGCCCAATGATCCCGCAATCATCATTTTTCTCTCTTGAACTCTCAACATTCTCTCTTCAATACTATTCTTAACGACAAATCTGATTACTTTCACGTCTTTCAATTGACCCATCCTATGCACCCGATCGATAGCCTGTGCTTCAACAGCAAAACTCCACCAGGGGTCCATCATGTAAACGTAATTTGCGGTAGTTAAATTAAGACCAACCCCACCGGCTCGGAGACTGATTAAGAGAACGTTGGGGTTTGATACCATGGAGTCAGATCCCGAGCATAATTTGCGGGTAGGGCTAAGATCAAGGCCGTTCTTGTCCTCTTCTTCCTCGTCATCGTCAGCAAAAATATCGGGTGCACGGTTAAATTGACTTAGCACGGTCTTTCGGGCCTTTTGCGCCATAGTTCCATCAAAACGGAGATGTTCAACCCCGTCGCGCGATAGTTGGGCGCCAATTAAGTCCAGGAACGAGGTAAACTGAGAGAAAACCACTGCTTTACAGTTCTTAGGTAGGCTAGATAGGTGGGTGACAAGTGCGTGAATCTTGGCAGAGGTACGAGCAGAGGGCGAAAGTGGATGTACCCGTCGCAAAGAGATGCGAGGTGTTGGAGAGCTATCGTTTAAACTACCCATCACGGGTGATTGTCTGGGAGATTTATGTCTGACAATTTCAAACACATCTCTAATACTTAAGGTTTCCCGGCAAGAGAAGCATCGAGGCTTTTCTCCTTTGTCACTCTGATGCTGGATATACGCCTCCAAACATTTTTTGCACGCGCTGTGCCAGCACTTAGTAACCGCAGGGTCAATCATTGGCTCTTCTGAACAGATAGGGCATTCGCCAGATGACTCGGTCTGAATTTGTCTTAATGCGTGTGTTGTAAATTTCGCTGTTGGGTCTTGTTGTTCCTCATTACTTGTAGATCTAGTTGAAGCGGTAAACCGGTCAATCAGCTCTTGAAGATCCATATCATCCCGCAAAATATTCGCATCTTCGGCAGCGACAGCGGCATCCTCTTCTTCGTCAACAATGTTCTGATTTCTAGTTAAGATAGGATGGCAGCAAGTTTGGCGTAGGCGGAGGAGTTGGGCAAAAATTGTAGTATAAGATTTCAAAAGTGTACCAGCAGCAACGTTATCATTGAATGTACGTTTTGCACGAGTGAAAATTATGTCGTAAATATCTCGTTCCTGATCAGAAAGTTCTACCTGCTCAACGGTGATTGTTTTTGAGGGTAATGGTACTAGCGGTTCGCCATCAGGAGTTTTCATTGATTTCGTCCGTCGAAGCACAAGCGGCTCTAGCACAGTCTGTACAACATTGAGAGCTCGAACATAGTCTTTTGATTCAAAGGGAATCGTAATGAAAGTTCTCCAGAAAGAAAAATTGCACCAAGGTTCAACATTCAGAAACCTCACTAGACTGAAAAGATCCTCGAGTCGATTAACAATGGGCGTTCCGGTCAGCACCCACCTGTGGACTGACTTGAGCTCACAACATGCTCGAGAAGTTTTCGATGCGCGATTTTTAATGTAATGTGCTTCATCAAGAACAACACGGAAGAATTCGATTGAGAATAGACCTATACGACTGAGGATGTCACGATTGCGCGCGGAAACCATTTGAAAATATTCAGAGCGAACAACACCATAACTGGTAATGACGATATTGATGGATCCTGCCGAGATATGATTGGAGCCAAGGGTTCTCAGATCGGCTAACTTCTCTGTTCCATGATAAACAAATACCCTTACTGACCCATGCTTCGACGCCTTGATAGCTTCACTCTCCCACTGAGAGAGTAACGAGGTTGGAGCAACAACGAGTGTTGTATAAGGCGCTGCCCAAACATGCGAAGAAGCTTTAGTAGGGGGGGGAAGAGCATCCGGAGTTGATGAATTGGATCCGCGTTGCAACATGGCTGGGTTAGGCGAGTTGGAATGGATCAAGCTCATCACCTCAATTGTCTTACCTAATCCCATCTCGTCTGCAAGAATCCCCCCGAGGCAGTGCTGTTCCTGAACAGGGAAATCCAAACTTAATTCTCCTGAATAAGGGTTGACATAAAACTTTTCACGATTGCGAACTTGAGGTACTGGTTGGTCATTCACATCTTTTATAGGCCATGTATACTCTTCCCAAAGTGGATGCATCGATCTCTCTCTGGTAGACTTGGCCTCCTTCTCTTTGCTCAACATCCAATGTAACGCTTGCTTTTGGTATTTTCGAAGCTCCAGGGCAAACTTCTCTCCGGGCGTGGCCTCGGGCATATTGAAGTCAAACTGTTGAGCCTTGCGATATAGAGTATCGAGTTGATTTTCGTTTAATTGTTCTCCTTCCTCTCCGTCCGAAGAGTCCCCTTTCCCATTTGTAGACGAATTGTTTTTAGAACCTCGTTGCTCTGCTATTTCAGCAGCCCTGAGCAGCCCTTCTTTTTTCTGACGGGAGGTTGTCTCGCTGATCGAGGTGGGCTGCAGATTTATTTCGTTGAAAAGGGTTACAAGAGCCACCTGTCGTAAACGCAGCGCCTTTTCGTCTGTCGTCTCTTGTTGTTCGAACAAACGTGGAGTCTGGTCTTCTGGCGTAGATAGAACCATTTTTCCAAAAGCTTTCCTTAGTATGAAACATTTTATTTGAAGGTATATGGTGTCGTTGACTCGAACCTGGTCTGGAGCATACACACAAACGCCAACAAATATGCAAACTTTCTGGTCAATTAAAGTCGAGACCCATTCTGCAGTCTCTCGTGGCAATCGTCCAATCTCATCGCCCCGCTGGTTCGTAAATCTTGTGATTATATCTCCTCTCCCATTAGCCGAACGATAAGTGTTGCGGCCGCCTCTCCCAGGCTTAAGTAAAGCCCGTACTTTACTTCGTTCAATAGAAACTTCCTCCCCGTGTCTTATTAGGTTTGAGCCAGAACGAGTGGCCCAGCCACCAACTCCAAAGCCACCAACGTACCTCGCCTTTGGCGAACTTCGGAGAAGGTTGTCCGTATCGAGTGATGTCGCAGAGCAATTTGGTGAAGTAGCGGGTGTTCCATCCTGGGCATCTGAGGACTGCAGGCTTGGAGTCATTATTTCGGGGCCGTCTGTTCTATTTTTCCATGACCCATCGAAATATATATTAACGGCTCTTTCCATATCGCTCTGGGCCATTTTTCTGACTGTCTCAATACTTTCAGCTGATAGTTCTTCACCAACCAAGCTGGTGAAAAATGCAACGTCGAATCCATTCTGAATGTTTCTCTCTGAATCCAGGCGTGGTACGTTCACAGTAGAGGTGCAAGTGCTTTGTCCAAGCTCTGTGTCTGCAGGGCCAACCAGGGAGCGGGAAGACGCGCTTGCGTCTGGCAACTCTGCCGAGATATCTTCAGTAATTTTCTGTTCATGATCGTCTTCATTATCTTCAAAGAAAAAGCGTCTCTTTTTTGCGGGCCTCTGATCTATATCTTCTGAATTCATGGCGATGAAGAGGGGGGCAAATGCACTTTCAGCCTGGCAATGTCCATCATATTACCCGTGACGCGACGCGACGTCGGAATATCAAATTCCCGATTTCCGCCAACCACATGTTAGGAAACTTAGCGGTTACTCCGTAATTAGGTTATTGAAGCTCTAATTGCCATTAATTGTGAAGCCGTTTTCTCCGCTTGATATGTATGCTTCTCCTGGCAATTTGGGCCGAGCCATTGGTGTTCCAATAACTCAGAAACGCGTAGCAATGACCTTCCACCCAAACAGAACTTGTTTTCGCTGCATGCTTAGGCAGTCTCGAATTCGTACATTACTAGTTAGCAAGTCGCGATGTCAGCCCTTTTCTTCATCTCTATCGCTGGGAGTAGCGGCTGAGAGCTCCAGAGCAGAACTTGAGTCCGCAAAGAAATACTGTGTAGCTCTACTCCAGTGCGTGTCCCTTTTATTTTATAATGCACCTAATTGCTGATATTCCGACACTCTAGAAAATACGACCGGCCGTCGTATACCCTGAGCACATTTATCCCTCAGCATACCCTTCATTTATATCTTGCCCTGCGTGCCTTGAATGTGTCTCTGTCTTTAATACCCGATAGCACATCCAATCCTACGATCGGCCTCATGCGCCTCCAATTCTGGCGGGAGACTATTACCAAAACACTCGCTGGAACACCCCCAAAAGAGCCGGTCGCTTTGTTTCTCGCCAATGCCCTTTCTGACCTCGATGTTAGAACTAAAGGGAAGGTGAAAATTAACAAAGGATGGCTAATGCGATTGATAAAGGCTCGAGAACAGCATGTTACCAACACCCCCTACACAACCCTTGCTTCTCTAGAAAAGTACGCCGAGAATACATACTCGACGCTTCTTTATTTGACACTCAGCGCGCTTCCTCTTTCATCTTTAACTGCGGATCATTTAGCGTCTCATATTGGAAAGGCGGCTGGAATCTCATCTGTTCTCCGTGGATTGCCGTTAGTTGCGTTTCCTCGCCCTCCAAATCATCATTCAAATCAAGATGGTACGGGCAGCAAAGCTACAGGCACTCACCAAGGCCATATTACACTTCCGTTAGATGTGATGGCTCAATCAGGGGTAAAGGAGGAAGATGTGTTCAGACTTGGCGCAGATGCACCGGGACTCCGGGATGCTATTTTCACTATAGCTACGCGTGCAAGTGATCACCTGATTACTGCTCGACAAATGCTCAAGAATCTTCGTGCAGGTGAGGATGTTGGACACGATTTCGAACATCAGGGAGAGGAAGGCCACGAATATCCTGAGCAGCTGAAATCGGGCGATCACCCAGAAGGGCTGAAACTAAGTATGCAACTTCACGAAGTTGAACGAGGTTTCGGCGTCCTTATGCCAGCCGTTCCTACACAGCTTTGGCTGGATAGGTTACAAAAAGTCGATTTTGACATATTTAAACCAGAACATCTCTTGTCGGACTGGAGATTACCCTGGAAGTCATATTGGGCATTCCGGCGGAAAGTTTTTTGATTTGAACAAGTATTTTGCGAGCATCAACATGACATGATGTATCCCATAGTATCCGATAGTACTTTACTATACGTCGGATATGCGCTTCACGGTATTGCAGCAAATCTCCAACATCTTACTGTTTCAATTATAGTATTGGCATATTCACTGGCCTAGCAATAAAGGCAGCCTGACATATCTATCGATCCTTGCGCCGCCGTCTTGAGCTTAGAATTAATCTCTTCTGCGCTATTTTCAGCAACCATCGCCTTATCATCTCACGCCTAACACCATGTTGATTAGCAAAGGTGGGTAATGGACAGAAAGCATCAGTGAATACTTACATCAAAAATAAAAGGGTAATAAACACGAATGGGACGGCAATACCCCAGAAAAATCTGGAATAAAACAGTCAGTATTCACATTGAAGAACAACTAGGCAGTCTTACTTGTCACTGTTGTTTTGAACAGCTGGAAATGGAGAAAAATTCATTCCAAAATAACCCTCATAGCACCATGTTAGACCATAATCTGTTCTTGCCCCAACAATGGTCCAGAACTCACTGTAAGAAATGTAAGGGGGAGGAACATGCAAGTCACCAAAGTCAATTGTGTCATGCTCTCATTTTGATATGCACCTAAAAGTAGAAAACATTTAAATCCTGGAAATATCAATATTCATCTTATTTGGGGCACTTACCAATGGTATTAAAAACCAGTTCAACCATGTTTGCTGCTAGACGTCGCATTTGATCATATCGACTGGTGACTGTGATGCAAGAATCTAAGACATCCCCTAAGTACGTTTGACACAGTGGGCTGATAGTCACTTTTGAGGCCATTCTAACGCCCTCTACATCTGGATGTATGGAATTCCAACTGGTTTGCTTTTGGGGAGACGCACTAGAGGAGACATTCTGGACATCTAAATCAGAACTATGGTCTCGTAAGGAATTGATTACATTGGTAATAGGTTGGATGGCATTCCGAAGCACAGATATTTCAGAAGATAGAATGTATAGAGCCGTAGATAGATGTATGTCTGGGTCGGTAAGGACGTCAAGCTCTATTTCTCCCATTACGTCCTGGTAGGCTCTTGTAACGGGAATGGCAAGATCAGCAATGGCGTCAATGATGGCCTGTAGGACCATGCTCGCGTCGCAGGACTCGCGAAGAATCGTTCCTGGTGACTGTAAACGTTGAACTATCGGGCCTTCTATATCGTCACCGCTGGCCTCGAAAAAGGAGGTTACTGTATTGTCCGCATGCAGGATAATAGAAACCTGTTCGAGGGCCACACCGAGCCCTCTTGATGCAAGGACGGCGTGTCGTTCCATGAACTGGACTCTTTCTTCGTTCGGACCATCCCTGAACCGTTGAAGGGTACGAACGGAACGGGGCTGCATTCCGGTGTTGCTTGTGCTCTGCTTGAGTCGCCGTTTCTCGAAAGCTGGGGTCAGCCAGTCGATTAAAGCATCTTTTAACACGCTTCTTCTTCCACCGCGATTGCGTTTCCTCTTGCGCGAAGCCTGCTGGCGAGCCTCCTCCTCTTCTTCTCCGTCACTCTCGGTTTCCGATTCCTCGTCCCCGTCCCTCAGTTGTATCAACTTTTGCATTTCCAGCAGGACAAATGTATGATCTGTGTACCAGTCCGCTTTCGTCCGATCAATTGAGTGTACCAAATCCTCGATCGCAAGCTTGTGAAGTCGCTTATGCGTTGCCAGCAATCTAACGACGTCCCAGCTCAGTCCATTGACGTTGATCCAGCGACAAACGACCCATGGCTCTTTTTCGGTTTCAAGGAAATTAGCCAGCGTCTCATTATTTAACCAATGGACACGAATTTTATCGAGAGAATAGTCAACGACAGTAATATCGCATTTCTTGTTGCCCGATTCCGGCAGCAGGGTCTCTCCCGAAGTGCGGTATGGGGGAAAAGTCGGCTCAGAAGGATCGAGACCAGGCTCCTCTCCTGCTCGCCAGCTGGTGCAGCCTGGAGGAGCATCTGGATAGTAGGAATGCGCTGTATTCGAGCGCTTGAGTCGCCTTTTTAGTGAGGCAGGAGATCGTGTCGATGAAACGTCGGTATTTCGAGCACCCTCACTAGATGACAAGGTGTTTCCCCCCTGTGATTCTGTCGATAATTGCGCTTCGACATCCCGAACTGCGCCGGCGTTTTTAGAGGGCATGGTCGAGACTCGCGCCGATCATAACGAGGTACGAGAATGGCTTCTGGTAACTATAACGGCCCTTGCAGTCTAGTTCTCTACACGGTTGTGGACCTGGTTAGGCCGAACAGTGGCCGAAGGAATGAAAACCAAAAGGCCATCAATCGCTACTTAGCTAACTAGCTCATAAACTAGTTTTCTGGGCAGTCTTGGGAAGTCAATTGTTATCAAATCGTACGGAGTACTCCGTACGCGGTACAAGAGTTGGAGATAGATCGTTGGAAGATGTACATACCTTGCTTGAGCTGGAGGCCGTTCAAAATCGACTAACTAGTTAGATGTTGAATTTGAAACGTCTGCTAGGTATCTCTTTACAATGAATATACCTAATACTTTCTGGCAGAACCGAGACAACCCCCCAAACTATACTATTATACAAAGTGCTAAATCTTCACAGCACATAGTAATTAAAGGGGCACATATATCACACGAGGCCTTCCAGCTCCAGCGAATGAGCCGTCAAACCCCTCGAACCCGGAGCTAGGATTAAAAAATAAATAGATAGATAGATGACTGTAGAAGGAAGCAGGGAAATAAAATCCTAAACAGATAGTGTTACAATGAGAATGTAAGCTGAAATACAAAACCTTCTTATAGGCGTGGAGAAGGTTTGGCTTTCCCTCCGTATCCGTATCGGTTGGCTGGAAATCGAGGCGCCTTTGCGAACGTGGTTGGTGTCTTGAGCCCAAGGAGTTTAGGTTCCACCTCCATCAAAATAGCACATTGCTCGGCGTAGGTAGGGTGGTTTGATACCCGCTTCTTAGTCGACGACACCGAGGTCTTCTTTGCTTCGAGGGTGATAGAACTGGATTTCATGGCACCCTTGATAATTTCACGTAATTCCTTTTCATCACTGGCAATCTGAGCTTTTATATAGGAATAATCTTTGGAACCTTCAAGAGAGGACATTATACTCTTTCGTGGGGTGTATGGATATTTCTCGGGCGTTGGGGGGATAAGAGGAGCAGTGGAGGGATCTAGAAAAGCTTTCTCGCCTTTCTCAAGTAGCTGAATGATGTCAACTGATTCCCCTGGGGGAATTTTATCTAAATGTGATGGAGTGACGCAGTCCATATCGACTTCTTTTCTTAGTACGTGATCGACATCAACAGCCGAGAAATATGCACATGACTGAGGCAAATCGTCAATGCCCATCTGCTGTGAAAATATAGCACGAGTCCAAACATTTGCAACTTGCAACGCCATGGCAGCCTTATACTTGTCTTCCTCTTTGACGAGGTAGCGTATTTCGTCATGGACGCTGATTGCTAGGCGAGCATTCAGGTTGAATCGGCGAATAAGAAAATCCATAGACACAATGAGTAGGTGAAGATAGTCGACGCCCGAAGATTGAATTGCCCAGTTGATACGTGAGGTCATAAAGCTTCCCTTGTTAATGAAGCGTCGCATCAATGCCTGCGTAATCCCAGCACCTAATACTGGTGTCCTAGGCCGTTCTTGGTCCGCAAATTCTTCGAGTTTATTGAAGACGAATGACTCCGTTCCACCTCTCCAAAACGGAGAGTCAGTTAGAAGTTTGCGAGTCGTTCGCGTACCTTTTGTTTCTTTGTAGAGATTGGCTGCAATTTTTCTTGTTTCTTCTTCTGAAATTGAGGGGTTGAATTGCCGTAGGAGTGTGGCTGCAAATTTAAGCCCAGCGCCATAGATTCGGCCGTAGTTGAAGACTTTCGCATTATTTCTAGATATTCTTAGGATTTTTGCGGTTTTCGAGTGCAGGTCTGTGCCGGCGGCTTTGGTACCTTCGAGAGTCATGAAACCAATCGCATTTCCACCGTGAATTTGAAACTGCGCATCGCCAACAAGGCTGGCAATCCAGAGTTCTTCTGAATCGACATCAGCACCAACAAAAACATAGCCTGGAGGAGCTTTGACCATCGCCTTTAGCTCTGAGCCGACGCGATTCGCTTTTGCGTTGCTGGCAGTAAGCCACGTATTCTCAACAGCCCTGCGCGTAATTGTTCCCATTGGAATGATTTGAGGTAAAATAAACCCTAGTGATGACTTTGTTTGCTGAGCTTGACTTCCTGATAACTTTCGTACATCTTCCTCGTATACCACCATTTGAGACATAATTCGGCTTCTTGCACTTATCCAGTATGAGCAAGAAGCATTCATTTCCAATGCCTCTTTAGCCAGTGCAAACTGAGATGATAGCTTCCCGCCTTCAAAGTAAGCTAGGTAGCCTTTTGCCAAGGGGCTAACACACCGTGCCTCCGGCCCGTCCTTATGAGGAAGCTTATAGTATACATGACTCCTGTCACTTTTTAGAGTCTCGATTTTCTCTTCGGCCATGTCGCATTGTACAACAGCCTGGTACTTGTACTTATGAATATCTCCCTTTGGGACCTGAAATGTCCACCCATATTTATCAGACCAAACAAGGGGATACCCATCCCAAGAAAGTTTTAGCAATATCGGAGCGATACGTGTACGCACGGTCAAATTCATCGGCGAAGTACTAGTTGGAAAAAGATCCTTATACCATTTTGGCATGCCTGGCATTTTCTGACGTGCAGCTGGACGAGGAGGATCACCCTTCTTCTTGCCTTTAACCATTCTGATCTCCTGGCCAGACCAGTCGAGTTGTCGTAACCAGGGATCTATATTATAAATTTCAGGCTTATCTTTAACATCGACAGCTTGCTGGCAAAGCTCTTCTAACCTTTTCTGAACATCATTTAAACGAGTGTGATATGTTTCTTCGGCTGTCTTGATATATTCCGCCCAGGATTCGTTTACAGGTAGGATAACATTTGAGAGATGTCGTAAAGCCCCAAAGCTTACCGGATGAGGGCAGGTCTCAAGAAAGTTTGGAAATACCTTTCGATAAACGCGGTGCGTAATCGAGACATCAGCAGCACAATAATCGAGTAGCTCGTCCAGACGCTCACGGATTCCATCTCTATCAAGTTCACCAAAATGGTCTCGCTGTGCTTTGTCGATAGTAATATTGCAATGAAATTTGGCGACATCTCGAAGCGAATTGATGGAACTCCTTCCCACCCATAGCTCCTCCTCTTCTTCACTAATCATGTTACTCTCCAACGTCTCTGCAAGTTGATGGGAATGTGATTTTTGGGCCAGTTTATCTCTGAGGTCACGGTTTTTCTTGTGTCGCATCCAAGTTGGTCTTTGTTGGGAGCACATGCCATTAACTGCTACATGAAGAGACATTGTGTCAAGAAAAAAATTACGAGATTGTGTTAGATCATACTCCTCCAGAACCCTAGCCCTGTCGTAACCGATATTGTGCCCAACAATGATCCTTGAACGGGAAGGATCTCCTAGTGGAATCAGATGTCGTGGATTTTCCGACTGTCCAAGAAGCCATGGAGAAAGCCATGCATACCACGCCGTTGAGCTCGCGGCGCATGCCATAACTGGAAACGGATTCTGCTTCCACATAACCTCTGTATCAAAAGTCAACATGTCCTCGCTGGGGAAGAGAACCTGTTCTGTGGTTCCATCGGCATTGTATTTCGTCCATCCACTCCTGCCGACCCATTGTCGAGGAGCAGTCGGGAGATTAATCTTAGAGTAATCTTTTGCAAAATCCAAGTACGGTGCAGAGGCATCCATTCCAAGCTTATAAAAATGCTCATCAAGGGTCTCGCCTTGTAAGGATGGGAGGTCAAATCCAATGGGTTCTGAGGCATCTTGAGCCTTTCCAAGTAGCTCATGGCGAGAAAGATGATCTTTTGAGAGAGTGACTAGCTCGGGATCTGGAGGCGTCGGAGGGCGAAGAAATACTTGGGAATGGACATGGCTGCTTAACTGCTGAACTCCAATCTCGTTAAATCGCGCGGTTGATGGGACTTGAGAATATATTATCAGATGCTAGCGCTCCATACTACAGCATTTTGTTGCCTACCTGCTAAAGTAACCTTCTTTCCAACCGTAGCATCCGCCACCGCTGTCGAGCCTGCATAGTAACGGTGAAGCGGCGCTGCGCCAAAAGCAAAAGGCGAAGAGAATAGCTGTTGGCGAAAATATGGCCTCAAATGAGCTCTTGGCGCGCTGGCAATAAAGGCCAGCATTCTTGATAATAATTAGACCATGGTGTACATTGGACCTTTCTTCAAAATGCTGCATGCCAACCAAAAGACATTGAGCATTGTTCTAGTTAGTTATGTAAGCCAGGTGTCCCGGTCAGAACTAGTTAGTTAACTAGGCACATGATGTATTTCTTATCTTATCGATAATACAGATTAGATAAGACGGCAAAATATTTATCACGTGCCAGATAAGCTCCATACCAATTCCACAACGTTTCCATGCCAGTTGATTCTCTACACGAGTTCCTCAAAACTTCTGCTCTCGGCTCCATTTTACTTTATACAACGCGCTCATGCCCCAAAATTCTTATATTGATCTTACAACTCTGGGTTCCTCCCCTTCTGGCCATGAATCTCGGGCTATCCTTCCTCCCAATGAGCCGCCGCTGCACGTTTCAGGAGACGGCCATGATTACAAAAAAAGGAGGCTAAATAGTGGAGCTGCAGCTGGGCCTTCGAATTTTGCTTCGATAGTACATCCGAATAGTCATAGTCAAGAAATGGAGAACATCAACCCTATCGATCTAACGGAGGCGGACGATGTCGCTACGTTTGCACAGTCACCACCTAAACCGCAGGGAGGTCCTGACAAGTGTCGCCGTTCGGCGAATGATAATACCAGATCATTACTGGTCTCTTATAAGTGCCCCGTGTGTATGGATGTTCTGGTGGATGCTACGGTTACGATTTGTGGTAAGCTAGGTCTGTTGGTATAGAATATCTTTCAATTATCTTAAATTCGGCTTATCTTCAGGCCACCTGTTCTGCCACAAGTGCATCATCGATACCCTTCGTTTCGGCGAGGAGAGACTCTCCTATGAGAATGGAAAACAATTACGTGGAAACTGCCCTGTTTGCCGAAAGACCCTTTCAAAAATCGATGTTCCTGGCCCCCGGAGAAACCTGATACCTTTGGATTTGAAAATTATGACTAGAAAGAAGACCTGACCGACGCTTTTTTTTTTAATTATACATTTTATGGGCATTTTTGAATGGCGTTGGTGGCACTTTTCTAGTCTAGCTAAAGTACATGCATAACATACCTACGACAAGGCTTTTTTATGTTTCAGGGCCATTAAGTTCTTAATATTTTAATAGATAACTACTGCCCAGGGTTTTGCCTCGGGGCTTTTTTCAATGCACTTAAAACTATACTATCTCTGTGAGACCTAACGAACAGGGATATATAATAGGGCTACATAATATAATTCCGCGCGACCTCTCATCACTTTGCTATTATACCCTCGAAAACAGCAACGCAGACAAAATGCATACATCGGACACAGAACCTAATACACCTCATATTCAGTATTCGGTGCCCTTTTGAAGCCTAGCAGAAGCTCCCACACAACAGTTCGGACACTATATATAAAGCACACGTAACGTTGGGCTACTTTGCCATTATACTTTCCATTGTATTTCGTCTACTCTTTTCTCCCGAATTGCCCCGCACCATTGCATCACCCTTTTTTCCTAACACCACCTCCAGAGCTTGTATCAATGCCGTAGGATCATATCTCATCCCAAGAGCCTCTCCAGACTCGCCTTCTAGCTTCCGTCCGTATAAACGAAGCGTCTCAATACCCATCGCAGCTAGCCTGTCACGGTCCACATGTGGAGTTCCTGGACCTTCAAGATGGATAATATGGGTAACATATGCTGTATACGGAAGGGAAAGAAATGGTGGTTGCGGCGTAGTTTTAGCCGCCGAACAGGCTTCAACCATGCTTCCAGTACCAGCTTTTTTCTTTTGGGCTCGAACTCTACTATGAGATTCTTCACCCGCACGCACAATTGCTTCGACAAAATCCGATGCAGAAAAAGGGTTTGTAGAAGGGCCCGTTTCGCGGTCCAAAGAACCATTAAGAATGAGAATTTTTTGACGGGCTTGACATGTTGATATAGCCTGGCCAACGCCACGCAGGACTATTGATGGTATGATGGAGGTGTATAACGATCCGATGCTATATATGATAGCTTGTGAACTTCGCAGAGCTTCTAGAACGCGAGGGTTTGCTGGAGGGCGAATTTCTTGACCATACGGGTTGATATACCAAACACGTGAAATGCGACTTGGTAATTCTTCCACCACGGCCTTGCTGAACTGTATGTTTTTATTTCTTAGCGTTGGGAGTGAGCCGGGTAAGTGACTTTCCTCGTATGACAGCTCATCTGATTCAGACTCCTGGTCTTCAGTATCAGCAAGTAGAAGGCTTGGGCGTCTCCGACCCGGTTGCAAAGCGGTTGATTCGCTGGGATGGGAGATGCTATTTTGCCCAACTATCACCGTATCATCCTCGAGAGTGGCCGAAATATGGTGCGAAAAGTTAGAATTTATTGCTGGTATCACCCTAGTTTCATTGAGCGGCACAGAGCATATGCTCCCAAGAAGGTAGATAGCACTCTCAAAACTTCCGGTAAAAAGCCGCGCGCCGGTAAGAAACAAGTTACCAACACTAGCAGACGTAAACTCAAATGTTGAAGAGGGAGGGCGAGCGCGCTTTAAGATCTCCAGATTAAGGTGGTTCAGAAACGAACGAATAAGCTCTTTCTTAGCTGGCGTGATGGCATCCCACAGAGATGAGGTTCCTTCAACCACAGCTATCCACTCGGCATGGGCGGTCTCAGGCACAGAAGGGAGTCGATGATTGAAAAATACCTTAATGCCAGCTAACTCCTCATCCGCATGGCTGTCTGGAATTAGCCTCACAAGTCTACCTGCGTTGTTTAATTAGCTACCTATAGCCCTAACTCGGGGGCACACACAGGAAATACCAACATACTTCGTACATCTCCAATTCCCGGACCACCAAGAACCCTGATTAGCTCCGAGGATGACCCCCCATTGTCGCTAATCGGAATGATATAGCTCAACGGACATTGCTTGCTTTGACGGACAGCATTGAATACATCAACAAGATTGTTTGCAGCGCTACCGCCGGAAAACACCGCAATCCCTCTAGTTTGCAATGTCATCACAGATGGTAATACTTCTTTCAGTCAGGAAGACAAAGATCTCAATATAGGAAAGGTGATAGTAGTTTTATCCTGAAATGACATGTATGTTCAACATAAAAGAACAGATCACACAGTTTATTTATTCTATAGTTACCCCAAAGCTCCCACCAAAAAGTACGGAGTAGCTGAATGGAATGAATGATTAGCAAAGAATAGAACAGGGCAGAAAATGTCGCAAGTTTTATTTGTATGGTGGCCTCCAAGGCAGCTAGCGTAACTAGGCACGGAGTAGTCTGTACGGACTAGTTAGTTAGTTATTTTGGAGTACGGAGTACTTAAAGTTAACTTTAACCGCTAAAAGTAGAGTTTCCTGCTGCCTAGTTAGGTACTCCGTACCTAGAACCGCCAAGTTAGTTAGCACAAGATGCCCTCGCTATGAAGCTAACCAGATACCATTCCTCATTCTTCAGGGAGGCCTATATATTCCTCGTTTTCTATCTTCAATTTAAGTAATTTGAGCTGCAACCAATTGCTCTGGATAGCGAATTTCACGGCTTACGATTAAGCATGAAGTCCCAGCTCGCCGTAATCTGATATGGGATAGAGAGACGAAAAAATGGTATACTGTCTATCATTGTAAGACAGCAAATTAATGGCTTACTAATATTTCTTCTCCTATAGTTATACCATATCGCTGGTAAACTCAAGACCTGGAGGGAGAGTTTATTTGCTGCAGAGTAGATAAAAATTATGTCCCAACAAATATGGATTTTGACCCAGTAGCCCAAGGTTACCATCAACAGTGGTCAAACTGGAAACTATAATACACACGCACAGAACTTACATATAAAAAGACACTTAAAAAAAAAAGGAGCGATGCCAGTCTCGATGAAGTCTCGATGAACAATATCCGAGTAGCTAGGGCCTAGGTCACGAGTTTCTAAGAGCAATCATCATTTTGGCCGCTAGCACTCTGACATCACTAGTCTCAGACTACAGCGAGGAGAGAAAGATCTCACGCGTACGCAGCCCATCCTTGAAAATTCCATCAGCTTAATATGTTGACAAAGGAAGGTAACGACTTACCGCAGTACAAAACAGCAAGGTTCCTCTCATCAGTTGCTTGTTGGATTAATTCGTTGACAGTAGCAACTACGCTCAAAGTTTTGCCTAATTTCTTCGCAACAACTGTCAACGCTCGATCCGCTTCGCTGGGTTCATTCACCGATGCTTTTGCTCTTTCACCCGTCTCGTCTTCTTCCTCGTCTGCATCTTGTGAATCTTGCATTTTCTTCATACGGAGCGGAGACAAGGACCAGCTGTACAGCGGGTCGTAACGGAGAACGTCAAGAATTGTCATAATGCTATACGATTCTTGACGTAAGGTTTCAAGAGTGAACTCGCAACAACGGCGAAATACCCCTTCCGTCTTGGTAACCCCCATTCCATCCACAAGATCACGAGTGAGGCGGAACGGCACCACCTCGGGTACAGGCAGAACACGACCCTGTTCAAATGCAACACCAAGATCAATATGTACTACTTCACCGGTCATCTCGTCTAGAAGAATATTATGGCCATGGCGGTCGCCAAGGCCTAGTACATGCCCAAGAATTGATATAGCTGCGGTGCTTCGAATGTAAGCTAAACGTTTGCTAAACCAGTCGTCTGGGTTTTGAAATCGCTCCATGAAAAAATATTTCATGACGGGATGAAAGTGGTCTGTCACCTGTCGGTAAACTCTAAGGCGCTGCTCTAAGCTCTTTGCTTGTGCATCATTTATGTGCTTTCGGCAGGCGTTTGGCTTCATATCCTTTGGGAAGTGTTTCTGGTGTGCAGGTAATAAGTAGTCATGTAGAGGGATGGTGTCTTGCACAAATTCGATGATACCAACGTTGGTAGTGAGAGGAAGCACCTTATAGGTGCGGATACCGAGATCGCGCTGCTGCGTGGCGCGATGAGACCGGAGCAAATTACTGACTTGTTCAAACACTTGCTCCATTATAGCATCCTGGCGTAAGTCATCATTTCCTGCTTTGAACTATCACAAAATTAGGCAAACATATTGGATATAAAGATGCTGGACACTCACCAAAGCCTTGTACCTCAAACCATCTGATGCGATGGCAGTCACGATTTTTGGTGCACTTATCCCGGAGGCAACTGAAAATTCGGGGAGAAATTCAACCCAACGGGGAACTTTGCTATAATCACAATCCACACGCAGTTCAATTTTCATGGTGGGAGGAGGAATCCGTTGCCTTCTAACGTCTTGTTCTAACCTTTGGCCTGCAAGCGATTTCCGAAGCTGTATTTTCGAACCTGTCTTTAGCTTCTCTTCCGTTTTCTCTAAGGCAAATCGTACACAACTAATGTTAGTGTTATGAATTGCTACCCAGGTGGAGCCGGCTCCTCTCTCGACTTTCAGACGTTCAACAAGCCTTCCCGCAGCGTTGAAACGAGATACTGCCATTTGGTCATTTCCAACTTTGGATTTGCTACTCGCAAATATCTGATACATTCCATGATACGGATGTTCCACGCAAATTCGAAAGACCAAAGCCGATAAAAGAGGCTGAAAGTAGTCTTCAGATTCCAAAAGTCGTGATGATAGCTGATTCATCAAAGGAGCAAATTTCCTGCTTGGGACGTGGAAAAGATGTTTGCCGACAGCTTTGTTGGCGATGTCACTGTTCGAATTATCCAGCCAGAGCGCGCAGAATCGGAGAACGTCATTCCCAAAGGTATCGCAGGCCTTCAATGAAAGCAGGTAATTCTCCAGGCATTGTTCTAAAAACGTTTCTCGGCTTCGCTTTAAACGTTGGTACTCCCGATCATCGAGGTCAAACCATTGTTTCGCTTTCGATTTGTGTATGCGGAGTTGCTCTTTTTCCTTACCTTGGGACCCCTTCATCATTCGCTCTAGATCCTGAACTTCTCTTTCTTTTCTGTGACGAATTTGTTCAATTCTCTTAAAATCCTCTAAGACTTCGGGATTCTGCAATTGTTGATCACAAAATGAGGCAAATTCATGGAAGGCAAGTCCGGCCTCCTCCCCGGTATGTTGTCCCTTGAGTTCTTTAACTGCTGGGAGCAGGTAATTTTGAATGATTACATCCGGCTTTTCAAGTCTTGCCTCAGCAATATGACGGCCCTACAAATAAGTTAGTAAAGGTCAAACTACATATAGAAATTAGGTACCAGGCTAGCCAGAACTTCTGCTCTGTTGATTGGAATCGATTGCTTTTGTAAATCATTTCGGTCACTGAGCTGTTGAAGCATTTGAATAGAGGGCGTCATTTCCCCCTGATCCCAGAATACGTTTGCCAAATCAAGTGTAGCCGCGGCATCAATTTTCACTTCTAATTGTGAACAAGGGTCGACTAACTTTGTCAATAGCATAGCGGATTTAAGTGATGCTTGGTGCTCATCGTGCTCCCTACTAATTCTAAAGGATTCTCGGATAGTTCTAACTCTCAAAAGCTGCGCATCGCTAGCCTTCAAACCAAATATAGTTTGTAGTTGAGGTCGCTGGTTAATTATAGAAAAAAATCCTTCATGGGTAGATAGGACCAGACCAATATCATGGAAGCTAGCATATCATATAATGATTAGAACTCTAATTAACGGATGTATTATTATATGTAGCCTTACCTCTCAAATCTCAACCATGAACTCCTACTCACTATTCTGTTCCAACTCTCCTGGATTTCAATACATGACGTTGAAGATAGTATCTCATCCATCTCAGAAAGTAATCCCAGCATTCGCATGGTATTCTTTTGTGATGAAAGCGATTGGTTATCTTCAGATAACTGGTTCAACATTTCTAAAAAACAGTCGTCCAATGTTTCAACGATTAGGCTTTTATTTTCAAGCACATTGAGGCCTTGTAAGGCTTTAAATAGATTCCCGATGGAGGATGTTGTATTTGGCACCGGGATATCCCATTTTTGGAGGTATAAGGCCGTGGAAAGCATGCTATCAAAGGTCTCCGGTCGCTTTCCACATTTCCCTGGAGTATGAAACATCACGTTCACCATACCCTGGAAATTAGTTGAATTGAAAGCTTTTATGACTCCAAGCGTGCTATTGTTTTCCGTAATTAGGTCTAATTTCAGATCTGTATCGTAATTTGCACTTTGAAAGGTCATGTTTTTCAGCGAGGCACTTTCATGCCCCAGTTTTTCCAGTACACTGTCAATTGAAGGGTTCTGCTGCATACCATAAAACATATCTGGGTCATCAATACTCGAAAAAATTTCATGAAGAAGGTCTGACGGTTCAGCAGGTTTTATAGCCGATGACCTTCTGGATGCAACTGCGAGGTGTGAGTAGTGAATCTCCACGAATAGAAGGGCCGTCTTGTACATTCGGCATTTGGTAGCTGCATTGGCAGCTTTTAAGTAGTCAATCTCGAGCCAACTATCGCGCATGTCCATCGTCATCTCATTAGGGTATGGTTGATGTCGGAGATATAGAATGCAGTAAATCATTAACCTTAAGTGTGGAAGAGTTGATTTCTGGACATCATCAAATGCCTCCTGAAAAACAGCTGATACGGCTTGTCGTGTCTTTCTACCCTTTGTGTGTTCCGAAAGCAACACGTCATGAAGAATGTAGGGAAGTAGTTGAGCGGCTAGAGTAGGAATAGTAAATAAAATAGGCTGAAGCGCACTGAGCACTGGATCGCTACCGGCTCTTAGTGATAGAGCAAGTGTGAAGTCTTTGGCGAACTCAAGAACAGAAAGTGACGGGGCCCAGCGAACATCCAGACCGAGAGAAGATTTGTCATAATATTTAATAACGTTTTTAGGGCAATGATAAGGGGCCCAAATAAGACCCTTCATCAATGAAACGGGTATGGCTTCTTCGAATTGTTCCAGCTTCGAATCTTTCAAGAGTGTATTCACAATGGTTTGGAGCGTTCGTTCCGCAACACCAATGCTCGCATTATTATTGGAAAAGAGAGAGTTGCATAACACGCGTAAAATAGACACTTTTGAAGTCATAAGGGTATCATAAGAAGGATAATTCGAAAAAATCATTCGCTGTTCCCGAAGTAGCAATTCGCTGATGCTCCCGGTAGAAGAGTACGACCGACCCAAAGCTCGAGCGACCCATAGCCTACAGCCGGAGCTAGGCTCTCTGTTTTCTAACATGTCCCAAAGTCCTGCAGCATTCGAGCAGGCTGCCTGGTCGTTTCCCAAAATGTAATCCCGAAAGCTTTCCGGCCTCTGAAAATCGCGACACAGTTGATCAAACACTAGATCTGAGGCTGCTCGGCCTAGTAAGTTCCTTCCAGATACTTTATCTTGTAGAAGTTCCACCATGAGCTCGCCTTCGTAGGTGCTATTGGAGGCATTTCCAACACCGCTAATATTTTGTGACAACTGAATGATTTTTCGCAGGGAAATTTTCTCGGCTTCATTGAGAGCCGGGGCTTCATACTCATCTAGGAAATTCAAGAACCATTTGTGAAATGTTTGTGCATTTGACATTGTTGCCCGAAAATGGGTCTCTTGAGTGGTACTCTCTTGCTGAGAGCATAGTAACCCCCTGAGAGACGCCAGCGTTGAGACCGCCAACCCAGCTAAAAATGATGGGTGTTCAGAGAGATGTAATCTTCCATTGTCTACTAGATACCAAAACATGCCAATAGCATCCGCAGAGCACTGAAAATTGGTAAGAAATGGGCGTAAGCAGTGAAGCAACATTTCTAGAGGGTAGTCCTCCAATACTGTTGATCCTGCAACACAAATCAAAATCCTCAACTTGCGTAGAACAGAGCATGCATGAAGCGACCCAAATGCTGGGTGTATCGACTCCACTAACGCCCTGGCAACAAAGCAAACCAGAGCTGGGGTCCACATGGTCTCGAGATCGTAACCCGACCGCCGACATAAAAATTCCAACTCATCGAGAAGGAAACGGGCTCGAAATGATGGCTGTTGGCCGATGGGAAGAATCATGGTTGATGCACCTCTCTCGTGAATAGCCCTGAGGATTTTCGAAGCTGATTGAAATAATTCATGTTTTGCTAAATGTCTCTCCATCTGTTCAGTTTGGTCCATTGACTTGAATAGCGACGCAACGATTTCGGGGAAGAACTTTTCCACTAGAGTCAAAAAATCATTCGAACCCAATAGCGTTTTCATTCCAACTTCCGAGCCTCCTTGCATAGGGTCTTGAGACGGCGGCATGCTAATATCACGAGCAAGACTGTAGGCTTCGGCTTTGTAGAAACAGCTGCTCAACAGCTCCCGGAAGGGCAACCCTAGACACCGCGAGAGCTCAGACATTTCATCTTCCCTGGCACGCATGATGACCTGTGCAATAACTTCATCTTGCACGTCAAGCATTAATTCCTTGAGATGAGTATATCCGAAAACGCTGAATGGCAAATCTGAAAGTGACTGTGTCTCCATCCAGGTATAGATAATCTGGGGAGAGAATAGCCGAAATACTTCTCTCGAGGTGACAAGGCCTAGGGCCTTCGCCACCTTATTTAGGCATTCCCTAGCATATAAGGTCGAGGATGGAACTTGTCCCGGAGCTTCAAAGATATGATATATACCTCGTCGAAGCAATGTATGCCAATGAGAAGCAAGTTCGGCGAGGATAAATAGGCGAATTGCTATCCCCTCCTCCCATTCTCGATCCCGTGGTAAGTTGGCCAACACATCATCGAAAATCGCATCGTGTTCCTTTAAGATAAAGCCTCCAAATATCTTAGAGATCAAGCAAGATATATTAAATTTTACTGTTAAGTCGCCGCGAGAAAGAATGCTAAAAAGGCTGGTCCTGGGGGACGGCCGCTGATGTTCCCTGAGAAACACAGGATTGTTGCTGAGGATGCGTTCTAGCAGGACAGCAAGTCTGACCAGGCACATTGGGCCTCCAATCTCTTCGCCCAGTAAAATATCAATGAACCATATGTAAACGTCAGATGCAGAGTCTTGTAATTCATCACTCTCATTCGTGGTCCAAAGATCCACGAAGCATGTCATGATTTCAATGCAAGCGGATATTGAGGCTTCGCATCTTCGAAGCTCATGAGAACGCAGGCACCGTTCGCCAAAAATTTCGATGAACGTACATGCATCAAATCGAGTCATATTAGGTATAGAGCTAATGAATTTCGTCAAGTATGGCCATCCTGCTAGCATATCAAAGCTGTCCCAAGTCTTTATGTAAGTGTGAATTTCATTAGTTAGGATTGCAGAATCTTCCACGGAAAGAAAAAGCCCCAGAAGGGAAAGTTGAACTGTGGTCGCAATACGCATTGAGTCACTGTCCTCAAAAATTGGGCTTCCGTTATCCTCTCTATTAAATCTTATCATGGTTCCATCTTGAGCATATGGGATGTCCCGAGACAAAAATTGATCATCAAGCTCCATCGACTCCACAGTTTGATCAGCCCTATCTCTCTCCGTCTCCCGTTGCTGCTTTAGCAAGGGTAACAGCTCTAGAGACATTCTGCCTAGGGTCTTCAAAAGTATACCATTTCGGTTAAAGGGTGGCATTAATGACAGAACAAGTGGGGACAAAACGTCTAAGCAATGCTGAACCATTACAAAGTTTTCAGAAATACACTTGCAAATGTTTACCCATAAATCATCCGTGGATTTTCGCAGATTTTGCGCTTGGAGGCAGTGAGAAGGAACCATTTCAATGAATGCGTTCGCCGTAACACACGCTGATACGAGCGCTTGGGTAATTTCAAGGGTAATGTGGTTGGCTTTATCCGTTGATAACTGCGACCACATCTGAGAAAAAGAGTCTAGTTTGGCTTGTAAGAACTCTAAAATGATCAAATCATTCGGATGGTATCTGGTAGATGATTCGATATCATCCGCGCCTTTGAGAGACACAGTGTAATTGTCTAAACTAGTTTGCGGGTTCACAAGGAGTAAATATCTGACTAGTTTATGTTTTTGGTGATAGACAATCCACGCTTTCGCCAATCGACAGAACGGGCCATCGAGGGTTGCTGTAGGAGCGGTGAGTTGCCGACCGGTACAAGACATGAGCAAATTGAGTATATTTAGAGGTCGAGCAAACCAGGCAATTTGAGACGAATGGAGTCTATCGGTAGTCAAGCCTACGTGATAAAATTAGTGAGGCTCAAAAATCCACATATCAGTTTATACCAATTGTCCATGTAGACTGGAGCCAACCACAAATTTGACGTGATGTTTCCTGGCTCTGTGCAGGGTTCACCTTTGACTTTAATTCCATTGTTATCTTCCAAAGGTACAAAGCAGAATCAGTTAGGGCGGCAGGTCCGTTAAGGTCTGCCGAGTAAGAAATAGATTCGAGAGTATCTACAATGTCACTGTAATCGAGTAGATGATGTTGAACGATTGTACACATCAGTACACAAGCGGCGCGAGACGTTCCTAGTGAAGGTAAGGTGCGTGACGCCAGGTCCCAGATGTGACGCCAATCAGCTCCCCTGTCTTTGGAGGTCGTGCATTCACACGCGGCAATACTAGGAACTAATTAGTAAGTAGTAATGTTAAATCCCACTTATGAATCTCACCTTGCTAATGCAATCATGGACCATGAAGACACTGTCGTACTTTCATCCAAAATATAGGGTATTAGCAATCGGACCAAGTTCTGAGTGCGTCCGGAACTAATGTTTCCTTGAAAAATAATGAAAGGTATTGTTTGGAGTGCACATATGCGGGTTACACCACTTGATGTTGTTGCATCCCGGAAAATGTCGTCAATCCTAGATGAGAGCTGCTGCCTTTTACCTGAGTCTCCACTGGAAGGGTTTGGTGTGAGAAGGAGTTCGTCTACAAGCTTAGATAGAGCTGCTAGAGTCGATACTGTCATCCAGAGTTGTACACTTTTGCCTATTGCAAGCCGAGGAGCCATGAACCGCAACGCCATCGGAATCGAGTCCATATCAAAAGAGAATATTAAATCATCAATATGGAGTATTTCTTTTTCGGGAAGCCGGACATATGCTCGGAGAATTTGTTCCAAAAGATCTTGTAACATTTCGACAGGGAAAGAGTGTGGAACTCTCCCTGTTGTTAAAATATCCTTCGCATACATTAGCGTTATCAGCATTTCATCTCTTAGCTGAACAGATTTGGATGGCCAGAGGCGCCGAATTACGGGCAGCAAATTGAATATTATTTCTTGAACAAGTGCAATATCATCAGTTATTGCTCTCGCAAGCACCAGGTTTATCGTGTTAAACGGGACATGAGGGGAACGCCCCGCCATGTTAGACAATAGGTAATCCGTTAAACCATGAAGAATTTTCCCGGCTCCATCAAGAATCGGAGATACAGAAGGCGCTGTCAGCAATTGAATACAAAGTTCAAACACTTCGGCGTTATCTCTAAAGTCAGCATAGTTGTTTCCACCACGCGAGTATGTTTGTGGACCCATAGAACCCGCGCGGCTCCCTCGGCCGCCGGCGCTCTCCAATACAAGATCACCATCGCGAATGGGTAGCTGGTTATGCTCTTGCCTCTTTGTAACTCCAAGCCCGAGAAGACAGAAATCAACGGCGCAGTGCCATTCTTCTTTTGACAGATGTTCAACATGGGGCTGATATTTCAGTATCGCCAGCAAGGCGTTGACGTATTCTGAGCACAGAAGTACCCATAAATCCTCACCCGGGGAAGGAAGTGTATCGACGATATGGCATATCACTGCAATAACGGTTCTAGGTCTAAGAACCTTGGTTGATAATTCAGCGGTTTTTTGGAGCAAGGAGGCACATGATGACAGCCGTGTGGTCACACTGGACCTCAAGGATGATTTATGTGCTTGGTTAAAAGCTGATTTATCTCTCGAGATACATCGAAAAAGTGCTTCGAAAATTCTGTGATAACCCTTATCATCCAGTAAGTGTCTATCATTACACGATGGTCAGCCACACCTACATGAACAAACCGTTGTATAAACGCTTACAAATTGTATATGCGTTTGTTTTGGACTAAAATGTGCCTGAGCTCTTGAAGTGTATCAGCATCACTCAGTTTGCTTCAAACAACCGGTATCAATACCCTCAATGCCCTCTGTCCGATCGCGTAGGCGGCTGGACGAGAGGGAGTCTAGAGCCTGGATAATGCTGACCTGCCTCATATTTGAATGAAGTTCTAGCCAGTATTTGTGGGTTCAAGGAAGCCTTTATGGGAAACGACCTAGTTTGATGCAGCCCATGTTTAACGGTGGTCGCCAGTGCAAAAATATGACAGGTACAGGAATAGATGAACTCGGATCATATATCAACTGTATCCAAAAACAAAGCGCTACATCCAATGCATAATTATGAAAACAAAACCCTGATATCTCGAGGGGAAATCACTGATCAACGTACGGAGTACAGAGAGCTAGTTATCGATTATAACACACGCTAATTCACCTCAGAATAAAGCCTATGACTAACTAACTAATCAGAAGACGGCTATCGGCCTTACATTCCTCCGCCAAGCTCATCGACCTTTATGAGCTCTACAGGACGACGCGCGCATTTTGTTCTTTTTCACACCTAGTGCTCCAGAAATGGACAGTGACCCTGTTTTGGATGGCCTTCGAGGCCTCTACCAGGATCTGTCTGCATTGTCAAGGAATTCTCTTCCCAACATCGAACGATTAGCGCTTGAGTTGGAAGCTACTGTGGGTGATTTCAGAAAGCTCTTGGATAAAAGGTCGAAGAAAAATGAAAGCCGACAAGCAGTTCTTTCAGGTATGCAAGGAGCTTATGATCTCGTTTGCTATTTGTTTGGTCTACTGTATCCCCTAATGATGTCGTATTCAGGAAAAATTACGCTTGATGGCACCGAGTATTCCCTTAATGAAGCCTTCCAGCAAGACGTCTTGCAAGTTGCCGACGCTTTAGATGTCGACGAGATACAAGCAGCCGCTTATTACATCCAAGGTCAACTGGATTCGGTAGCATTGGATCGCTCTCCCGTTGCTGTTGCAATAATCAATTTCCATGAACAACGCGCGTTCCTCCTAGAATGTCTTCGGCTAATTCTACATGAATCTTTTGAAGTTGAAAGGGAAGATACCCAGGCCCTTATGCAGGATATAGTGGCAATGACACTTGAGATTCAGAACGGTCCACTGCGAAACGGCTCCCTTTATTTTCGGAAGTGTCTGGATTCAATGTGGGATATAGAAAAATGGTTGGTTCTCCTCAGCGAACAGGTACAGAAGGCTGCGATAGTTGGTCAATCCCAAACTTCGGATATCATAGAAATTATTGATTATCAGCGGCAAAGCCTTGCAAGACAACACGAATCTCTAGGGGCAATAATATCCTACCTTTTTAAGGGAACTTTTACAAGTTCGGAAGATTTTCGAAAATTAATTGAAAGGCTGAAGACTATTGATCGGTTTGATATGATTCTAGTTCACTATCTACCAGCTCTCATGTCCTCAATTACCCAGTATGGTTCATCAGAGGGCCAAGGCCCGCTGCGGGAAGTGAGATCACTGCACCAGGCTATTCGCGGTAACAAAGACGGAACGAAATGGGCACTTCCAAAGCTACATGCTGCTGTTATTATATTGTGGCTTGCAGAATATACAAGTTGGTATTTTGAAAACGGGCCCGCTTCCCCGCTTCAAGGTGTTACCCCTATGGAAGAATTACGAACTCTCACGGAAGTATTTATGGGCGCACTTGAAGATGGCGGCTTGGAGTTTGTTCTCTCCATTTGTGCAGGCACGGCCAGTGAGGGATGGGAGGTTCCCGCACGAAATGAGCTAGTCAGTCTACTATTAAAAGATGCGACAAGCCTTGCCAAAGAACCGGAACAACTTTCTTCTTACTTCCGTACTACATTAATGGAGGGTCTTGAAACATTCACCGAATCTCTCATTGCCAACATGCCGGACGCGATTCGCCAGCTCAAGTCAGACGAGGACCTTCAAAGGTTGGATCAAATGACGGCACTCCGCGAAACAACAAATGCCCGGGGCTTAATTGAACCAAGAATGCACTTAGAATCTTTGTTACTGATAATTGCATTTACCTTTGATCAAAGGGACGAATCCGCCCAGGAATTCTGGGCTGACACCGATGGAAACCTTTACGGGTTCCTTCAGTGGGTCTCTAAACGTCAAACCGTACCCCGGGTCAGTGCCTTCTGTGAGATGCTCTGTTCTCTCTCTGGCGGGCCAGAAAACTCTTTATCAGCCCATAGGTTTTTACTTGATGAGGACATGTCTTCCAAATTTCGAAGATCCACCTCCATGAGTTGGGATCAAATGTTTGCGGAATTGGAATTATACGCTACACGAGTCTCCGAAAGGCCATCACTGGCTCATTCATCGATTCTTCGACATCGAAAGCAGGAGACCGCAGAGGTTGATGAACCCGAGAGTCCCGTTATGCTTACCTGCTATCTTCGTCTTATTAGCCATCTTTGCAAAGAAAGCTCTCAGATTAGGCAGTATATTTTACAACACTCAACTGTCAATCTTTCTAATACTCTTTTAACTCTCTGTGCAGCACCGATTCCTCATCATTTACGGGCCGCTATTTTTATGACCTTGCGTTGTTTAATGATTCGGCGAATGGCACCACATGGAAATGAAATGTGGACCCTTATTGATCAATGGATATCTGGTTCTGGGATTTCACCATTGTCACTTACAAAACTACCAGTTTTGACTAGTTCTTCACTCGTTTGGAATGAGAGACACGCTTTCCGGAGAATTATCGAAAGCTTTGACCAGACGAATGCTTTTGTTGAGCTCTTAACAACTCTGGTGTCTTCTACAAGCGACTTTACAGGCTCGCAAATATACCTGAACTTCCCTGAATCGCTAGGCTCCTCATATCGCATGCCCGGGATAGAACCATACATTGACTTTGTTATGGGCCAAGCATTGGCTAGCAAATCTATGGGTTTGGATTGTGGTGAAGCCCGGCTTTTACAACGGAGCTGCCTGGATTTCGTCGCTGTCTGCCTGGAATCCTTCAATGAGAATCTAGTCTTTCTTGTGAACCAGGTCTCCATTTCCGCTAACACAACTGTGAGTGGAATATCAGTTCAAACCTATATTCGCATACACCCATTCTCGAGGGTTATGGAATGGCTTTTTAACGAAGATGTTCTCAGAGCACTTTTTGCTACTGCTCATCAAGAAATAAGTGAAGTCGGACGGGCTTCATCAGAATCCGTATCGCTTGGATCACTTGTCCGGTGTATTGAAGTAATGAATATGATTTTGGTTCACCAAGCCACGTTTTTTGATATTGTTCGCCCGTTTCTTAGAAGTCTTCCACAGCAAGGAAGCTCAAATATGGCTAGCGCCTCCCTTGCATCCTTTGAAGACAGTGTGATGGATAACTTAGGGTTGATTTCGGATCTATGTCTATATTGTGGGACGGGACAAACTCAACTGACACTCGCTGCTCTGGCGCTCTTAGAAAAACTAGCAGCATCTCGCAAGCTAAATAAGCCTACTACCTCGTTTTCGCAGTGGCAAACATCAAATCAAATTGTGGAAGTCTTGAACACAAATTTGGAGGCCGACCGCATCGGCCGCTCCTTGGCATCTCAGATGGCCTCCAATGTGCGTGAATTGGAAAACGGCCCAGAAGCCTCTGGTTATCTAATTAAACTTGGTCTTGTTCAACTACTTGACAGGTGCCTTCAAATGATTACAAACAAGCCAACAGTGGCTCATATCCTGCTCGGTTTTCAATGTGTTGGTCACTCTCTGGATATTTCCCCAGACAGCCTCTTCGAAAAAGGGATTTCCTTACTGCATGCCATCGTTGATTTTGTGAAGACGTATCCAGATGGTAGCGAAGGGACTATCGTGTCGTGGATGGTACACCTAAAGCAAATGGCTCTCCAGGTGCTACAACACCTTTGGACATCACCACTAGCTTCCCCGCTAGTTCTACCACAACTCCGAGGTAGCCGGCTTCTTGCTAACCTTTTTGTTACTCAACCGGTAATTAGCCAAGAGTCACTCTGGGATGGTCATAAAGTATCAACGCCAGAATTTTGGTTTTCGGACTCGGCAGTGGCACTCTCAGAATTTCTTACCTATCGTCGTCTTGTCTTTGATTATGCTACAACTGAGATAAGGGCTGTTTTCAAAGAAGCTTCACCTTCTTTCCAGAGAGATATATTGTTGACAGTGCTTGGAAACTCAACGTTCGAAGATGGGCGCACAATCTGTCATCCCTCTATTTTCGACTTGTTTGACTTTACGGACCTCGACCTTGATTGGGTATATGGCTTTCCGGACCTGAAGTACTTTTCAAAAGTGGACGTCAATATATATTCTGCGTCTCAGGGAGAAGGGTTTCCAGTGTTATTTGATCTTGCGGGCGTAAGGTCTCTACTCGAGGTTTCCAGGGAGCAATTCATGAACACAGGGCAATTTAGCTCTCAGGATGAAGACCAGCTTTCGTCGGAACAAGAGAAAATATTTATTTTTCTCCGTGGGATGAACAGGAGCCGTCAGATCGGCTACAATCGTCTTGTTGCCCTGAGATCTTGGGTAGAATTAGCAGTTACCATACTGGAAATGTGCCAAATGGAGGCTACTCGAATGACAACGCTTATTTTGCATACATTACAAGCTATTCTCCCTAAGCTTGAAAACTCCATACCCGATAACACAGAAGAAGCGTTTGAATTAGCCCGCCTAGCCGAGACGCTAATTGAAAAGCTCGATTCCGTTTCAGCAGACGGCAACGAGGATATCCTCGATGAGCGACTTCATCGTCTTTTTCAGGTGTGCATTCGTGGAATTCCCTCCGCACTCGAGGGACCGCCCCTTAGAGCAACTCTTTATCATATTTGCTCTCGATATCTAACTCGAATCACCCAAAAAGCCTCAAAATCTCGGTACAGCAATCGGGCCCAACAGATCATCAAATCTTCTGGCTCAAATCTTATCGACATCATCTGCGACGACTCTTACTCTGGAGATGAATCTTGTAGAGTTTCCGCCTTAATCCTATTAAATCTCGTTTCTGTTCTTAGTGAGCAGCAATCTTCATCCGTGGTTGTAACGTGTATCTCACAGGCAAATTACTTTTCCATGTTTCTTGATATTATTAGGTCAATGGCATCAGAATTCCGAAACGCTCCAAGCAGTGGTATGTCATCGCTGTCCTCCTTCGCCTGGTAATATCTAAAACGCGCTACAGAAACTTCTCAACTTCTAGTCTTTTATGAGGCTCAGTTATCGTTGCTTCAACAGCTTGCTCTGTCAAAAGCGGGTGCTGTTCAACTTCTTAATGCCGGTCTATTCCAAGCTGTGCAAGAATCTCGACTTTTTGCTGCTGATCCCGACATCGGTCTAGGTTAGATAGTTTTTGTTACTTCTCTTTTTTAAGAGACCTCTACTAACGAGACTCAATTGAATCAGATATTGACAACCCAGATGCTCTACGAAAATATTACGACCTCCTTCTTTCTGTGCTTCGCGTCATCGTTTCAGCCGTTTTTACAAGGGGTCTCCACAACAAATCAATTGTTGAACAAACGAGAAGCTTTCTTTCTGATAATCGCCAAAGTATGATTGGAATATTTAAAAGATCTGGAAAAGTTGGTGGGCTGGATGGCGCTGGTAGCCAAGAATCGTTGGGAGAACTGGTTAAATCATATGCCGCCTTGATAGCCGCTGTAGATTTTCTCGACGTGAGTTATAACCTATTCATTGGTTTACCATTATTTCTACTAACAGCATGCAGTTCGAGGACGAACAGTTAAACCAGCCAGCAGCACGAAGGTTATATTCATAGCCATGTCGAGAGTAATTTGACCAAGAGACTGAGGAATGGGAAGCCCTTTCGACAAGAAGCAAAAGTGGGTGTGTGTTTGCGCCTGTATACAGACCTGTAAACCAAGATATCCATTCATATAGACTTTGCTTAGAATTTAAACCCCTGCTTGGGCACACATTGTTTGTAGTTAAATCGTAATTTTCGTATCTAACACATGATACTGGAAACAAATAGTTCTGACAGGACAATACACACTTGAATGAGTCCATAGAGAAGAGAAAACAACGTAACCCCCTCATCCAATATCATTGTTTGTTACAAAATGTGATTTTGGATCCTCTACGCACCCACGCCACTTGCATATGTCCATAGCTTATTGGAGAATGGAGTAGTTTAACCATTTCTTATCTCCGAACAAGCTCCCGTTAACCTAACTAGTTAGTTAACTAACTAACTACTCCGTAACTAACTGGTTTAACTAACTAGTTAGTTACTAATCACAACATCAGACGGATAGAGAGCCTAGCTGTGACCAGAAACTAAGTCCATCCTGTGCGCCTGGAGCCACCACCACACCAGGTATTTGCCCCTCATTAAACACTTTATCCTGGCCACTCCATGCATTTTACTGAAGTTCTAACGTGTGGGACCCTAGATGCAGAATTCCGGCACACATGGGAACCGCAAACTGACGGGCAAGAGGAAGCTCCTCGACGGACAGTCAGACTTGTCGGACGAAGTCGTCGGATCTAGCCCGGGCACCATTCCAGACCTTTTCTCAAGGGGAAGAAACAATTCCCCAAGCCATAAGAATCGACCGCTGTCACCAACCAATAAGAGGCTGAAGCGAAACGAGCCCGGGGATGAACAAACGGCCTCTCTTGGGCAGCCTATCCAAACGTGTATTCCAGTTGAAAGGATGTACAGCTTTTCTAATTCAAATGTGATGAATACTTCAATTACTGGACAGAGCAGCCTCTCTTCGTCGGCTAACGCTTCTCGGACGTACCTGAACCCCTCGTCGGCACCCACCAATTTCACCCCACACACTGGCCCTAAACGTCTTACAATCAAAAACCTTCGAATTACGCCGAAACTCGACCAAGATGAATACTTTGATAAAGTGTGGACGCAACTAGATACCTCACTAGGATCGATTTTCAATGACCAAAAACCGCCGTACTCGTTGGAGGAGCTGTACAAAGGCGCTGAAAACCTATGTCGTCAAAAAAGATCTGAAGACCTTGCGAAAAAGCTTCAAGAGCGTTGTAAACAATACATACAATGCCACGTTCTTCCGCTCTTGTTGACCAAAGCCAAAGAAACTGATGATATTGATGTACTTCGTATGGTGGAAGAAGCTTGGTCCGTGTGGAGCACACGACTGGTAAAATCACCGTTACCTTGCTCGTGTTGCAATGTCTGATATTCTTAATATTAACAGGTGACTATTCGATCAATCTTCTATTATTTAGACCAATCCTTTCTGCTTCGGTCTACAGAAAACTCCACAGTATACGAAATGGGGATGATAGGGTTTCGGTCGGTCATTTTTGCAGACGATTCCATTAAATCCGCCACGCTGCGCGGGGTTTGCCAGTTGGTTGACCTTGACAGAGACAATAATCCTTCCTTTGACTCTACCCTACTGAAAGAAGCCATCAAACTCTTTTATGATATTAAGCTGTACAGCTCAGAATTGGAGCCCGCGATTCTAAAGGCTTCAGAGCAATATATGAAGTCATGGTCAAGTAATGAAGCGACTCGGAGCTATCTGGCTACGTACATTGATAAGAGCCATATGCTAATCAAAAGTGAGATGAAAAGATGCGATAAATTTGATTTTAATGCCGGCACAAAGCTTAGGCTTTCGGAACTACTTGATAAATACCTTGTGACTGAGAAAACGGGGATTCTCTTGGAACAGAGAGATGTTCTAGGTCTTTTTAGGACAAATAACCAGATATCATTGAAACAGTTATATTTGTTGCTAAGCCGTCTGGGTTTTGGATCAAGACTCAAGTCTGCTTTTAGTACTTTTATTGATGACGAAGGCTCATCAATAATATTTGATAAAGAAAGAGAAGCTGAAATGGTAGCCAGACTTCTTGAATTCAAACAAAATTTGGACGGCTTTTTGTCGGACTGTTTTTTCGGGGATGAAATTCTAGGACGCACCCTGCGCGAGACTTTTGAGACTTTCATAAACAAGAATAATAAAGGAACAGGCAGTGCGCAGCCAGGGGAAATGATTGCAAAGCATGTTGATCTTCTACTCCGGGGTGGTCTGAAAGCTATTCAGAAGCGCGATAATACCTTAAAAGCGGATGGAGACGTCACAATGGTTGACGACGACATAGAATTGAATAAGGCCTTAGATCACGTTTTGGACCTATTTCGGTTTGTTCACGGAAAAGCTGTTTTCGAAGCATTCTATAAAAACGACCTTGCTCGACGTCTTCTCATGGGCAGGAGCGCTAGCGACGACGCTGAAAAGAGCATGCTTGCTAGATTAAAATCAGGTACGTATCCCTAGATTCTTGATGGCGGGCTGAACTTCGACAATTAACATCCTATTTTTTTGAAAAAAAAAAAAGAATGTGGGTCAAACTTCACTCACAACCTCGAGTCTATGTTCAAAGACATCGATCTTGCCCGTGATGAAATGGTATCGTATAACGCGTTGCAACGAGAGAAAAGGGTCAAAACTCGCCTGGACCTGAATGTTAACGTTCTCTCATCGGCTGCCTGGCCGTCGTATCCAGATATCCCATTGAAAATTCCCCAGATGATTTCTGATGCCCTTTTTGACTTCGAAAACTTTTATCACAACAAGTACAATGGAAGAAAACTCATTTGGAAGCACTCCCTTGCGCATTGCCAATTAAAATCTACATTTGCTGCTGGGAATAAAGAGATCATTGTTAGCTCTTTCCAGGCCGTCGTTCTTCTTCTTTTTAACGATGTACCTGATGGACAAACTCTATCATATTCTGACATCCAAAACGAAACGGGGCTCCGTAAGTTATTTTCTTATATGAAGCCCCTGCAAAGTAATTGCACTTGCTAACTAAAAAATAGCGGCTGTTGAGTTGAAGAGAACTTTGCAATCTCTGGCTTGTGCCAAATATCGTGTGCTTACGAAACATCCGAAGGGAAAGGAAATTAACTCAGCAGATATTTTCAGTTTTAATTCCAAGTTCTCGGATCCGAAAATGCGCATCAAGATCAACCAAATACAGCTAAAAGAGACAAAGGAGGAGAATATAGAGACGCATGAACGTGTTGCAGCAGATCGAAACTATGAGACCCAAGCTGCAATTGTTCGCATTATGAAAAGTCACAAAACAATAACACCACAGGAACTTATCGTCGAAGTGATCAAAGCCACCAAAAATCGTGGAGATCTGGATCCTGCGGATATTAAGAAAAATATTGATAAGTAAGTAACTGGCGTCTATGTACTTCACCGTAATACCATAAGATGTCAGCTAATTCATGCATTTCTTCTAGACTCATTGAGAAGGAGTATTTGGAGAGAGATACGGAATCGAACAAATACAGATACCTCGCATAGACGCTATTTGTCGGTACTTCGTATGACGGCCTGGATTCTATATCAGTTCTACCGGTACGAATTTGTTACGTCTAATATACTAAAATGACGAAGGTTTATGACAACATTTTGATGACCTGTCCTGTGTCTATTTGCTTCTTGGCTGCGTGACGCGTCTTCTTGGGAATGGAATACTCATGGAAATAGTGTTTTAAACTATCAACCCTGTACAGCTAAAGATGGTAGGTATGACATCAATATTCATGCTCACTGATAAGTAATTTATGTACATACATATATCAATGAGTGTTGAATTGTCTTAAGCCCAACAGACATCAAATCAAACAACCATCTGTTCCAGACTGGCTTCGCAGCAATGGAGTTTTTGCTGCACTTTATGGACAACACCAAGGGTGACATAACGTTTTTTGCTTGGGTGTACTTCTAATGATCCTGTTTCCTTTTAATACCAAGGCAACATGCATGCATATAGTCACTATACATCCATATTACGCTTAGATCCAAACAGAACCGTGATTTGCGGAGTGATTTGTATATGTTTAGTTTGCGGTTGTTGCCGAGGCACATGGGTTTGTTAGTTTTGGAACCTTTCTTGGTGGCCGCCTGTCTAAACTGAATCAGGTTTAGGTGCGGGCAGTCGTGCGATCAGCTAGGTACCTACCTGTTAATCAACCCCTCATAGGGCTCATCCTCAATAGCATGCATGCTCTATTGCTGTCGTTCATACACTTACCACTCTGCTATCTAAAGTACTATTGGGCTCAGCGCTTTGCCATCGTGAATTTGTAACCTTGCGCGGAAAATGCAGAGTATGATAATTCTTTCATAGCCTACGTTAAGGCCTACTGACATCATCTTAGCCAAACACTTCTTTGAAGATCCAACACACCTAGTGAATACTGCATTGAAGGCACTGACGTTTACAAATCCCTCCGTAGCCCTTGATGAGGAGTACAAGATTATCTATCGCCACACTTCCCAGGGTGCGTCTGTAGGGCGCAATGTATCCATTGTTTCTGGAGGCGGATCTGGGCATGAGCCGGCTTTCGCTGGCTTTGTCGGTAGAGGCTTCTTAACGGCCTCGGTGGCGGGAACAATATTTGCTTCTCCGTCAGCTGAACAGGTCAGAAAAGCCATCATGGAAAAAGTAGAAACTTCGAAGGGAGTCTTGATTGTCACGGTCAATTATACTGGTGATGTTCTCAACTTTGGGGTAGCGGCGGAAAAAGCAAAAGCAGCAGGGATACAGACTGAATTCTTTTCGATTGGCGACGATGTTGGCGTTGGAAGGACGAAAGGAGGGAAAGTTGGTCGGAGAGGAATTGGTGGCAGCATCTTGCTGATGAAGATCATTGGGGCCCTAGCTGAGACCGGGTAAGTCACTGAAGCAAGCCAACCAAAAAATCAAATTTACCTGATGACTGTATGGTAGTGCTTCCCTAAGCGAGGTGTATGCGACCGCACAACTAGTTTCAGAAAATCTTGTGAGCCTGGGGTCTTCTCTCGAACACGTGCATGTTCCTGGAAGAGTTGTTCCGAATCCAAGTTCAACAGACATGGTCCCAAATAATGAGATTGAAGTTGGAATGGGAATTCATAATGAGCCTGGTTCGCATCGTATCCAAGCCACGCTGGAAATGTTAATCCAGACTATGTTGAAACAGCTGCTCGACCAAACTGACCAAGACCGTGCGTTTTTAAAATGGGAACCTTCTGACAAATTTGTCCTTTTTATCAATAATCTTGGAGGTGTTAGTACTTTGGAGCTTTCTGGAATCACGGCGGAAGTGATGCTCCAATTAGAGAAAGAGTATAAAATCAAGCCCATCAGATTGATACAGGGCACATTCTTGACCAGCCTTAACGGAATGGGCTTCAGTATTTCGTTATTAAGAGTGTTTGATACTGGTCTTGGCCCAGAGAAGTCTCTTCTGGACCTTCTAGATGCTCCAGCAGAAGCCGTGGGATGGGCTGCACCAATCAAAAAATCGACCTGGGAGGATCCCCGTCTTTCTTTGTTGACAAATAGAGCGTCTGCTTCTGTTTCAGAAGTATCGTCTAATCTGATATGTGAGTAACGATCCTGCAAAATCTATGTTATTGTACCATTTAATCTAATAATAAGTCAAAAGTGGACCGTGCCTTATTCAAGACAGTCGTCACGTCAGGAGCCAACCGTCTTATTTCTGCTGAAGGCATGGTGACACATTTTGACACGATAGTAGGTGATGGGGATTGCGGTGTAGGTCTAAAGCGCGGCGCAGAATCCGTTCTACACCTTCTGAACGATCCCTCTATCACGTTGAACGACGATATTCTCCGTACCCTAAATAAAGTTATTAGTGTTGTAGAGACCAATATGGACGGCACCAGCGGTGCTATTTACGCCATTTTTCTGAACGCCCTCGCTCACGGCCTCAAAGAACAAGATTCGCCCACTGGGCCGGTACCAGTCAACCTGAAAACCTGGACTCACGCTCTGCAACACTCATTAAAGGCATTGGCTAAATACACACCGGCGCGCCCTGGTGATCGTACATTGATGGACGCACTCGTTCCATTTATCGACGAACTAGCCAAGTCAGGGGACACAAAAAAGGCAGCATCTGCTGCGCGCAAAGGCGCCGAATCGACAAAGGCAATGAAAGCCAGTTTGGGTCGGACAGTGTATATAGGGAGCGAGGACCAGTGGGTCGGTAAGATTCCTGACCCCGGAGCATACGGATTGAGTGAATTTTTGAGTGGCCTGGCGGATGGCATGTAAAAGAATGACTAGTATCGGTATTATAAAAGGATACTAGTCGTAGGATAAAATTCATATTTCTGGAACTTGTGTCATGCGTGCGAAACAACATATGACGATGCGAGAAGGTAAGAAAACCCGTTGGATAGTAAAACTCTCTTTGTCATTTAGATAGACTTTTAAAGTACTCTTCAGCCGTACTTAAACCCAGACAATATAATTAAACCCACTGCGCAGAAAGGCATAAAAGTTGGGTCAGAAACGCCAAGGACGCCGATTTCCATCCAGCTGAGGCGAGTAGAACGTGAAAAGCCATAACAAATGCGCTAGTATCCGCCCAAAGTATGATTTGTTGATGTATAAGGTTTCTGGGTTGAATAAAAATTGCTCCGTGGGTTTTTATAGCATAGTCGCCATCATGATGGGCAAAGATACGGAACGTCGAAATATCTAGTACTGGAGAATGCGGTAGATATAAAGGTTGGGAGAAAGATGTCAATGTGCGAAGTGCATCAATCTCAACTCAGCTGAGGAGAACAAGAATAACTGAGTCACCTCTCAAAAACCTGTGATGGCATAAGTAAGTAAACTAAGGACAATTTTTGATAGAACATAGAACTTACATCTTGCTGACAAATCTATCCTTATTAACTCCTTTCCCCTTGCCACCCTTTGGTTTTTCTGTCCACATTTCCTTAACGTTCTCCAAGACCATATTACAATGACGATCGAAGGCTTTTACTCTAGCGAGAAGCTTCCGATTATTTCGACAAGAGATTAGCACTTGAGCGTGAGAGCGGGTGGCAGTTTGTAAAATAGACAGAGGACCAGTCGTAAGCTCATGTTCTTCTATGATGGAAACTTCGTATTCACTACAATATATCAACAGTTATGGTAAGCCAAAAGGTTGGGTTATTGGGCAAGCAGCGAAAAAACGCTGGATAGCCAAGTCAAATATCATCGAGAGCTTGATTGAGGCTGCAGGTATAAGAACAAAACGTACGTAAGCTCATTGCGGGGTTTATTCAGTAAATCTCTGCAAAAATAGATTGTCAGCATGGCTATGCGATTAGATTGGTTGCGTTGGTGGTAGATGCCTCGGGCAGCCTGAAGCAGCTAAGGCATCATCATCTGACCCATGCAATCCGGTGTTACTTACTGGATCTTCACATCAGCCATTTCGGACAAGTATAAAAGGGTCGACGTTGCCCGTTTCTCAAGAATCGATGTTCAGTTGACAACTTCAAAACTCTCTGGATGTCGAAGCTGAGAAACAAGTACAAATTCCCGCTAATCCCTTTATATACTAGCTCGCCAAGGCCATTTAGCCAACCGGATAATATATACTGCCGTCTCCGGCTACACGGTCACAGACGCGTGAGGCACGCCAGACACGCTAAGCTGGATCGGTGCGCCATTAGTCGACATCGCGTCTCCACGCGGTTCGCAGGTACATCTGTTCGACACGCTCTCTCCCAGCACTTTCTTCACTAAATTCCTCCGCCGTCTTGCTACCCTTCTTCCTTACTTACCACCAAAAGCAATCAAAGCGGGGAAGGACATACTTTTGTCGATTTCTCCTTGTTTCTCTTTCTCCCGCACTCCTCATAATTCCATTTCAAGCATAGCGAGTTATGATATAACGCTTCTTCATTAGTACTCCTTGCTTTC